TGATTAGAATTTATAAATATTACTACTATAGCTCTAGTTCTCAGGTATTTAAATATAAGCTTACTTTCAAGGATAAAAGGTATACTTAGAAGAATATTATGAGATACTTCTTCAACTACTATAAAATCTATATAATTCTTAATACTACTAATATTAATTAGTATATTTTTAATATAGCTTAGAAAGCTGAAAGTATCGCTTATAATAGTTATAAATCTAAGAGCCTTCTAAGTTAAGATTAGGAGTTAAGTAGTTTCTGCTATATATTTACTTATAATATTCACTTCTACTTTATAGTTAATTATTACTTAGGTTCTAAGCTTTAATTCTATAGTAACTTAAACCTTAAGTATTTATATTATAAGCTCTAGATAGTTTTAAATAATTTCCTTATAATAAGAAATAGTAGTAGAAAAGATTTCTAGTTTCTTTAATCCCTTTCTAAGGAATTCAGTAAAATAAATAGCTCTAGTAATAAGTCGGTCTAAATCTTTAGATATATCCGGCCCTATTCTAGCTTTACTTATAAGTGTAATATAGACCTCTGACTCTCCTTCGAATAAGACTAAAGGTATATTATAATTAAGTATCTGATCCTATTAAGCTTAGAGTCTAAACAGGTTACTTAGTTTAATCCTAAGTTCTTACCCTATAATATTAGCTATTACGTCTTATTAGGCGTTAACTAAGATATAGGCGTCTAGCTACTTTTCTCTCTTTAGAATAACCGGGACCTTAGTTTTTATTAATATAAAGGGATTCTATAGCTTATTCTCTTATATAATCTTAACTATTTATATTAGAGTATCTTCACTTAGATTATCTAGTACTATTTCTTCTCTAGCTTCCTTAACTTATCCTGACTCTTAACTAGCTCTCTTAAGGATAGTACTATAGTTTTTCTTTTTCTCTACTTGATTTTTCCATACTTTTCCTAGGAAGTCTTATTATTTTATTTTCCCTGAAATAGCTTCTACTAAGACTCTTACTTCTTTAACTAACAGTTCTAGGGGTTTCGAAATAATAATAAGGTTAATCTTTATCCCTTTAAATATAGAAGGTTTCTTATTTTAAAGTATAGTAGTTACTAGGGTATTAGCTAGTCTATTTATAATCTTATACTTCTTCTAATAGGCTTTTCTAGCTTCTAAGTCTAGGTTATATTTAGTTCTAATAGTACTTAGGCGAATAGTAATAACTTAGGACTATCTTACCTTCTTAGTAGTAAGTTAAGTATTATCTTATTAAGGACTAATATAAATTTATCTATACTTATTAATATATATAATATTATTATTTATATAGTACTTAAAGATCGGATAGTTATTTCGGTATCCGTAAGAGAGTGCCTTAAACTAGTTATTACAGAAGTTACAGACTAAGGGCTTATTATATCCTACTACTTCAATCCCTATAGTTTCTTTAAAGTTAACTAGTCCTTTACTCCTTATATCCTAGGGACTATATTCTATATAGCGGTCGCGATTCCGTGTAATTCCTTAGCTTCCTTATCTAAACTCAAGTATATAAGGGGTATTACTTAGTATTTATTAGATTTACTAAAGCTTAGAGTTTATTATACTAATCTTAAGTTCTGTTATTTTAGATACTAGATCTTTAATATCTCTTTTTTCTACTACTAAAACACTATAATTAGTAAACGGAATAACAATTAGTCGTTTCTTTATAGCTTCTATAATAGTTAGTACTTAAGTATATTCTTCAATAAGCTTATAAATCTTTTTAGCGTATTTAGTAATCGGCTCTTTCTCGCGTTATAAGGCTTTAATAGTTTACTCACTCTTAGTAGCTTTAAGAATAAATTCCCGGAAAGTCTTATAATCCTTATAAGTCTAGGGCTTAGAATTATCTACTTTATAGTTCTTAATAACTTTAGCTCTTAGCCCTTTAAGTAGCGTAAGGAGGAATAGATATCCTTAATCTATTTCGCTAAGGACTTACTTATTAAGTAAGGCTTCTAATACTTAAGAGTAAAAGCGATAGTATCCTTTAAGGTTAGAAGTGTTTTACTTAGTTATAATAAATTCTTAAAGGAACTTTATAGTATTCTGAATTTACTAGTAGTTATACTCTTTAAACTTGACTTTTAGTATAGTAACTAAGATAGCTTATAACTTTCAGTTCTTCTATTTAGGAATTGTTCTAATAATATTACGATAGATATTATTATAGTAATAAGAGAGGCGGTTAATACGCTCGGATTTTGTAATAAAGTAATTATTATAGATTTTCTTATATCTTTTAAGGAAGTCTGAAATATTAGCCCTGAAGAAGAATAGTATTTCTCTTAAACCTAAGAGTAGTATTCTTCCTTTAAGGAATTAGTTAAGGTCCTAAGTAGTAGATATATTAGCTATATTCTCTAATATTATTTTAAAAGTAAAGGTTAGAGGTCTTTAAGTGTTCTGAGATTCTATTAATAAATTAGAAGTAAAGGGTATATCTAAAGAGATAGAAGATAAGTTAGAGTAAGCTTTAATTAGTTCTAGTCTTACTTCTTCCTAAATTTCTAAATTTTCAGAAGAGAAGGATAGAAACTATTCGAATAAAGAAGATATATATTAATTCTTAGATATTATTATCAGAATTTATTATTATATTTAACTACTATCTAACTTATAATCCTAGCTTATAAGTTACTTTTAGTATTTACCATTAGTTTTATTAATATAATAAATAATCTACTTCTAATTTCTTTTTAGCTATTTGTAAAATAAGCTAAAAACAAGTAGTATTATTAGTAGTAACCTTAAAATCGATAAATTGAACTACTGAAATACTTCTCTTTATAATATATCCTAGTTTTCTAGGTTAAAGCTTCCTGTAAGCGGACTCTTAACTGGATAATATTACTAAAATAGGGAATTTTAAGGGATTTTAACTACTAATCTTAATTTCTATTATTATGAAGTGTTAGGCTTAATAGCACTTAAGGGATACTAAATAGCTCGATAGAATAATAAGTCTAGCTTTAGAAATAAATATAAAGCTATCGCTAGATTTCCTAAGGGATTTCCTTATTTACTAAGGTTATTTGTTTTCTTTATACTAATCTAAGGTACTATTTGTTTCTAAGGGGTATTAATATAAACTAGTGATAATTATTTTATTAGTTCGATAGTAAGATAATTTAAATAGGTTAAAGAGTTACTATAAAGTTATATAAAGATAGAATCCTTATGATTTATCTCCTTGTATCGATTACTAATATAAAGGCTATATAAAAGAAGGAAGCTTAAGAGAGTAGAATAAAGAAGTATTAGAATATACTCGAGTTAGGATTAAGAGAGAAAAAGTCTTTAATTCTCTATTATAGTATTAAATAGAGGTTCTTATAGATAATAAATATCGCTAACGTAGGGTCTAACTTAAGGCCTTAAGGCACTAACTAAAGTAGGACGAAAGTTCGTTCTATAGTACCTTCTACTAATAAACTATATAAGTAAAAGAAAGTAATTATTAAATAAGCACGCGCTTTACTTAATACTAGAAAAGGTATATACTATATAAAGAAAGAAGAAAGTAGCTAGCTTACTAATACTCGATATCTCTAGAGTATTTAATAATATAACTTATAAACGCCTCTTATATAATATAAGGAAAAGAAAACTCCTATTAGAAGTAGTTAACTAGATCACTAGTTATCTCTTATAGAGAATAATAACTATTTAGCTCTTTAAAAGTAAAAGTAGAGAGTATAATATACTTATAGGAATACCTTAGGGTTCCTTATTCTCCCTGATTTTATACTTATTTTATAGTACTAACTTCTTAGAAATTACTAAAGGCTTAGACCTAGTAATAGCGTTTATAAATAATATAACCTTAATAGTAGAGAGAAAGTCTACGGAAAGTATATACTAGAAGTTCTAATAACTGTACTTAAAGGTAAATAAATAAGCTAATAGGTACGATATAGTATTCGCGCTATAAAAGTACGAGTTACTCTACTTAGTATATAAAAGCGACTTAAAGGAGATTAAATATTAGAAAAGGCTAGTAGATCTATAATAAGGAAGAGTAATCTACCTAAAGAGTTATATAAGGTACCTAGGAGTTATCCTAGACTCTTACCTTATAAGACTCCTATATATTAATTATATTAAAAGTAAAGTAGAGAAATCTATCTAAGTCTTACGATTAATTACTAGATCTAATTAAGAGGTAACTTAAGATAATATACTATACTTAGTAAAAGTAATCGTATTTCTATAGATACTTTATAAAGTATCTACCTAGTAGATATTAAACTTAATCTATAAGAAGAAGATATATCAGAGGAAAGTACTCTAAGTACTTAATAATCTCTAGAAGAGAGCTCTTTATATAGCTACTAGAGCGTTTAAATCAACGTTAGTAGTAATTATAAAAGTAAAGACAGATACTCTACTTATATAGCTACAACTAAATAAGACTTATATAATTATAACTAATAGGATTAGAGCCTCTTTACTATACCTTATTATACTATAGTATAAAACTAGGGGATTAGTAAGAGATAATATATTAAGATACTCTCTACTCTAGGAATTAAAGAAGAAAGTCTATAAACTAATTAGAAAGATAGCTTTTTAATACTATAAGAGATAAGTACTAGTAGTAGTACTACTATAGTAGTAACTACTTAAGTAGATAATCTGAAAAGAGCCTAAGGAAGTAGTAATAGACTATAATAAACTTTAGAAGAAGAACTTTATTACTTATATATAAGTCTTTATAGATAGAAGTAATATAAGAGAAGTAGTAAGAGTAGTAGTATAAGACCTAGTATATAAATAGAAAGCTTAAGTTAAGATCAGACCGACTAACTAGTTTACTATTTATAGCGCTAAACTTATAAGTATCTAGTTAGTACTTTAAATAGCGATTAAAGACCTAAGGGCTTAAAAGCTTATTATCTTTATAGATAACTAAGTAGCGATCCTTTTTATAATATAACTATAGAAATAGTTAAAGTAGATAATCTTAAGATCTATCCAATGGATCAATACGGCTATCAAAGATGGCCCGCCCAGGGAAATGGTGTTTACAGCAGAGGCGGCAGAGGAGAAAATAGAGGAGGATTTAGAGGCGGCAACAGAGGCGGATATGATCATAGTATCTACGCCCAGCACGTCGAGCCAACATTTCACCAGCAAAAGACATTTCAGCATCCTGCTCCACAACAGTTCTCTCCCTTCGCTCCTCAAACTTATCAAACACAACCAGCTCCTCATGCTAGAGTCGTGCCACTCACCCCTTCTGCAGCTCCGACCGCCAGTCGTTCCATTCCAACCGCTCGTCCGTTCAATCCTTCCACTGAGCCAGCTGCCATAACTGTTGAGAAGTTTGATAAGTGGGCCGCACACATCAAGGAAGGTCTTGTTCGCAATCAAGGTACTGCAAGCTCTCGGCTGCCAGTTATTACACATGCTGAGAGGGAGAAGAACAAACCAGAGGGACTCAGTAGTGGTGTTTGTGAGCCAGGAGTACTGAATCGTGGCATTGATAGAGGCGAACTCGCACGACGCATGAAGGTTGAACAAAATACTCTTGCACGACACTCAGGTTAGAACTCCTTCAATATTTTTAGTATTCATCCTATTACTGACAAAACCCAGCAGATCATACAAAGACTTCCAGTCCTGAGAAGCCCACTGTGTCAGAGATACCGAAAAATCTTATCGCCGAGGTTCCTAGATCAACCTCTGCCGGCAAGCATACTATACCGACTCCGCCGCCAACACCTATCGAGAAAGCTTCCTCAAACATCAATAAACAAGTACAAAGCAATGACCAGCTCCCAGCCCGCGATGGCAATGGTTTCATTCTTGGAGAAGCGAAGCTCAACAGACGTCTGCTTCCCACATTGACCTCTTCCGAACCAATAGAGAACGACATCAACCCCAAGACCGGCAAGATTTTCACTGAAGAAGAATGGGACCACCAGATACGAGTTAGGGATCATCGCAGATTGGAAAGAGCAGCTAAGCGAAATCACCATGCAAAAGCAAAGAACTCGAAAGTCAACGCACTACTGAAGGGTAAAGACGACCTACCAGCAGAAGAAAAGATAGAAATCTTGGTCAAGGCATTCGAAGAAAATCAAACCGCCCTTGGACAACTCCGTGATAGTCATGTCAAGCTCGCTGCTGAGAAGGACAAGTTGAAGACAAACATGCAGAGAGCAAATTCTGATTCTATCAACTACCGCAACGATCTCGAGCAGGTCAAGGTGGATCTTGAGAATGAACGCAGAGACCATCGAGCCGCTATCCGGGATGTCGAAAACAAATTGGCAAAGAAGCAAATGGAGGTCGACGCTGCATTGAAGAAGCTGAAGAATTCACAGGAGTGTTGTGCGGAGCAGAACGAGTTCATCGCACAAACATCCGAGGATTTGCGTGTCGCTCATGAACTATATGCAGAGCTTGAGAAGGCATCGAGCCAGAACACTCAAGACAATTTCAACCTCACTCAGGAGATTGATAACCTCATTCTTCAAAATAGAAGTGCTGAGAAACAGCTCAACAGGCGAGTCGAGGAACTTGGCTTAGCCAATATCCGCACATCCGGGCTGGAGTCAAAGATTTCTGACCAGTCAGAGCAATTGCAGGCCGTTGGGGAAGCCCTCGAAGGACTTCGACGAGAGGTCAAGCATAAGACCGATGCGTTCAAACCTAATAGACCAGACACAGTCAAGGCTGATTTCGTCTCAGATAACGACGATATTCTTGACGTTATTGAAGATTACGTATTGCCGGATCCAGACATCACTTTCAATGAAAAAGCTTTGACAGTGACGGATAGTGAAATTATCATCGGCGATATCACTTCCAATACAGCCATTGATGGCAAAATCGTCAAGAGTGAAGAATCAACCTATCCTACATCTCCCTCCACCAACAATTGTTTTCTCTCGGTTATGGGCGTCCTCTTGGTCTCCTTGTTCTTGACAGGGATCTCCGGTTTCTATGGAGCCAAACCTTCAGCAGTCAACATGGCACCAAATTTCAATGCCACCTATCAACAACTCGTATTCACAGCTACCATGTGTTCTCCTCTCGAAGCGCCCAGCGCGTTCGCTGTTACGCCGATTCCAACGTCAACCATCGCAACTTACACCTCTGCCATCCCGGATAATTTCTTCGCTCCCTTCGAGCTGGTCATCGAAGTTCCCGACAATACGTCTTTCGTAGAAGAAGAAGAGAGCAAGAATAAGTGGACCGAGAAAGGTATCTGTCAGTATGAAGAGTTCCCAAAAGTACGAAAGGCGATATTCACAGCTGTGCTTGCTGCTGGGATTCATGGTATCGTATTGCTCAGTCCCATTCTGGGGCCTTGAGCAAAAGACAACCATAAAATTGGAGATTTTAAGAGTTGGAATATTTTTTTATGATAAAGAGTGGAGACGGGGTGGAGGTTGTCGTGCCTTATGATGTATTTTGCTTCGTGCATCCGAGGCAATACACGAAGAGGGGTGTGGAGGATGGAAAGGCGGGATGGAAACACATATCAAGTACCAACTCTAGTACGATGTCAGTGATGCTAACGGTACTGTAGAGACTTTCTCTTGTTAGGAACAATGGCGATGACAGCAGTAGTTATGCTACGCTCATCAGTTCGTTCCCAACAACGAGGAAGGCTTCTAGAGCATTTGTTTGGCATATACGGGTAAAAGGTTTGAGAAAGGGGAGCTTTTGGTTTCTGCGTCATGATGTTCAACTTTGAATAGCTTTTGGGGTCCCTTCTGATATTTTACTAGAGCTTGGCTTGTTGAGTGGGGGGGGGGGGGGTTCAGGGTATGAGAAGGGTCGGGTTTGAGATCTGGCAGCTTTGCACTACTCTAGAGTTTGAAGGATGTAGCAGACAATGGGTTGTTTATAGAAGGCTACACGAATCTCTGTATCAAAAGTGATCAAAAATGAGTTCCTCTTTTGCATCGTGGCTCTTCCTTCTCCATGGCCTAATGGAAGTCTTGGTAAGGTAGCATAATCATACAAGGAGTGTAGAGACCGACAATAATAAATAAACTACTCAAGAACAGTCTAGTTTTATCAGAACATGGTCTATGTATGAATGGTTATTTGATTTTCTAGTGATCTTTCATTAATGGTTTGTTCCCACTTGCGTTACAAACAGATGGTGGCGCAGCACTAATGGGGTGAGGACTTTGACATACGCCTTTGTGAATACTTTGAAATAGTTGTGGCGTCTGGTGAATATCCTAGAGGCTGCTTTAACAAGTTTCATCCACTTTGGGTCTTTCCAATGAGCAGCATCGCAAGTGAATTTGAAAGTCAATAATGGACCTCGCTTAGCTTTTCCACTTGCGCGGTTTGACCCGTTCTCCCTGATCAAACCCACACATCTCGCTTTACAATGCTATGCTTCTTACTCTCTCCGAGCATCACCAACAGTATTGCACAACCGTACCGAAACAAAGCTTATAAGTCTCAATCACACCAGCTCCCCTTTACAAATTTCTACCCCCACCAACTAAGTGCCACATACTGCAGCTTGTGGTTCTCAGCGAGAGTCCAGATATCCCACATTCCGTCATAAACGTCAATCACAACTGAGTGACTGTGATGCCATCTTCCAATACTTCCGACTACCCCGACCATGTCAAGTACGAGCTTGCCCGTCGTGAAGGTATCAAGATGGACATGGACCCGGAGCCAGTGGACGAAAAGAAAAAGAAGAAGAGGAAACATGTCAGACCAAAGACTGCGACTGTGAAGTCTGCAAAGACTCTTGAAGCTGAAGGATATGAGCCCAAAGAAGCATATGAAATGGTTAGTTCTGAAGTCAATGGAGTAGCGTTCCCATCACTGACCATGATATTATAGGCGAAGACAAACAATGAAGCTCAACGAAGACAGGGAAGACGCTCCCATGACCCTGACAATCCCAAAAAAAGACTCGTTAGTCAACAGAATAACATGCGCTTCCAACAGCCTGCACCCGGTCCATTCCCTCACAACCCTACACAGAAGGAAGCCTACACCCCACCCCATCTCCATCGCCCCCGCCCCAATACTCTCAGCTTGCCGCAAACTCCTCCAGCTACTGAATCTCAGGTCAGCCCACTTCCTGGTCTGAGTGGTAGTCACTGGGCTGGCAGTGAGGAGATTTGCCCTCCTACCAAGACCCAGTCAACCACGAATACAGTCAATGCGGAGACCAGTGAGCATGGTAGCGCTGCCCAGAACGCTATGGCTGAGGTTTGCCCTGGTGTTGTTGAAGACAGAGATCTCAAGCAGGACAGTATTGAGGTTTCTATCATTGAGAAGGATACGGTCGAGGTCGAGCAGAAAAATGGCGAGGAGGAGAAAGTAGACGAGGGTATTTTCGAGGGAGAAAAGAGCGAGAATGGGAATATCGGTGAAATTTTGTCCGGATCAGAGGGTAATGTATCTCCGAAGATGGAAACCTCGGAGTTTGAGCAGCAGCCACAAGTCTCAATCGCCGAACACGAAGAGTTGAAGCAGCAACTCACTACACTTCGAAACACACAACTCAATCTCCAGCTCCAATATAACACTGTAGAACAACGGGCCAATCAGCAGCAAAAGCAGTTAGAAGGTCTTCAGAAAACCAACACAAGGCTGGAAGGCCGCCTTGCAAGCTGGATTTCCATGGACAAGCACAACCAAGACCAGCTAAAGGAGAACGCTGTTGAAATCGAAAAACTGAAGAGAGGCAAGACAACTTTTCGGGAATTGATGGACAAAGCTCGTCAGGAATTGCACGACTTTCAGAGGAGCGAGAAGCGTGATCTGACCACACTCAATAATGAGGTCAATGAACTCCATCTCAAGCTCAAAAAAGCCAAGAGCGACCTTATCAGCGAAAAGACAAACGCACAGGCGGCCTCGAGACTGCACGCCTACAAAGCCAAGTTATTAAATGAAAATCTCAACCAGCTGAAGGATAGCCAAGCGGAATCTAGTGGCGAGATCGAGAATTTGAACTTGTATCTCCATGATTTGCGGCAGAGACTGGCATTGGAGCAGCTCGCTCACAACGAGGCCAAAGCCCAGCTTGCAGATACAAACGCCAGGGATGATGGCCTCATCTCCCAGCTGGAAGCTTGCAAGACAGATCTCCAAGCAGCCAAGCTACAAACAGAACCAGTCGAGAATCAAGTTAGAGATCTCAAGATTGCGACCGAGAAGCGCCGGGCGGAGGTGAAGGATGTGGGGGTTCAGGTGGAGAAATATCAGGGAAGAGTCGCCGAGCACCTTTCGCCGCGTCCGGCAAAGGGAGGCAAGAATAGAAATTGGCAGAGCAGAAACCGGAGATTTGATCCCACAAAGGAGGCCAGACAGGAGCAAGATGAGAAGAATAAGTCGTCAGCACTTGTTCTTTTTAGACCTCCTCGCTCTCTTGAACAAAAGGCTTTCCAAACCATCCGTGAGACAATCATGTACGCTTGCTTGGCGCAGATGGGCATGGATGATCTGGTTTACCATGATTTCAATCTCATTAGTAAGTCCCTCACCCTCTTCATTCTATCTCTTCTCAGGAGACCAACTAACATATACATAGAATTCTGTCCAGATTGGCATTGTTCTTTCCATCGGTCTGTTCCATACCGCGCCATCAACGCCTCTCCCCACTCTATCGAGTCTGCCGCAGATACTAAGGTTGTCAAAATCCCACAACCAAAGACCAGAACTAGAGCCGTCGAAGCACCAAAGCCTATTCCAAATAGAGCTACTGAATTCTTCTCCTTCGCCGCCCAGTTCATCATTTACGGAACTGCCATTCTCTTGTTCATCAGTTCCTTTCTCCCTGATGCGAGGTTTCAACATAGCGACCACGAAAACGCGAGGTTCGTTTCCGCAGCGCCATCCCGCGAAGTTTTCAACTCCACAATCTCAGTTGTGGATACAACATGCCCATGGGAAACTCCCAGGCCATCAGCATTAGTCCTCGTTGCCTCGTCTAGCCTCATTGTAGTCGAGCCTCTCGTGGCCGAATCTGAACTCTTCTGGATCGATACCAAGGAATTGACTGGTAACTGTTCAGCTTCGGACCGAGATACCCAGGAACAGATTAAAGGCGATGATACTTGTAGCAACTCGAGACAGGATTCCGAACGCAGAATTGCGATTGGAATTGTAGTCACAGTTGTCGTGCCTGCTGTGGTTATCAGTGGACTCGCGCACGCATTCGGCTACTTGTGAGTCGCCACAAAACGAGATGGAAGAGTGTAACTGTTTGAGTTTCTTATTTTCCTTTGTCGTTCCACAGAAAGTACATTTGTCATCGGTCTTGGGCGTTTTTGTTACTGCACGTTTGTATTTTACTTCACGAGAGATTGTTACGGTGTTATTGTAGGGTGGCTTGTACCGTTGCTTCACTGCGACATGGAGAGGATCTACTTGGAGGGGTGTGCCATTACTTTCGAGTAGTATTTGCCACTCGTCCTAGAAAATCTCTTGTCACAGCACTAGGTGGAATCGTGCTGGACTTCAGGTGGCTTGTTACATAGATTTTCCCGGTACATTACTGGATGTTCTTGGGGTTTGTGCATGCTTATGCCTACTTTATGAGTAGCATTCGCATCCTTGCCTCAGGAATGTCCGTTGAGTATCTTGGAGAATATATGTACTTAGTAAACACTGCAGTGGTAATTGAAATGAATCCAATCTCTCATCTGCCCATTTTTTGTCGTATATCGCATGCATGTGGCTGGTCCCGACGTGATACGAGCCAACACACCCTGGATGTGATCAAAATCATGTGAGCTTGTCCGTCCTTACTTTACTTGTAATGATGCTGAGGTTAGGCTCACACCAACTCCACTATCGGGACCAAAAGATCACAATATTCAGCGCAAGCTGAATACGCCTAACTCATACTAAATGTGTACCGACTATTGTCACGTGCCCTTACATTACTACCGAAGTAGTTAGCTGTTGCAGTGATCACCATCATGAAACAGTAGGATGATTGGACGAGGAGATATATTCGTTTGCCGCAAGTGAGCCAATGCATAGGAAACTTAACGATTGCGAAGCTTCTTTGCTTCGCAAACAAGGTATTGGAAACATTGGTCTTCGCGGAACAAGCAACTCCTTGATTATTGGCTTCTAGCAAAAAGCATTGATGTGATGGAACCCACAGGAATCCCGCCCGCATTTCGGTTGTGACACGAGGCTTGGAACAAAAGAGCTGAGTCAAACATATGATTTCTACTCGATACATAAAGAGGTTCGCTGCCGCTACAACGGGACGGAATATCAAAGATGATCAAGTGCAGCATATGAACCTTCAAAACCCCGCAAGCTTGTTGCCACCCAGTCGAATCTTTCCAGATATTTCCATAGTATTTTTTGATATGCTAGAGTAGTTCGTTTAAAAGGGTCGAGTTGCACTTCAAAAAACACGCCCAATCACGTGGGACAAGGCGCTGTACGGTAATAACAGGATGACTTGGCGGACTCTTTCTTTATTGCAACATCAAAGATTCTTTTATGAGTCATCTGTCTGATTGCTGATTTGGTTTTGAGGATGAATAGCCAATGAATTCTTCAATGCTATCGAGCACAATACCCATTTTTGAACACCACTCCGGCAAACCTTGCCCTAGTGGTACCATGTGAATGGCAGATTTGAACCGGTGTTGTATATATGTAGACAGTCACAGATCATGAAATCGTACAGGATGAAAAAGCTACTCGTTTCAGATCGATTCCATAACGGAAATGCACCCTGAGGAGGAGGAGGATGGAGCTCTTGCATCTCGCTTAAACACTCGTTAGCGTGTTCGGACAGCTAAAACAGCCTCGATATTTGGTGCATCATCATCCAATACTTCCTCCATAACGCACTTCGACAAGAAATTCCCGAGGATCCTCACACCAGTACAAGAAAACTACATTCTTGTCAGCAAAAAGCGCCTGGATCAGGTCACCGCAGACCTCAACGCTACTTGCTCTTTAAACAAACACCCACGACACTCAACACGAAAACAAATTAACACAACACAAAAGACTTCAACATGCCTGTATCAGATAACCAAGCTTTTTCCGTCACCCCTGCCATGGAGAAGAAGATTGACGAGCAAGAGGTCAACGCTATGATGGGATTCAATCGCGTCGATCTCGGAAAGGACGGTCTTGCCAGATCCATTTATGCCACCCCTGGTATGATTGTCGGAACCAAGCGAGAGATTCTTGAAGAACAAGAGAAAAAGAAGCGACAGGATGCAGTTATGAAGCGAGAAGATACTTTCAAGAAGGCGAAGGAGGCAAAGGAGGATGGCGCAAAGGCAGGTGACGGCATGGAGGTTGATTCAGCTGTGCCGAATTGGACCTCTTAGAGTCAAAGCATGAACAATTGAGCGTTGATGTGAGTAGATGCCCGGCTGAATGGTCAGAAAGAGTACTAATACACGCTCTATAGGTTCATTTTCATCAGGAGCTCTCAGACGGTTTGAGACGGAGTCTGGGTATTGCAGCATGTTCTGTTTTTCTTTTTCTGGATATCTAGACTGAATATCAATTTCCGAATTGCCATGACTTTTTCCCTTCCTTGGGTAGCCTTAGGAAGCAGGTAACAAATCAGAAATGTATGATGTTTGGGTCCGGATAATGGTGTATTGCTCCTCCAACGTGTGAACAAAGAACCCACTCAGCTATGAAGTGTATGAACAAAGTCATTGTCTTCACAAAGAACATCCGAATAACCAGTTCTTGCTATTATCCCACTGTTGGCTTTGCTCTTTTAATCGACTGACTCACTAAACCAGCATCGCCAGACCACAGAACACCCCATCAGCGCGACTCACCACACCACCTGTACCCACTTTTCCAAGTCATCTTTTCTCCCTCTAGACCTGCTCAATCATTCCCTCAAATTCTTTGAATTCCTCATCTTATCCTCCCATTTATCCCCTTTTCTCTTCTTCCTCAACCTGGATCAACTCTGCTTTCAGATCTCCACACAACAAACTCTACAATCGACACACAAAACAACCAAGCACCACCTCGCAGGTTACCACACATACAATACTCCACCTCTTCTATCCACACAAAATCAGCTTCATCTCTCGGTAAGATGTCTGCAACTCAATCTCCATCTTCCTTTCCCAAAGTCGAGAAGATGACCACCCCAAAGTCCAATTATACCCAAGCCCCACAGTCCTCCACTACTCCCGACAAGACTTCTTCATCTATATCCAACCCCGAAGTGAATGCCATGATGGGCTTTAATCGGCAAGATCTGGGCATTGATGACTTGGTTGGGAGCATGTGGGCTGAGTCGGGTATGACGTTTTGGTACGAAGAAGGAGGTTTTGGATAAGGAGAACGGGAAGGAGGAGAGCGAGCAGGTTAAAAAGGAGAAGGATGACGAGAAGAAGAAAGAGGGCGAGACGAACGGTGAGGAGAAGAAGGGACAGGATAAGCTTTTGTAAAAGGCGAGTCTCTGACCTCATCGTCGGCAGGAGCAGGGGTGCTGCGTAGGTGAGTATTCAATTCTACTCTTCATCCCTGTCATTATGCCCGGCGTCTCTTCTTTTCTCGAAATTCGAATTTTAGGGTTAACGGTAAAGGCTGGGATTTCTTTCGGGACGGAGTCTCCCTGAATTACTTTCAGGGTCTTTTCTTCAGATAACAGGTAAGGAGTTATCGGATTTTCCACTTCATTCTCTGCCCCGGATTTCAGGAACTGCTTGTGGTTCAAGCAAGATTTTACTTCAATGAGAATACTTTTTAATCAAAACGTTTAATGATTTCTGACTCGAAAGTGATGTGACATAGCAGTAGCTACCTACTAGTAATTAAGTAACTATTCCAATTCCACCGTTGAATAGTGAAATATCGCTCATTCTATCCGAAATGGATGTTGATCCCAGTTGTTAACAGTCAAGTTTAACATGCCTAACAGAACAAAGCTCCAATTTTTAACGTTCAACAATCTAACACACTTAGCAAACTCCTCAAGTTTCTCACTCTATTTACTTTCAAGCGTGTCAACACAGCGGATCTTGGCAGGCCATCATGCCAGAAATCCAGATGAAAGAGGGATGGCAATACAAAAGTATTGTTCGGTCGATCACTGTTGGATTTGATTTGATTCAAACCGTATCATCGTCAGGGCCGAGAACAAACAAGCCGCAACAAAACAAAGAGTCTTGCTTGCTTGCCTGTACAAAGAACTTTCCAAGCCTGTTCCACCACAATCTAAAACAGCGCACAGCAGACCGGGTCCCAAAAGACAGGGACAAATAAACAGACAGGAATATACTCCATTGTTTAGAGAACATATAAATTCAAACCAACTTTGAGCTCTGGGAATTGTCTTTTCAACTCAACCAGTCAGTTTCGTACTACCCCACCGCCATCCACTGACCTCAATACAGTACATCCATCCGGAAAGAATAAACTCAATCGCGGCGCGTTGATTCCTCCTCTCGAGAGAAGTAACTTAACTCGACTCACTTCAGAATGGCAGAGACATCTAACTCTAATTCTAAGTCCAACTCCAACTCAAGGGAAACCGGAAAGATTGTTGATGAGAATACCAAAAACGGTGAGTCCACCTTTAAATCCACCTCCAACGCCACCTCCCTTGCTACCGCTTCCGAAGAGAAAAAGACTAGAAATCCTGATAGTGATAGCAAGTTCACCGTTCCTGCATCCCAGAACGATGTAAAGTCGGAAGACAAAAACGAGCAGCAAGAGCGAGAAGAATCCACTAAGGAAGGAGAAGGAACAACTCCCCAGGATTCAGATAATGAGGGTAAGCAGAGCAAGAGGCATTCAATCGGGTGTTTTGGCTTTCGAGACGGAGATGGAGAAAAAGATGGAGATGTGGGGGCGTGGTTTTCGCATCGGTTCTTTTGATTTGGATGAGATGGGAATCATGGGATGGGATGGATGAGCTGGTTGCAATGCAGGTAGGTGGGGTCTGAGAATTTGTGTTGCTTTTTTATTTTATTTTGTGACGGTTTTCATAGATAGAAAGTGGTAATGCCGTGCTTGTGACGTACTGTAACCAACCGTACTGCTGAGATGAGATAGATTTCCCGAATTCCGAATTAAACAAAACGTTCAGTGATTTGAAATGACATGCTAAGGAAAGGAAGTTCTTTCAAGACTTCTCTTCTCGCTGCATATGCTTCGGTCAAATAGGTGTATCAGTAACTACCTCTTGATAAGCTAGCTATTAGGCGGGGTATCGTTACGCAAGGTAGGCCACCGTTTTTTTTTCTAATTTAATCCGTATCCGTGTCTTTTTCCAGGGCAGGGCAGGGAATAACCTGAGCAAGTCACCCAGTATTGAAGTCACCTCGGCACAAAACAAAGGAACGTTCTATTTCTGCACTGTTCATTCAGATTTGTACTGAGTCAGACCGTGCACGGAATAAAACTAGTAGCAATGATAAGGACAAAGAAGATGAATAGCATGAATACCCGTATTATTCAGTATTCAGTGTTCGTGCTTGGGATAAAAACTCAACTATCCCACCTCACGCGGGTCCTCGTCGTCTTTCATCAACGACACCCACTAATCTACCATCTGACCTCAGCACAATACAAAACATCAAAAATAAGTCAAAATCAAACTTGTGCATTCCTCACGAAGAAGCCTGACTAAACTCAACTCAGCTCAAATCCTTCACAATGGCAGAGCTTTCCAACTCCACAGAAACTAGCAGAACTGCCGATGAAACCAATAATATCAACAAGATGTCTGCCGCTGCAATTCTTGCTCCTACTACTACAGTGGACGACGACAAGGAGAGGAGCCAGAGTCTGCATAGTAATGGCAATAGCATTGATAAAGCCCCGTCAAGCTCAACCATCCCAAGCGCCGCTGCTACATCGTCATCACTACCGTCATCGTCTTCGTTCTTGAACAAAGAAGATGTCTCCTCCTCAAACTCAAGCACAGATTCAAACAAAGAAGAGGCCTCAACCTCAAACAAACCCGAACACAAGGAGGCAAAACCCAATACAGACGAAGAAGTTAACGAGGAGGAGGAAGAACCCACCACCACCACCAACAAAAAAGCAGAAAATCATATCCACACTCTGGAGGAGCTCCGCACTTCAGAAGAGGAAGAGAGCAAGAGAGATACACACAACAAGCCCTTTGATGCTGAAGCGTTCTTTAGAGTGTGGTCGGGGCCTAGTAATGTCGAGGGGGTACATCGGTTGATTGAAGAGGGGAGGGGAAAGAGGAGAAAAGAAGAGAAGTAGGGAAGAGGAGAGTGAGGGGGTTGAGAGTGGTGAGGGGATTGGGGAAATGGGGAAATGGGGAAATGGGGAAATGGGGAAATGGGGGGAAGGAGGGGGTTGAGGGGGTTGAGGAGGGAGGGAAGGGAGGAGGGAAGGAGTTACGTTCCGTTATGGATAGATGAATAAGACAAGAGAGTAAGAAGTTTGGGTTTTCTTGATGGTTTTGATGGGTTGGAGTGATTGCGCTATAGTGTAATTGTGACAAAAGTGTGACTGTGAAAATTCTAACCCAACCTCCTCCTACTCCACTCCACACAAACATCCGCCGTCGCCCCCTCCAGAAAATCATTCATCACAACAACCAACTGCCCATCCACCAACCTCCCACCATTCCCCTGAATCCACGGCAAAGTCTTCGCATCGCAAATGGGTTTCGTCGCCAAAAGACAGCTACTACTCGCATTAGCCGCTAATACCGAATACGCCACCGCCTCGGGGACATTCGTCGCGGTGGCTTGACACTGTAGATTTGTGAATGGCTTCCCTTGCTGTTTCTCAGGCGTGATGGCGTTGAATTCCGCGATTATAGGATCGCCTGTTAGAGTTGCATTCGCGGCGTCCGTGTAGGTAGAGAAGGAATCCGAGGGCGTGAAGAGGATCAGGCGTTTCTTCTGGGCGCGGAGATCGGAGATGGTGAGGCGGAGCATGTCGTCTAGGCTTCCCTGGACGATACCTCCATTTGTGGGTGCGAGGGCGGTGGATACATAGTGGGAGATATCCTCGTTGGAGGGGTGTGCGCATTCGGCTGGGACGCCATCCCATCGTAGTTGCGTGACTACGATTTCATCTGGGTGGCCAATCAGGAATTTAACCACATCCGCTAGGAACTCCGCGAATGGCATGCCCGGGATGGCGGAGTGGCTGAAATAGAGGACGTCCGGGATGGCTGTCTTCCCGCGGAGTACGTTGTGCAGGTAGGCGGGTCTGAACTCGAAATAGCGGGCGCCGATGGAGAGGATGGCGTCGAGGGAGTCCTTTTGCGTGATGGCGAGGCCGCGGACGATGTTGGGCGCGATGGCCATCACGGCCGGGTGGGCCATCATGTTTGCGATTTTGGCGAAGACGGGGTCGATGGTTGTGAGGACGTTGACGAGCGCGTCGCTGCCCATGACGGCGTCGGAGGATTGCATGCTGTTCATGCCGATGTCGTGGGCGGCGGGGAGGAAGAGTTTGCTGAAGGGTTTGCTGGACTGGGGGGAGCCTTGGGGGGCGAGTTGGCTCATCCAGGAGGAGTAGTTGGAAGAGACGGTCACGTAGCATTGGTCTCTGTTGGGGAGGCCGGCGACTCCTGGTCCGGCGTCGTAGTAGCCGTAGGAGACGATCACGTCGTTGCGGACGATGGAGGCTTGGTTGGCCATTGTTTTGAGGGTGCCGCCTTCGAGGTTGCCGGTTAGGACGTTGATGCTGATTTTCTCGTTGGCGATTTCATTGCCATTTTGGGTGACGCGGAATGAGAATGTTCCGGAGAAGTTGAATGCTCCTGGGATGTTCTTCTTGTCTACTTCGAGGTGGTCGCTGGTATATTGACGTTGTGCATTACGCACGATATTTGTTCCCGGGACTGAGAATTCGATTTGACAGCCTGGGGCGCAGACATAGGAATAACATTGGACGCCTTTGCTAGGCATCTTGGCGAGTCCTGGATTGTGCGTTAATAGTTATATCTTGTGGTGTTGTCGTTAGGGAACGTTGTGATGTTGAAATTGAGAGTGCGGGGTGGGGTGATTTGGAGGGGCAGAAGTAAGTTTACAGTAAGATTTCTAAGGGAGAAAGATAACGAAAAGTAATTTATGGAATGTGAAACAACCCAGCTGAAAACTAATATCATGCAGCCCAGCGGATCAAGCTGCGAATCACCTGCAGCTTAAATGCTAGACATGCAGGTGGTGGATTCCTTCTGCCCCTCATCTCATCGCCGGTCTTCAGCCAGCCCCTCGCGCCATGGCGGATGTGGGATGGCGTGGCAGCTGGATAGGATAGATCTCACGAGATGTCTGGATGGATTATTGGAGAGACAACAGATTGATGGATAGATGGATGCGGTGTGACAACACACCATCAATAGAATGTGAGAGAGTTTCTTTGATTCAGAGTTTATAATGGAATGAGAGAGAAGGAGATGTTGTTTGTTTGCATGGGAGAAAGAAAGTGAGGGTGCGGTGCGGTGCGGTGCAGATACTGTACCGTAAAACAGTTTGCCCGCTAGCCAGGGCTGAAGGATCCAGGGCTTTCAGGGGTCAACTGCCCCTGTAAGCCCCGCCCGCTTGGCGCTCGGGCTGCCCGGTACTCGCTAATGGACCCCTCTAGATTGTACCCATCACCTCTCACTTCACCTCATCCAGCCCTATTTAGACCCCAATGATTAGCCACGGCTATAATATTAAGTCTCCATGAAGAGCTTCCAGCTTCATCTGTAATATATTTCGAGAAGTGCGAATACGCGCCTCTTCCAAATTCGAATGAATGAATGGATGGATGGTGTGGTAGGACTACCCCGCCATATCCTTCGGGAAGGACATGATTTGGTTGTGGCTTGGACAGATGCACTGCGAAATATCTAATCTATCCCCATCCATCATACGCTGATCTATCCCTAAACTGATTTATACGTCGTTCGACTCTAACTGTAATCCTCTGTCACGACGTTAAGGAACTGAGGTTTTCTGAACGCTTGTGAAGTACAACAAACTCATCCTCGTGGGTCTTTCGAATATGCCTACTCGTACCCCTGCCCCGGCTTATTGTCTTCATCTAGTTGGTTGAGAGGGCTTCAAAGAGAGGCTTCGAGTCGATAGGATGAAGAGTATGGTTGACTTGATGTGATTGAATCGAAGTATAGGGCAAATGAACAGGGGGTTGGGGCAACAGCGATGGAACCTTGGACCTGATTCCGGGACAGCTGAATGCTGTTTTGGGATCCTGTGTTTATACGTTGTTATTGGACGCTCAGATCCCGGGCTCTCGTTATCTCGAGGTTCTGCTTCAGTACCCATTCATTCTATGACGGTATCATTCCTTTGGTCGCTGTCGACTTTGTCTTCAATTGACCGTCATCTTGACGATGTTGGGCCAGTTCACATCGTTAATCATGGATTTATTGGATGTGATTAGCAGGAGACGTAGGTATAGGAAGAGAGGAGTTCATTTCTGAGGACTAGTCGGGTGCCCTCGGGCGTGCTTACCATTATTTCCAAAGCCTCCAAAATCATTCTCCTACTTACTTGCGATATCTTCAAACTTTACTTCTTATCAGGTTGATATTATGTTCTGTTCTTTGGATGCTCAGTAGCAGATCTGCTTTGATTCACCTCGAAGTTAACTCTCGAGGTTGAAATAAGATTGAATAAATCGTAGCCGGAAGGCGCGCTAGTCGCTCTTTCCTTCCGAGCCGTATCAGCACCTCTACGCCTAGTTGACGCTAGCTAACCTCGTTTCAACCCCGGGTCCTTCTTCTTTCTTCTTCATCAACACCAAGCTGAACCATCACGATCTGAGAACTCTTCTCAGCGAACGAGGCTCGTGATTCGCAGGTCACAGCTGGTAAGCTCTCACACTCCCCCCCCCCTTATGGCGCGGTTTGACTTCTTGAGAGCCTCCAGTAACTCTCACTATCGACTAAGACGACGTACCTACGAGTTCAGTTCCAACAAAGCTCTCCTTCGACCACTGTTTAATTAGGCCAGCTTTCATCTCGATTCTCTTTGAGAAGAATCATCATCCGAGTAACTCTCAGTACAATGAAATCCACTCCTTCTTCAGCTTCCAAGAAGCGCGCTGCTAGTGAGATCAACAGCAACAACAATGGCGCCAAAAGGAAGACAAAAAGAGAATCTTTCATGCAGTGAGTCCATTTCGCCCAGCCCCCTGATATTCGATTCTTATCTGACACCACACAGACTGCTAGGTACTGAAATAGTAGACATCTACGTCGGCAACGACTCCTCGAAGAAGCACTTCCAAATCCACAAAGCAATTCTCTGCTCCAAACTCCCGTTCTTCGACAGCATGTTCAACAGCGGTTTCAAAGAAGGAATCAACAACAGCGCAAACCTCCCAGAAGACGACCCAGACGCCTTCGACGTCCTACTTGAATGGATCTATACCGGCTCACTACCCAAGTTTCGCTGGGTCAAACAGCCGGGCCAACCTGCGGTGGGTAACTACCGACATACGTGCTTACTTACCTTGGTTGATAAACTGTGTTTGGATGAGTTGAAGGATCAGATTGCTAGTGATATCATCGATGCGTCTGTGGAGGAGAATAGCCTGCCTTCGTTTCATCATCTAAGCTACATGATCAACCACTTGTCTGAGACGTCGGCGTTTCGAGAGTACTATGTCCTTGCCTTGCTGTTCATTGTGCATGGACTTCCGAGAACGGATGAGAATCTCGCTCTGTGGCCTACGGAAGGGTTTAGTGAGCTCTTGGCTGGGCATGCGAATGTTGCGACCGCTTACTTTAAGGCTGTGAGGAGTTTGCCGATTGGCAGTGTTGCGGAGGATCCGAGAAAGATGCCACGATGCAAATTTCATGAACATGGGCAAGATGAGGAGTGTTCGGTCGGGAAGAAAAGTTAGTAAAAAGGGCGCTTGTTACATGGAGGTGAGAAGTTGTGGCGTTGGTTGGAATGGACACAGCGCTGTCGAAAGGGATAACGGATACTTTTGCGAACGCTGACTATATCTGTGTACTTCTGCCATACACCGACAAGCATCTTCACTTGAAAGCTAAGCCTCGGTTCTGCCTTTCATTTTCTGACGCCATCAGGGTTATGTTGGCATTGAGATACATTCCCAACGGCCCATCGAAATGATCGGGTAGCATACGTAGCGGGATGGGATGGCTGAGAAATCCTCTCTATTAGCACGTCATGAATTCCAATCACAATGAAGAATTCAGATGAAATTAACTTACGCACTGTGGAACTCAAACAATGAACCATCTGTTGAATATCCTTCCGATCGCCAGAAGCCTTCCCTTACACTCACACCACAATCATGCACTTCCACCTTGTCGCCACCACGTTTTCGTCGCTCACTGCCAAACTTTAACGCCGTATATGTGGATGTTCCAACCCATATGGGCTACAACAATTTCAGATCCCTATCACACTTCTTTCATTCATGTTCGTCTTTGAAACTTACGCTGGCTTTCACTACCATGACACTGACTATGCTCGTGCAGTGCCAGGTACTGGTCAGCAAGGGTCGGTCTGGAAAAGGATACGGAGCAGATATCTTGGGGGTCTCTCTTTCTTCTCCATTGCTATGAATATTGTCCTGCATGAAATTTATACCCAAATCTACAAATACACACAGCCCTAGGGTCTTCTGGAATTTCCTGTAGATCCTTCTTCCTTCTTAAAATATCTTCTTACATCTCCGGATTCCGCGCCACCATCGCGGTGACATACTCGATTGGACCATTCTCAGGATTGACCTCCTGAGGCCTTCCTTGTGGTCCAATGTACAATGACATCATCTCCATGCCCATGAGCCTGAAAAGATTAGCATTTACCATTTTAGAGAAACACCCGACTTACGGTCATATAATGGAGCTGCAGCGGTGGGAGTATCTTATCGTATCTCAGCGGGCACGAATATTGGTGCACAGGAGGTTTTGCCATCTTGAAGGCTTTCATTCTTAAGTTAGGGGCGAAGACAATCTCGAATCATCTATAGTAGAGTACAAATGAGCTCTTCTTTTGACCTTCGGCGAGTTACTTCCTGAAGAGCTTGACAGATGCGAGTTTAGCAGGAAGCGGAACGGAAGTATCGCTAAGATCAATTCGGAGTAGTCCAGAACGCTTCAACAGGATGCACCTCAAGTTCGTGTTCGATTTATTTTGAACAAAAGCGAAACAAACAGAATTCGATTTCAGTACAAGATACGATTTACTGAATCGCGTGTGGTGGTTTCATTTGTTCTGTTCCGCTGTCATATTTTATTTGTGAGTTCAGTTATTGTTGTTCGCTTAAAACTTTGTTGTCGACAAGTCCGTCACACAAACCAAAACAAACAAAACATTTGTAGCAGTGCTCAATTCAATAATATTTCTTAGAGGATGGCAAACCCATTTCACACATTGTTTCAGTTACTGATCTACAGACATAAACTGAGTTCTACTGTGTGTTCACATTAAACGTGAAGAATTTACTTGCTGTTACGCCAAAAACCAGGCGACTGAATTAGGAAACAAACATGAGAAGGAGCTTACCAGGTCGATTCAGCTTGTGAAAGAGAAAGAAAAATTGTGCAAAGGTTCAAAGGCTACAATAAAGTCTCTGGAAAGAGAGAAGAAAACCTTAGAAGAATAAAAGAGAGTTTTGCAAAAGACGAAGAACAGTTTAGAGGCAGAGAAAGAAAAGAACTTGGGAGGCCGAGAAGACTGCATGGGAAGCTGAGAAGAAACTGTTGGTCGTCCGGAAGAAACATGGAGATTCCCATTATGGAGTCAGAATGGAGACACACCAAGAGACAGGCCTACTTCGAGGCCAAATAATGAAAAAGCAGGTTCCGCCCCACCGTGGGAGGTGCACTTTCCTAGAATAATAATCATATCACTGTTATAAAATTTTGTTAAGTGTCAATTGATAGTCAATTGATAGTGATAAGAAATTCTTGACAGTTAAGATGTCGTCATCTTAGGAAAGTGCACCTCCCACGGTGGGGCGGAACCTGCTTTCTCCTGTACCTAGGTAAGGTAGGTAGGTATTAATCGGGCCCAACGCACGTGATGTTTTCATTCTCGCTACTCGCGGAGGCTATTTTAGACGGCCCCACACTACCAACTCTAAGTCAACGGCATTCTCAGTTCAGTGCTGCTGGTGGTGAGTATTTTGCCCACTGGAGGTATTCATGGACTCTTTCCCACTTGCTTCTCATCCCTGTGTTGACACCACCACTGTATTCATGTACCTCCACTCCCATCGTGTGCCCTCATGCTCACAGTATTGACGCATCTTGTTTGGATGACCTTCCTAGCAAGTCAGCGTCCGCAGACGGCAATGACTTGGCGAGTCGTATGTCTTTGTGCAGCTCATCGCACAAGTCTCGTCGGCACTGCTCACGGGGTGTATAGGAAGTTTTCTCGTTCTGTCCTCAACCCTCTCGGAGCCGCCGCGCAATTTCATCCGTCCTTTGTAATCACAATAGATCTGGTTTCTATCGATTCTCTCGGTGGTGCATCTTCTGGGCATCTCGGGTTCTTGAAGGATACGTGAGGACAAACTGATTGTTGCACCGCGTTACTTCTGGGACGAACAGTTTGGAAGAATGAGTGGCTTACATCGACCATGGGGACCATCTTTAGTGTCATACATCACAAATATCAGTGGTTCCTCGGGGGTCTGTTCCTCAAGCCAGTACCTTCACATAAACTTAGCTTCGATGTATCATGGAGCCTTATTTCGCTCGGGCCTGGAAAATCATTGACTCACCACTGGTGCTTTGGATTGTACGTGAGGTAGTAGACCTCCCCGACATTCTCAGGGATGATTCTGTCAGCTGCCACCAAATCGGATGGATCTACTGATCTGCTGTCGCAGAACGCTAGCGGTCTGTCTTTGAGGACTGGAATGAGTGTTCTCCAGGTACTGTTCTTGTCAGCCTGTTACCTGTAGTTTGGAGCCTCGGCGTTCAGTACTTGATTATGCGGATTCGATATCCAGGCCTGAGAAACCGCGCTTTCTCAGCATCACTCATGAATCGATTTATGACCAATGGTCCAGACTTATACGTGATGTCTCTGCCTGTCAGTCAACGGTAGCCAAGCTTCATGTCCACGATTCTCACCATTGTGTACCCCTCTTGCCGGCCCCTCAGTATGCAGAGGATCTGCGAGATCAAGATGGTCTCTCTTGAAGACAATATTCTTGCGCAATACCGAGTCGTAGCAATTTACATAAACAGCGTTCATTGTTGTCTTGAGAAGCTCCTCGGTTTCGACACGATATCTCGCGACATCCTCCGCCTTGTTGAAGCTACCAAACGCAGAGCGATGGCTGAGGAACTGGAATCCCCAATCGTCGATGTGTGGCGCAGGATCTTCACATTCCCTCAGATCGCGGATCAGGATGTTTCCATGCTCTTCGAATTCTAGGTTATCGACCCGATCGACATTGGGATCATACCCCTCACTGGGAGGGAGGAAGCACCAGTACGGCTTTTCTCGCTCGTAGAGCTGAAGTTTCTGAAGATACTCCAAGGCAGCTTCGATTTGCGGCATCTGGACTTCTCGCTTTCTGATGAGTGCTGGGTAAGTTAAGAATTGTGAAAGTTCAGGCAGAAAATGAGTCTCGTGCGACAGCTGGAAACTTTTCGGACAGCCAGGAATCGGTCGGTTGTCCAATCAAGCACAATATTTCAGAGCCTCTCGCTGGAGTTACTTTGGGATGCCGGCGCGGGGTAACATGACCCCGCCATGGTCTCACTTTTACGTACCCTCGCACGCTTCACTCTACCAAATGAGCGATTTTTGTTGTCAGGGAATTGTTGCAAGCTCATGCATAAGCCACAGTATCCCAACGAATCAAGTCGCAGTCCGGTATCTGGATATGCAGGGCTAGTGTGCCTCTCGGACAGCCTTGAGCAGCCACAATCTAGAACACCATACGAGTCGGGCGCACAGGTATCCCTTGACCAAAGATAACAATCTGCCGGCGGTCAAAATCAACATTGTTGTTTTACACCTCCCCGCTTACGCGGTATGAGAGCCTAACTGACCGACGTATGTCCGTTATTTTGCCTTTTTGTGAATTGGTGGATTTAATAGGTCGGCCGGACCCGATAAGGCCACAAATCATACTCGTCACCTCTCACAGCATCTCGTCATCACTGAAATTCGGCTTTGTGTTCTGAATGGTCATCCCGCAAATTGAGCCGAATTCCTAAGATATCGCTCCCATTACCCCATGCCACTTAGATGCCAAGAAATTTCGCTCTCCTCGTTCCAGTGTAAACAATTGTGTCAACTGGTTCTGGTCAGCAAACAAGAATTAAGCTCAGTTGAGGGATTTTAAGTCTAATTGTGACATTAATAATTTCTTCTTGAGCCATGTTCATGATTACTGTTTATTATCTCACCCGATCTCATGAGTGAGCAAATTGATTGATATTTGCCATGTCTGGGCACTGGCGACCCAAAGCGAGTTGTCATTCGTTCAGATCGACATCGTTCTTGAAGTCCTTCACGCTCCCTCGGGCCGCAGTGCCCCTTCATTATCTCCTGAACTGCTCTGGATCTGTGCAGATGCTCATTCATGCGCACACTTTGTCCCCTGCTCCTTAGTCTCCCAAGTTGATGAAGCAGCAGAATGCCCCATAAGAAGCTCCTTATGTTCCACGCTCTGATAGATTTTTCACTCTTGAGTAACCACGATGGACCTTGTCTCTACACTTCGACGTGGCGGGGCATTTATAGGTGCCTCGGGATTTGGAAAGGAGACATGTGGACAAACTTTTTTCAGTTAGCAAGCCTGATACCGTTCTTCTAGGCAAAGAACCTAAGCATACATCGAGCATGGTTACCAGCTTTAGTATCATATAGTACAAATACAAGTGGCTCAAAACAAGTTTGTCTTGATAACCAATACCTAAACAAAAGATGTGAGACTCTAGAAGCTTTGCATATTGGGAGAACGTACCATTTATGCTGCGAGTTGTATTTCAGGTAGTACACTTCCCCTACACGGTCCGGAATGATACGATCGCATGCAATCAAGTCCGAAGGCGCAACAGTTCGACTGTCACAAAGAGCTAATGGTCGATCTTCAAGCACAGGCAGAGTGCTCCTCCATGTACTAATTCAGTCAGAGAAGTAGAAAACCTCACAGTTAATGGAGACGCTAACTTTACAATTCTGAACCTGTAACCTGGCTTGAAGTACCGCTGCTTTTCATCGTCCGATAAGTATCGGTTGATGATGTTTGGACCGGAGTGGTAGGTAATATCTTGATGCAATACCAGTTTAGTGTTCTAGAATTCAAAGCAAAAGTATGAGGGGGAGGTTTTACCATTATGGGCGCCACGGGCAGGACCTATGACATGCATTTGGTCCTTCAAGTCAAAAACAGTTTCGTCAATTATTATGTTTCTCCTCATCACGATATCATAACACTTGACAAAAACAGCACCGAGGTGAGAATTGAGCATATCCTCGGTCTCGATTTGATATTCTGCTAAGGCCATAGTGGAGCTGAGACCGTTTTCCGAGTGGAGGTCCAGGAATCGTGAAGTATGGGATAGTACTTCAAATCCGTACTCGTCCAACTCGTACTTTTCTTTGAGCGGCCGGATATCTTCGATTCGGATGTCATGATGTGACTCAAATTCTAGGTTATCTATCTGCTCATTGTCGACCTGAGTAGCGTCGCTGGCAGGCATCAAACAGAAATAGGGCTTTTCCAATTGATAGAGCTCAAGATCCTTCAGGTACCTGCCCCAACTTAGTTTACGCCAATGCCCGGGCCGTCTTAGACTTGAGATAATACATACTCGAGTGTAGTCACTACGCAAGGCATTGTGATGCTCTCCTCTCTGCTCCTGGTCGTGATGATGGTGAAGGACGAGGTATGTCGCTTAATCGGAGGCTTGGGGGAAAGTCCAGGGAGATCTCCCAGCCGCGTCTGACAAGCCACACAGGCCATAGTCCGACTCACCGACAGTCTTGTAGAATGGCCGCCGACCGTCTCCCCATCTTGCCTTATCGTGCTACACAGCACTGGAGTCGACGAAAGTCGATTTTTGCACCCCTCGCATTTCCTTGCACGTGGTGAAGTTAGTTTATGACAGGAAATATTCGGAGCATCATTGATGATTGTGTAGCTTGGATATATGCATGTCGAGCTGCCCTGCTGCAGCCACGAGGGGTTGCATCGGATTGCCTTCCAGATCAGCCTGACACTACTGTATGCCCCCCTGGGAATGGTGCCACTTTCCAGGTCTTACTTAACAGCAAGGCCTGCCACATAGACCTGGTTTCCATTCCAACCTTAAAAAACAATGTCTAGAGTCTGTCGCACGCCTTGTTGACCCCACCGAATCCATCCTCCCTCCCTCATCAACACTCCCATTGAATCCGATACCAGGCATCAGCGGACGAACAAAGTTCTTGAGCGTCTGTTAGCCAGCCGGCGAATTGTTAAAAAGTGTCTTGTATTATAAATATCGCGCGGAAGGATTTCATCCAATGGACGACCCAACGCACCCCGAGCGACTTAATTCATCGGTATGCTGGTCAATTGAATATTCCCTACTTAGTGCTGACTTCCTAGTTGTCGCGTGAAGACATGAACATAGGAGATATGCAATCGGACACCTCAGGCCGTTCGACACCAGAGCCACGAGCTTCCACCGAGCTTTCCGAACCTGTTGCCTCGTTCTTTAGCAACGTAACCCTCGGCGGATTTCCTGAGCCAGATACAAAGGCACAACCCTGGAAGAGAGTGTGGAAGGGACCACAACAGCCATCTTCTGATGGAAAAATTCTCGTGGGATGCCCAAAGATCTGTGTTTATGGTCAGTTGAAAGCACACTCGTTTGTCGCAGAAATGAGGGGTCATATTTCGCGCTCGAGAGTTGCAGTATATATGCAATCGACCGATCGCACCTCGTATTCTCTGCCATTGTCTTTCCATTTCTTCAAGACAATCAACATATTTACTAACGAGAGGGGCTGTGATAGGAAGCAATGTCTTGGGAGGTTACTGAAGTATTGAGATTTATAACAGTGCAGTCAAAAGCTCGAAAGTCCGAAAAGTTGGAACTAGGAAGGCCGTTTATATTTTTTGACGGGCACTCCATATGTCATACTCTCTTGGCTCTTATACTTAAATCTATTTACGACCATCTCCTATCATTGAAACTGGAATTACATTTGTATCTCCACAAGACCTGCCATTATATTAGCTTACTTCGAATTCAGTGACAGCCACTCCAGCCGAAATCTGGCCACTCCTCTGGATTTTGAATCTGCTCACAACTGTGCGATTGTCTCCGTGTTCGGTCATGCAATAAGCCATGACTTGCATATTGACGAGGCAGACTACCGCGGTACAGGCATCAGCTGCAAGTATTGATGTTTGTTATCACAATATCGACTGATAGCACAATCTCTGACCGCTCTTTCCATCAGATGTAGATTGGTGAGAAGCTTTCAGGTGGGGCACCTCCCATCCAATTCCGCATACAGCCGAACGCTGGTCATTTGGATAGAGAGACAGTCTCACAGCATTGTATCTCGCTGGAGATGCCAATGGCTCGGAAGTCCCCATATCCGTAATTCTCGAGTTCGTGGTTGTCATTGGCAATCCAAGACAACCTCTCTAATGTGTTAAGAGTCATTTGATCATGGCATCTTGTCGTTGAAGCAGTTTACGTCACGCTGAAAGTATGGACAAATCAAGAGTGGGATGAGGTTGATTGATGGTGGGAAATATATTGGATCAAGGGCATGGATCATCAGCAATGCTAACAAGATCAGGCAATGAAGTACATTTCAAGTCAAAGCCCAGCATAGTCTCCATATTCATCTGAAAAAGAGCGGGAGCAACAAGTCATAGCTGACTTCTTCTCCCCTGTCCGGATTCTCCTCCTCAGCAGGCAGAACTTCTCTCCCCTGACCAGCAGCACGAATTCGCTGTTTTGCCATCTCAGCTTGTCGTCTCAGGTCTCTAGCATCCTCTAGGGTCTCCTCTAGAGACGCCATGCCTGATTTCTTATCTTCCTCAATGACTCTAGCCATATGCCACAAGACTCGGGCAATTGCCCCGTCGATTGATGTTGGACTTCGAAGCTCTGATATGATTTTGGCCTTGCCAAACAAATAGCTGATATCTGTCAGTACAATTCAAGCGGGAAGGTCTACAAATGGCCTACAAAGCAAGCGAGTAGTTTTTCTTGGCACGTTGCGTGACCCCGAGAGAAAACCAGGCCGAAGCAGTGAGTGGATGAAGTGGCATAATTGGCAGGGCAATCTTCAAACATGTGTCGTAAGCGAGCCAGGCTGAGTCGAGATCTCCTTGGGCCAGGTGGATGTTACCAAAGAGATAGTGGACACTTTATGTCAATGTAAGGCCGTGTTCGACGTGAATCTGAGTGGGGGAAATGTACTTAGCTATGAAAGCCAGATCAGGTCCAGCCGTCCGCACAAATAGTGTCTCCGAGAGATTGGTGTATCGTATTGCTTCAGGAAAATCGCCTTGCAGCATATAAAATCTGCCGAGACAGAGGTAGGTGACCGCCAGTTGCTGTGCGGTTTGATCGCCCCCCAAATGCCAAAGTTTCATAGCCTTCACATAGTACTCTTCTGCACCTTCTTCATTTCCCGCTGCAAGTTCCAAGTTTCCAATGTTATTGTAAATGGCAGCAACTATTTCTAGTAAGCGCTTTGCCAACAGAACGTGGATAGAAAGAATAAATACTTCGAATATCATTAGGTCTATTCTCGAGAAGCTTTTCACGAACACGAAGAGACTCCTCCCAAGATTTACGACATTCTCCTAGCTCATTCAGATCGTAATGCTGACAGCCGTTGATGAGCCTTAGTTCAGCATAGACCATAGATTCTTTGTCTCGACAAGCTTGAAGACCTGTACCACAGACCAGTGACGTTGTGGTATAATCTCCAAGTTCATAGAGATACCTATGCAAGAGTAAGCCTTTGAGAAAACAATCAGAAATTTGACGAACCAAGCACAGTTACTCATTAGCTCTTCAAATTCCCTTGGCACTTGCAAGATTCTGTTGCGGTTGTATTTGCTGTACCCAATGCGCAATTGGATACCGTGGGGAATGTATTCTCGGCAAATGTTCCACTGCTTGTATAATGTCTCATTAGGTTCCCGATCGGGGAACTGCTGGAACACCAATCTTGAGGCTGTATTGAAAGACTTTTGAAGGTCTTCAAAGCTGTGGAAGTTGGTTGCTTCTTGAACGACACGATGTATTTTGAAGAAGCGTCCTTCTCGACTGATCAGCCTCTTTCTCAAGAGGTCTTCGATGGCATCGTCAAACGCAGGAGACGTTGTAATGAGACTGAAAAGAGATGCTCTGTTGAGATCATCAATATTCTTCGGGTCTTGTTTACAAAACCATAGTGGGCCGTCTAAGGCCGATTGATCTCTAGGTAAGAAGAGATCGATTGGGATTTTATCTGCGTCACGTCAGAGGCCGCGATGTAAGAAAGTCACTGGATACTGACCTGGTGACAACCATGCAAGTACTCCAAGCAGTACCCGAGCGTTGGGCTGTAGTGCTCTGAAGATGATATCCCAGAGAGCATCCAATGCCTTTTCAGAACTTGAGCGTTCACTGGCATATCTTTCCGGAAGATTTTGCTTTGTTTCCTTGAATCTTGCGTAAGTCTCAACAATGGTTGTACCACCAATTTCGGGATCTTTGATCAGTACGGCGGTCTGCACAATCGCGAGAGCTAGTCCTTCCAATTCTCCGAGCATTGCTTTGGCTGCTTCCATCTCCCCAGGGCTTTCAACTTTCTGCTTCCAATCATCCCCAAGAAACCCCAGTAATAACTCCCAACTCGGATCTGGATCGAAGGGTTTGACTGTTTCTCCGTGTCGGCTAACGTCCTTCGTGTAGTTGTACCATTTTCGAGAAGTCATCAGAATTGAACCATTCACGCCCACAGGCATATAACCGCGAAGCGTTATCTCATTCTCTGCAGGTCTTGTAAATAGCTCGATCTATAAACTTACACATGTCTGACCTACCAGCGTTGTCAAAAATCAGGAGCCATTTTTTCTCTGTCCATTCGCTGCTTAGTATATGAATTCTACACGATCAATGATTGAACTCACTTGTTCGTTTCAGCCACTTATGCACTGCGTCCAGATTCTCTTCGTGATGTCTATCACGATCGGCACCAGGAAGATTCAGAGATACGGCCACTTCCGTGAAGCTTTGTCGAATGGAAACACTCGTCTCGCACTGGATCCAGAATATTGCGTCAAACACTCCACGCGGGCTGAGATTCTCATGGGCAAACTGAAGAGCGATGGCTGTCTTGCCAACTCCTCGCCTTCCATATATCATGTATGTTCTCAATCGTTCCATGCCATCCTCAGGGTTCAAATGCACTTTGATCAGATCTATCTCCTCACGTCTTCCATAGAATTCCGTGTTTTTTCTTTCCAGAATGGAATTTGGAAAATTCGCTTGCTCTTCACTCTCGGGTTTCAGTTCATGCCTTAGAGCCAAATTCTTGACTTGGTCCTGCCGGTTGACCTGAGAATATGTTGAAATATCATTGACATGCTTGACCGCCTGATCTAAATCGCCAAACTGGCTCACCATGCTATCGGTAAAAGACAACCAGGACGAGCTCGATGACGGTTCTATGTTGCCGTTAGGTGATATTTTGGCACCATTAAAACGACACCATCCACTTACCAGACACACATCGATTCAGATGCTTATTAAGGTCGATCAGAATTGTAGCTAGTAAGTCAAGATAGTCCACCACGGCAATTCTAGACTCGTTGACTTCGTTGGGATGATAACATGCATCAAGACTTCTGTTGAACAGCTCTACCGTTCTTCTCATCTTTCCCAGCAGGTCGGCTGTTTTCCTGAGATGTTCTTCGGATATGTAAGACAGCTAGATATGTTATCTCAAGTTTCCAGCTGGAGATACCTGAAAAACTTGCCTTGAGATTGACATAAATGATCCCCCAGACCATCTCAAAGTCCACGATGGATGGTGCAACCAACTTTCTGAAACGATGTACAAGATTCTCCAGGGCATCTGGTAGTTGGGTTATCTTTCCATGCTGCCTCTTGACTGTGGTCGAGGATTCTGGGCTCGTTCGCTTGTCCTCAATCTGCCGTATAAGGGCTTCTCCATTTCGACACTCTAGAGCCACTTCCCGATCTGAGAAGTCAGCATCAGTTAACACTCTCAAGCAATTAGCTTACCAGAAGATGACAATTCTGCTAGGATCGCATTCTGAGTGTCGGTCCATCGTTCTACAGCGAAATTCGATGTATTCCTTGCAGAAATGTGAATACATTTGTCGCAATTTTACTTCAGAGGGAACTCACGAAAAGTTCACAATATACTCATCAGTCCTTTTGAGGCGAAAAACGACTGCGCTTCTCAATTCACCCGTGTCTTGCGGGGACCCATTGGCATCCCCATTGATGAAACTCGGCATTTTGCTTGCGAATGATTATTTGCTTCAGATACCAGCCGACTCTTCGGGATCGACCCATAAGATGGAACACTAATTGACGAGGAACGAGGCTTCGGCTCCGTGATACTGAATCTTGGATTATAGGTTACGGAACACTCTCTAGTATCGAAGATCAACCTTGCCCTAAGTCTGGATGCAAAGACTCCAACGTTGTGGCATATGAATCAGGAGACGATCTCCAACCCTGGAGACCGAGCCGAATATCGTGACACAAGTCAGGCTCCCTTTCAATGTATGGCGGGGCTGTGATGCTGTGACTGTGTGGTTCTCCGACTTACACAGAATGTGGCCACCTGACATGCTGTCTCAACTTGGAATGAGGCTGAAAAGAACGCCAATCATTACTGATACCACACCCCCTCTTTCAGGATGGCTGGGGATCTCTTGATTGCATGCATATAATGCCATACAAGCCGGGCGTCGTGGCCAGGTAGATGAAAGTCAGCTCGCGAGGCAGAGAGCGGAATTATGCACGAGGATAGGGCAAATGTATGTGGTTGGCTCAAGGAAAGTGAACATGCGCCACCCGGAAGAGTAGTGATAAGCTCGCCTCAGTTCATATGCACACGCAGTTTCGCTGCACAGTCTGAAGCCAACAAGGAAGCTTTTAGTCATATGAAGGATGCGTGGGGTGAAGTGTCTATGGATTAATCGGCAAGCGGATGAGCGCTGCAAACAGACCTCATCAATGTATTCCCAGTCGCTTTCCGATGCACCGTAGCTGGCACTCCCTTCCCGGCGACCGTTCGCCGTTAAGACGGAGTAGAAAACGTTCAGGGAGGTAAGAATGCTCTGGCCTTCATGTATGTCAATAAGTGGGGTAGTTTTGAATTGCTCCGGCTGGCGAGGCTCTGTGGAGAGAATGTTTCTCGGAATTCCAGGCGTTTTGACAAGGCTCTCGTCCTATTTCGTCTCAAACCAGCTTCAGCCCGACTGGGCAGGGCTTGCATATGTGGAACCAATCAAGCGATATGCAGCTGATTGCACATCGCGACGTGCGGGGGAAGTAATTGGTGATCCACATGCAGAAGGACTTTCCAGTTTGCTCTGTTGATCAGTCTCGTCTTTGCATAGAATTTTGTGGTCCAACTCGCCGTCCACAGACGATCTGGATTGAAAGCAACTTCAAGGTTATTATCAGTTGTGAACTTCAAATTTCCACGACAAGGCAGTCGGGTCCTTCGCTACGATGGACGGCCTCGAGGCTCGCAATGGAAAAAACAAGGATCTCCTGTGATTATCCCATCCATAAGAGTTGGTGTCTCATTAACCCAAGAGACAGTAACAATGGGGACTTTGCGGTGAAGAGATGGAGCGATGCAGTAGAAGCAATCAAGCAGGACCTATCAGCAGCGGGCAAGTCGATTTCCGCCGTTACGCTTTATTCACTTGCTGAACGATACCAAACAGACTGTGATCAGGCGTCTATCGGCGGAGACTGGAGAAATATACAAACAGAAATCAGCAACTTGGCATCAGACTCGATCATGCCCGCAGCCGCAAAGAAATCACTCAACCAAATGACGCCTTTCCCTCGAACACTTGCAGCGCTCGTGAACACATTTTGCCTGGCCGTGAGCCCTTACACAGCCCAGTTTGATATGATGTGGGGACTTCTCAATCTTAATCTCCAGGTGAGAACATCGAGTGTCTTTAAGTTGAGGTTATCCTTATTGAGAGCCATAGCTATCTAGGAACTCCTCGGTGAAGTTAGCCAGAATGGCTGCTTGGGTGAAAAAAGCGAGAAATATCCTAGAGCTGTTCAGTCGCTGTTTGAAGAACTGCGAAGGAGATACAGCTGAAGCTCAATATGCGCTGGTAGATGTATTTGGTATGGATAAATTGTCAATCTCGTTTTGAGGAGCTGACATCAATTCAGAATCATTGCTGCAGATTCTTGGTGAATCTGTCAAACATCTTCGTCAAAGCTCCTCTGGTATGTAACAGGAGACTTCTCCTTTACTACTGGCTCCTATCTTACTTACAATTGGCCCCAATATGAAAGAACTGACGTGATGGCATGCAGAAGGGGATGCGGCAAAGGCCTGGAAACCTTTCGAAATCTCAATCAATGAGTACTTGGAAGAGATGGAAACTTCGACGAAACACCTGAACGATATGATAGGCTGTTCCAAAGTGAATGTCGAGGCTCGCACAAAACCCCTATCCACTCGACCTGGACCGATTGTCCTCCCGCGAGAGTTTTGCGCCTTTCCTGTGAACACGTTGTTGCGGAACCGAAACGCAGATTTTTTTGGTCGGAATACGGAATTGGAAAAAATCAGCAGCTATCTTGACCCAAGGAGCAACACAACTCTGCGAACATACACAATATACGGACGGCGCGGGGTGGGGAAAACTGATATTGCTCTCGAGTACGCATATTCAAACCTGGCAAAGTTCGACGCGATATTTTGGATCAACTGCGAGACTGCCGGTTCTTTGAGGACAAGTTTTGCAGCAATTGCAACTGCACTTCGATTGCCAAATGCTGACCGTGCCGGTATGAGTTTCAACTCACCATCATCATGTACCATCCGTGTCTTGTGCTGATTTAGAAAGGCTGCCATGAAGAAAATCAACTCGCAGTTCAGAACTGGTTCCAGACAACCAGTATGTTCCTATATCCCACACTCTTCCACTTTAGATGATACTGAAACTTTAGTAGCACAGCAGTGGCTCCTTATTTTCGACAACGCTGGTCAGTTTTAAACATCCCATGCCCCCTACCACCATCCCGAGATTATGCTTACCTCTGTCCATGCTCTAGAAAACGATGATATTCTCAAAGGTTACTGGCCCACAGGTGCTACGGGGGCGATACTGTAAGCGCTCGATTATATCAGAATGAGGCTAGTTTAACCGTCACAGAATTACATCCCGAAGATATTTCAATTTTACGAATGATGCGCAGAGACATGCAGATACTATCAAGCCATTCAACGAGAGACAGAGCTGGGAATTGTTTATGAAGTTCCTTGGACCGACATGGCAGCAAAAGGATAACGATGGACGTATGAACGGTATAGAAGAGAAAGCAGCAAGAACTCTGTTGCAACGATTTGGGGGGGTACGTACCGTCACTAAGAAAGGAACTCGGCTGACAATGTGGTAGCTTGCCCTTGCGATCCAGCAGGCGGCCCAACTCGTAAACAATAGCTCTATCGGAGATTCAACGATTGTTTCAGTCTTGAAGTCGTTCAAAGATCATGAGAAGAGCCTTCCCCCCCGTCCCATACATCCTCGTTCAGACATGGAGAAAGCCCTGGATTCTTTGTGGGACATATCCTTCACCCACTTGTCCAGAAATGCACGGGATCTCTTGAGTGTCCTGTCCCTACTCTCGCCTGGTACGTTCAATCAAAGCCATTTGTCATTTCGTGCTAATAACGTCGTAGACGGCGTAACTATTGACCTTTTCCTTCCAGTCAACCAAAGGACCTTAGATGGAAAACTCAACTTCTGCAAGCAAAATCGAAATTCCAAACCCAGAGATACGGACGCTACGCTTTCCAGCGTTATCAGTGAGCCGCCATTGCTTCGAAGCGCCATTGCAGAGCTGGAAAATCTCAGATTGATAAAATTTGAAAGACGGATACTGCGCGTCCATCGGGTTGTACAAGAAGCAATGAATTATTACTCCAGCCAGGAGATGCAGTTGTACTTCAATAGTGCTGCAGCTGTCCTTTTTGAAGCATTCCCGAAACAACTCGGTCGCGACATCATGGCAAAACACTGGACAACATGCGAATGTTACATTGCACACGGAGTCGCATTGAGTGCGAAGTTTCAGGCATACTATAATTTCGATGAGAATAAATCCCTCACAGGGTAAGATTGTTGAACACTACCTGCGTCGTGGATCATCCCTAATTAAGTCATCTAGCACAACGGAGTTGGTTCAACTTTTGACCAATTGCGCTCGATACCTATTGCAAATCTGCGACTACAAGACCTGTTCAGCTGTCATCAGAAGCGGCAGACTGGCTTGCAAAAGTGCTGAAAAGGAGTCATTGCATCATGCGACGCTATACAGTATCGAAGGTTGGGCTTCCTACGAACTCAATAATCTTGAGGAGTGCAGGAAGAATTTCGAAGCTGCTTTTCGAATTCAAGAAGAACTTCTCCTTGATGACGACATTGAGGTATATGATGTTTCGTAACCCTACCCTAGACCCCCAAGTCTTATTGACTCCTTTACAGAAATCAAGTTCGTTGCATCACATGGGCGTGCTTGAGTGTGCATCCGGCGACTTTGAGGCAGCCTTGGACTACTTCACACGCGCTGCGACAATTCGTATTCAAAGTGGAGACAGTGCCTCAAATCTCCTTGCAAACACCTACCTGCGTATGTCCCGAGTTTATTTCAATCAGCAAGATTACAAAAATGCGCTTAAGATTCTCGAAAAGGCGGAGATCTTGTACCTACGGGTTTCTGATGGCGAAGCACCATTCATGGCACAGTAAGTGGATTGAAGCCACGCGATGCTGGAGGCACAATTGCTGACGATGAACTCAGCATTCATTACGCTTATGGAAACATTCATTACGCTCGTGAAGATTGGCCCCTTGCCAGGAAGTCTTACAGCAAATGCTTGGGAATTTCCAATGCAAAGACCTCAGTTCATCCAATTACAGCAGCTGGTTACTATCGTCTTGGCTGTGTAGAGTTCAAGCTTGGGCGTAAGCATGAAACACTATCACTGTAAGCTGCACTACCAGAAATAATCCTCTACAACCTAATTCTAACACATTCCAGTGAATTCCTCAGAAAAGCTTTGTCCATCGCGCGCCTCAGAAGCCCTGGCCGTGATGACGGGACGGTCGCTCGGATTCTTTGGAAAACTGCCAATGTGCTGAAAGGCACTCAATCTGCGTCGGAGTCCGAGATCAATTATATGCGAAAGGCGGCTGAGGCCGCTCTCCAAGACCCTAAGAATCATGGGGAGGGAATGCTAATCCTTACTCTGGATGAGAAAGGCGAGGTCAATGAACAGGAACTTGAAGAGGCATACGACAAATTGGTGCCAGAGTTCTTCAGATGATACTAGCGGTTTCGGAAAGTTTAAGATTGAAGTAGCTACAGTGATGTTTTGTTGTCAATATAAATCACCTCGAATCACAATATTTACGGCATGACTGAAATTCGCACCGAAAATTGTTACAGTTCGTATCGGAATGACTATCAACATCATGACCACACCCACACTCGGCTCAGAATGTGCAAATTTCACCCATAGATCAGGACTGTTGTCTCCTGATCTGATCTTATTTTCCTGGTCTAATCGTAAAGTATAATTGCAATATTTGCAGAATGACCTAACTCATGATCAGTTCAAGAAGATTGGCAACGACTGAGGGAATAATACCTGCAAAAACCCAAGAATGATCGCCAAAGCACCCATAATTAAGACTACCTAGTCATTTTTAGCGGCATCACATCATGGAGAATGTAACAATTACCCAGAAGGTCCACCATCTCAAGGTGTCCCTTTTATCGTACCATAGTGTCCATATTCCATCAGGTTCATGTCTTTCGGCAGCATTTTGAAGGAGTAAGAGCCGTGGCCCGAGGAATTTGAAGGTGTCCACTGTCGAGTATTGATGCACCGGATAGCCCGCATCAATCTCGGACCAGACACCTTTTGAATCGTCTGTATTCCAGCTTTGACCACAGATTATGTCCAACAGCGGGTCGTGGGTATCTTCTGACAGAATCGCCCATTCGGCTTTCAGGGAGTTATATAATACGTGCGAAGATCTAGCTTCCGCAAAGATGAGTCGGTAGGACAGAAGGACTTCTTTGAAGTAAACGTGGGCATAATTTTTGATTTCATCGGAATCGTCATTCGTGGAGTCTAGATCGGAGAAGAACCTGTTTGGGTGAGCACAATTCGCTAAGACAAAGGCATCCAATGGAAATGTTCTTACCGGGTCAGAAAGGCTTTGTCACTATAGCAATTGAGGAGACACAAGGACGGGAAGCGGAAGAGACGCAAGACCTTCATATGTTTGTCGTATTCCAAGTGAAGACTGAGACAGTCGACCCACTGGATTGTGATTCCGGCAAAGTGATGCAGGGTGTAGTAACAAACCTTAGGGACCTCGATAAATCTTTCGACTGGGCTGTGAGGTGCAGGTGAGGTATTATCCCTACTCGCTGAAATACTTTGCACGTCGGGAAGGATCTGGCCAAAATTTCCGAGAAGACTTGGCAAAGATCTGTCCACGTACTGAAGATCTTGCTGAAGACACACGAAAGTTTTAGACTCGATCTTATGGCGTCCCGAAAATGCGAACAGCTTAGATTTCGAGGGAATGGGTCTTTCAGGGGCAATTATTTGCAAGCTATTGCGGCCAGAGAACAGACTTGGGGTGTACAGCATCGCTAAATTATGGTTAGTTAGCTTCAGAGGGAATGTTCTGAATTTTTCTATGACCTACTGAGCCAGCCAAATACTGTGAAAACCATTACTTCGGCAAGCCACCTGTTTTCGTCGTTGAACTCCAACTGCTTCTCATTATTGTAAATCGCGTTGACCAAATCCGATAAGGCAATATCCACATCGTTTTTCACTGTCAAGACTGTGGTGCGGAACACTCTAAAAGCCGTGCAAATATTTCTCTCGGTAGCACCCAAGGCTGTGGCTACTTCTCCGGGCTCCAGGACTGGCCCGATAATGTTCTTCCAACCTTCTTTGCACTTGCGTTCGAGGAATCCGACATACCATCTTGCCGCTTGATTGACGATGGGAGATTCTGATATTTCCCCACAAACGGCAAAAGCAAAAGCCTTTGAAACTTTGCCGAAGTCATATTGATCGGCATCTGGCAGGGGTTGATTGGAAGAAGCGCAGACTTTAGGATCCGAAAGTAGCCCTATGGTAGTTGGATCATTGAACTGAATAGACCCCACTCGAGTTGAGCTCGTTGCTGTCCTTCGCCAGGACAATACGCTTCCGAGACTCGATAGATTTGTCTTGATGCTCACAGAGGTTGAACCGATCGTTGCTGATTTGTTCTACAGAATAATCAGACAAAGACACTTAGAATTCAAGATTTGTGTTTGATTTACCACGATTATTCTTCTCCAAGAAGACGTTCGGCTTGGTGTATTTGCCTGCCCCTCGAGATCTTGAAATGGGATTCCGTCAGGCTCAGCCGCTGACGCCATGAAGAACGATGATCCGTCTGTGACTGCTGGGAGGCTGCATATATATGGCAAAATGAGAGAGCTACTCGACAAATGGCCTGCTTATCTCGTTGCAAGTGTGTAGAAGGATGAAGAGTTAGTATCATGTAGACTCCAGTACGAAGTGGTGAGGCTGTGAGAGCGACAGCGAACAACTAGTTATCACAAGCTCAAATTAAGCTTCTAGGATTTTCCTGCTTATGAGTAGTTCCCATTCTACAGCCTACTTGCAATGACCAGTAAACATTCCGAGCCTGACCATGCTGGTTTCTGCCTTGACCGAGATCTACGACTTATATCAAGGCTAGCAAGCCTCCTTCGTGCCCTTTCAGCACCCTCAAGACACCCTTGGGGAAGGAAGCATCTGAAAGCGACTCGTCAATCTGGGTGCCTACCACCGATTTAAACCGAGACCCGCAGCACGTAAATGCACTTTGCCTCCCGGGAACGGAAACAATTTCTGCGTAGACGAACGTTCGGCCACTCTCCAGTCGCAAATAATCTGCACCTGGGTGCCGAAACTATGCTTTCGGCTTGGTTCTTCATCTCACAGTGAGGCTGTGATGGTAATTGAATGACATTTGTTGGCCTGGGGTCTCACCACCTTGCTGACAGAGGTGTGGGGGACCTTCCAACCAGACCCCAGTTTTCGTGTTACACGGTTTGTTGCTGGCCACGGGTTCACCACTGCTCCGTATAAGTCGGGCACCCAAACGCCTCACGTAGAATTCTCTGGCCCGCGATAGTTCGCTTCTATTCAGCCACGGAGAAGGATCCTTTCAATCGAGGAAAAGCGAGCAGTAGTCCTCCAACCAGTGGAAGTTGTTGTTGTCGGTGAAAACTGGTGACATGAGGATATTAGACAGTGATAAGATAAGGGTGGCCGAGAATTCAGCACGAAGGACGGTTCGATCCCCAAAGACAGTTTATAGAGATGGTTGGTATTCATCATTGCTGACACAGATATGTAAACACTAGAAGAATGCAGGGCAGTGATAAATATGTATATTAAGACATTTTTGTGGAGAAAAGAATCCATACGAGAAATCGCTCTCATTTGTAGCGGAAGCATTCCGGGAGACTTGCGATACTTGTGTGGCTTAGGCGAAGTCTTCGGGGAGGCTCTTTGATTGCAAGCAAATTCACTCCCACAAAGACCAGAGGCGATAAATAGGCCTTGTTGGATTGTCAGTGAGATAAAGACCGAAAATTGCCCCAGTCATATTCCGGTTGTTTTTGGAATTGTGTGGCAAGCTCAGCTCGCCCCCCGGAAAATCATCAAACCTCAAATATGAAACAAAACTTCAGAAAGACCTAGCTTGACAGAAATAGGCTCAACGCTGCTCTTCAGATGTAGCTCACAGCACGAAATCTTTACCTTGGAGTAAAAACCCGTACAAAATGGCCCAGCTGGCTTCCGCTTGGGGGCCAAACCCAGACTGAGCAATCAGCAGATGATTTCTCTCCGAATGACAAAACTGCGGTCAGCATATATTCTCAAGATAACTGCTAAAAGAATAAATCAATCCCATGCTCTAGCATGGTCCGAGAGGTGGGTGATTGTTGAATGAGTTCACGTGATACCAGGTCCCCATTTTAACGACTCCACTTCAAGTGACGGGAGCTAGATGCCTAGCTGCCCCCGCTTTTGGTAACTTTAAAACAACATCGCTTTTCTTTAAGACAAGTTGAGGAAAACATTGATTACTTTGTATGAAGCTAGAGCCGCGCGTTGTGCCTACTTATCAAAGTTACTTCTCTTCCCCCTGACTCCCAAAGTGTCAATCTAAGCGAAACCTTCAACTACATGCATTTCTGGGTGAGAAAACAAAACAAACTCAAGCTCAAGAACCCTACAGAGGTGGAGCTGCCAGTTGAACCCGGTCAAGCCGAGGTATGATTCCTTCAAAAGAAACAGAAAGAAGCCATGTCGCTATGTAGCCCTAATTATGTTCTTTGGTGATCACGATTGATCTTGTTTCAATCGACTCGCGAGGCATTGCATCTTCCGCAGCATTTGGGTTCTCGAAGGAAACATGAGGACAAACTTTGGGTTGAAGTCAGTCAGAGAACAGGAACTGCGAATGGTGAACTTACATCGAGCATGGTTACCACCCTTCGTGTCATACATGACGAAGACGAATGGCTCGGATGGGGTTTGCTTTTCAAGCCAAAACCTTCATTAAGTGTCAGTATCATATACCAGAATGAGGATGACTTGAACTGATACCATTTGTGGTTGGGATTATGCGTCAGGTAGTAAACCTCGCCGACAAGCCCTGGCATGACACGGTCTGCCGCAAGAAGATCGTCCGGGACGACAGAGCGACTGTCACAGAGGGCAAGAGGTCGGTCTTCAAGTACTGGAGTTAGAGGTCGCCATGTACTTCCAAGTTAATTTTCATTCATCGATAACTGTGGTGATCATCAACTCACTTGATTATTCGGACGCGATAGCCTTCTTTCAGGAACTCCGACTTGGTTTCGTTCGACATGTATCGACTGATGATCTCTGGGCCAGACTTGTAAGTAACATCTAAAAACATCAGTCATCAGCTTGATGGTTAGATTTCTAGGATAATAGGGTGAACTTGCCATTGTGTACGCCCAGGCCTGGACCTTCTATGCGTAAAGGATCCGCTAGATCGATTCGATCACGCTCGAAAGTGATATTCTTGCGCAGCACCGAATCGTAGCACTGGACATAAACTGCTCCAAGAGCTTGTCGAAGGAGCTGTTCCGTCTCAGTTCTGTAGTTCTGAATATCTGCGACAGAGGAGAACTGTGCGACGGTACTCTGGTGAGATATGACTTGGAATCCACATTCGTTGATGTCTGGCTTCGTGTGGAGTTGACGAAGGTCTTGTACGAGAATGCCGTCATGGTGCTCAAATTCGAGATTCGTAACACGCTGCGTGCTTGGTTCAACGTCTGGCCGGGAAGTTAAGTATAGCCAATATGGTTTCTCATGTTTGTAGAGTTCCAGCTTTTGGAGGTACTCAAGCGAAGCAGAGATGGACGGCATCGTGATGTTGAGTCCAATTCGGTGATGTTGAAGTTCAGTTGGAAATATTTTCAGAGTATGGTTAGGCTTGTACAAATATGCTTTTCCTATTTTGCGAACTGTTTGAATGAATCCACCTGGCATTCACCCACTCCAGGGAGCATGCGACGTATTACGTGTTAGGCAATCGTAAAGGTGATTAGTTCACCTCCTATGCGCTGAATTTAAATTGAGCGCCTAAAAATATGAAAATATGTCGCATTTACACTACGAGCTTTTGGAAAGTCCATTCTTTTTTTTCTCGCAGAATTAAAATTGACTCTTCAAATCATTTCCCGAGAGAGAATCGTTCTATTCGTAAGACTTTTAGTAAGGGGCTGTCGCACGTCCGAGCCCAGAATTCGCGCCTTCCTCTCAAGAAAGCGTGAATCTCGCTCATTCACTTCGTCCTCCCACAAAGGCGTGCTGCAAACGGCAAAAGCGACCTACAAAACCGATTCTTCGGTCTCTTTCTCCCACTCTTCCTCATCACCAACACACAACTACAAACACAACATCGAATTCATACTCAGCAACAACTTCCAGTAAGTTTCATACTCATTCTTTGGCCTGTAAACTTAGAGCTGTGCAGCGAGGCATAAGCTAGATCAGTGAGGTTGACTTTGCTTTTCTTCCAATAGCCTCCGCTCTCGATCCAACTCCCACGACCAAACCCACTCAAATCTACCAAATGTCTTCTTCCGCCCAGCAACAAGTATGTCCACACATTTGATGCTCCGTTTCCACTCATCTCTGACCTTTTCATTAGGCTCCCGCTGGTTCCAGCTCCACCTCTTCTTCAGCCAACCTCTCTCAAGCCTCCGTCACAAACACCCACCATGCACAGCCCGCCCACCCATTCTTCAAGTCTGTGAGCAATGATGGACTCCCCCAGGGCAAAGGAAGCAAGGTCCAACCATGGAAGGCACACTAGACGGAAGAGGAGCAGGCTTCAGAGGGTGGAAAGATCGTGGTTACATGCCCGAAGCTATGCAATTACGGTACACATCCCACCCCACCCAGAACTATCCACACCCGAGAAGATTATGAGATTTTCAACTGACTTTTTGTTCAACAGGAAGAAATATTGTGGGAGGCTCATAAGTCCAAGCTGAAGGCTTAGAGGTGATCTCTACAGGTCTTCAAGACTCACCTTGAGTAGGGATTTGAGTGATCTCTATGATCCATCCGGCGATCCAACTCACAGCTTATGTGATTGTGTTTTCATCGCGTTGCATTTCGAGAACAAGATTTTGCTCAGGCGTCTGCTAGGCACAATACTATTCATTGACTTTTGACTGCGTTTAGAAAAATATGTGACTGTGAGTGACTTATCGTGAAGTCTTCAGGATTAGTTCATGTGATCATTGCAGATTTCGAGTACTTTGTAGTGTGCTGACATGCAAGTAAGTATTCATCATTGCTGATGGAAGATGATCTGTGCATTAGAGAAGTAGCAGCAATCTTTCTGGGGTAGAAGCGCTTGGGATCAACTTTGAAGCAAAGCAACCCAGCACGGAATGCAAAACAAGTAATCTAACCAGCAAGGAACACACTCGCGATCTCGAGCTCAAGATTCGAGATCAAAGAGCTGAAACCCGATTCAATATCATGGAAAGAGGATCCTTGAAGAAAACAATATGCCATTTCGATCTTATGTCTAGGCAGCATTCCATGCCATATCGATGCATTGTACCCACCCACTTCTCAAATTCGCCCAGAAGGTCCGTCTACAATTGTATTTGTATGAGGCACCTCTCCATTGATAATTCCAACACTCAAAGTCTAGCCTCCACAAAATCCATAACAGGTGGGACGGCATACGGCCAAAACATAACAATAGCGACGACGGGGAAATACCTGTTCGCACACAAATACAGAGATTAGCAAAGGTCTTACTCTCAATTCGGCTCATTTATAAACCACACAGTATATATCTCATCTTTATTAGGGTGAAGGGGTTGGGAAAGGGAAAGGGAAAGGGAAAGGGAAAGGGAAAGGGGAAGGGTTGAGGGAAAGGAAAGGGGGAGAGCGTACATCATCGCAACACCACCTGCATTCTTAATATGCGATCCCCAAGCAGACTGCCCGTTCGTAGCAGCTGGGACGCGAGCCGTTGCGTATGATCTGAATTGTTGGACGCCTGCGCGCTGGAACTTTGTTCGCGCGAGGGCGGAGAGGATGGGGCTTCGTGCGAGGGGAGACATGGTGGTGGGTGGTGAGCGGTAGAGTGGAGATTTGGTTTGGCTTGGTTATGGGCTTGAAGGAGTGATAGTCTCTGCTGACGAGAGAGCTTGAGAGGACGGTATAAACACAGCAAGTGAGAACCGCGAGATGAAGAGACGTTGAAGATGTTGCGATACAGACAGTACAGTACAGGTGGTTGTTTTGTTAGCGGTCAGGAACAGAGACGGGAGGGAGGGAATGGAAGTCGAGGTCCCCTTCTCCTCCCTTTCCACAAGCCGCCCAATAACATCCGCCGCGTGAAACCATCAGCCCATGGTTGCCAGGACACAGCAGCAAGTCAGAGACACCAGATCCTCTTCCTCTTACCCCAAACGTGTGAGTGCTGACTGCTGAGTCGCCTGCTATTGGTGGTGGAACTGTTACCCCGCACCTCGCTATTTAAGGGCCCCGGGGAGTAGCGTTGACCCCGGATAAAGTGGAGGCGCGTGTCCCTGGAGAATCCATGCAGGGTCTTGGTCTAGAGCAGGAGGATGACTTTGGGGGAAGTTCATGTGATTTGGTTGTGGATTAGGTGAAGAAGATGTGGAAGTGAAGGAAGAGATACAAGGCTAGGAATATAGGAATCGATATAAATACAGAAATCGACTGTGAAAATGCGAAAGAAAAGAAAGTAAGTGAGCCAGAAAATACCTAGACTTATCTCTAGCCAAGGTGGTTGTTTCTTGGTCGATTCGCCGAAGCTGTTCCATCTTTGAAGCAAAGGTCTCCTTGTCGCCCAAGCAGAACGAGGAATTGAAACTCCAGAGAAGATGATATAACGTCGCAGATTGTCGCATATATTCGCGGTCTCCCCAAGACGACAAATTCACAGCTATTGCAGCATGCTCCTTGTGTCCGCCAATGTGTATAGTGTGTATAGCATTGTACGTAGGATATCATCCCCTTCCATAGAGCCAGCATAGGTATAGTATGTGCTGTCTCCTGGGCTCAAATTCCCTATGCATTCGAAAAAGTATAGCAAATCCAACAGGAGAAACTCGAAGAAATGCAGTCGGCATACCCAGCACTTCTCCTTTTACTGAGATTATAATTGGCCTCCTATGTCAGATTATTCTTGATAGCAATGAACAACACTTGTAGGTCTGCAAAGGTATCTGCGAGCAGGGTTCGAGAATATTCGAGACGGGAGGGAGCACTTAGGGTGTCGGAATCCTCAAGAAAGATGTTTGAAGGCGTGTGCGAAGGCGGAGGAGGAGGGGGAGGTTTGCTTCGAGGGTGGTTCGCAGACTTCGGGGAGTTGATCGTTGGGGGGAGCTATTGGTGTAGGAGCTTGGATCGCAGTGTTTGACAGGCCATAAACTGAGGATACTACTACAGATATATCATTGCGCTTGTAACTGTGCGTGGGGGAGGTCTGGAAGAACCGGTTTTCCGGATGCAGATACGAGGAATGGGTGAAGATAGACTCATCGTCTCCGAGAACCAGACCTGGAACTAATTAACGAGATGAGAGTATAGAGCAAACGTGCAAAAAAAGTGATAAATAACAATTGACATTACGCCCTCGTAGTCAGTAAGTATTGAAGGACGTTTGGGAGCAGATGTTGTGATAACCTCAGCGGAGCTCCTACTCGCGATGCTCAAAAATGTTGTGCAGCTTTGACACTGATGCTGCAAAATGCTCGCGGCTGCGTAGGATGAAGCATGCCCCACCTCCTCGCTTCCACAAAGTGAATTTCCACGACGACAACAACTTAACAGTCCATCACCAACAGCCCTCTTCCCCTTCCCAGGCAAGCAACATCTACCATCGAGCTGCGATGAAGCAGTCTTCTCTGGCTGTTCGAGATATGTCCCCCATGCTGTACAAGCGGCAGCAATGCTAGCGACGGAGCGCTTGATGTTGGATGGCTAATGGTTTGCCATGGATTTTGCCCAGCTCAGTCAATCGTTTGGCCACAGCATCTCCAATCCTTCAAACCCTCTCGAAGAGTGCTTGTAGGACAACCTCAAGTATCACCAGCTTTTCAGATCTTTGCCACCACCAAATGCTTCCATCCCCTCTGCATCGGCCCCGAATCTCGAAGAGGATACAGCAAAAAGAGCCAAGAGTCTGGGCATCTCCTCCGATAAGCTGATCATTGGACGCCTTGGGAGCTTGAACATCAACACCCCGCTAGAAACAGTCAATTGCCCCGCATCAGAATGCAACTTCAGACGGTTGATGCAGTGTCAGCGAATTTTTCACTTAGTCGGAGTGAGTAGGTGGTGATATGGTGATAGTCTGCTTTTGATGTTGTCTTGGCACCAGATATCATGACGTAGCACCACTTCCGCGGGCAGATAGCAGGTCGAGGTAGGTCGTATTTAGGTAGGACGATTTCTCTTCTCCCACTTTCTTCATCTGTTTTCTTTCAGCTTCGCCATACTCGAATCTGTTTTCAATCGAAGTGAACGGCTTGCCAATCAACATGTTGTCAACAATCGTTGCAGCAGCAGGACTTGTCTCGATCGTTGTAGGAGAGACAATCCATGGCGTTACTATCTTCTCTCGTCATGGAGATCGTGAGTTCAGCTCTAGCGGTCGCCTCCTGGTGATACATGACTTACTGAGACCTGGCAGGAACCTCTAAGCACTACTCTGGATATCAATTGACCCCTCTTGGGTTCACCGAGAACTTCGAAGTCGGATCCGATTACCGAGATCTGTATATCGCCGATGGAGCTCCAAAGCAGATCCTGGGTATCTCAGCTTCGAAATACGTGCCTTCGCAAGTCTTTGCCAGTGCACCAGATCAGCAGGTATGCCATTCATAGCTTCTTCAAGAGGTGCCAACCACTGACAATCTGCAAAGGTTCTTCTCAATACCGCGACTGCCTTCCTCCAAGGTCTATATCCACCTCTCGAGCCAATCAATGCTACCCTCGCAGTCCAATCCTTGAACAACGGCACGTCCTACACGAACCCCCTCAATGGGTACCAATACGTTGTTCTGCATGGCGAGGAGGTCACTGCTCCGGATACTATATGGATCAAGGGAGACGAGGGATGTCCAGTCACAACAAAGATCCAGGGCACTTTCGAGGATTCTGCCGAGTTTACATCTCGCCTCGAGGGCACCAGAGATTTCTACCAACAATTCTGGGACGTCCTCAAGAATGTCTACGATTACACTCCCGAAATGCTCAGCTACGACAAAGCCTACGATATCTTCGACCTAATCAACGTAGCAACCATCCACAACACATCCCTCGCATCAAACATCACAGCCGACCAGCTCTTCCAACTCCGCACTCTTGCCGACTCCGCTGAATTCGGGTACAACTACAACCGCACTCAAACCGGCCGCTCAATCGGCGGACAGACCCTCCTCGGCGGCATCTTCGCCCAACTAAACCAAAGCGTCTCCTCGAAAGGAAAACTCAAGTTCTCCCTCCTAGCAGGCAGCTACGACAACTTCATGGCCTCTTTCGGTCTCATGAACTTAACTTCCGCCAGTCCCGATTTCTACGGTCTCCCTAGCTACGCATCAACCATGTCATTCGAGCTCTTCACTGAAGCAGACACGACAAGCTTCCCTACCAATACTGATGAGCTGAACGTGCGGTTCCTTTTCCGCAATGGCTCGGATGCTGGAGCGACTCCCACTGTCTTCCCACTCTTCGGCGGGACCGCGACATCTCTCCCTTGGAATGAGTTCTCAGCTCAGATCAAAGCACGAGCTATCACCTCCGTCGGACAATGGTGTTCAGCGTGCAACGCTACACAGTCTTTCTGCCCGGCTGATTCGGGATCTTCCTCTACCACGCCGTCCATATCGGAGTCTGAAGGTGACAAGGGAGGAATTTCAAAAGCTGTTGCGGGCGTGATTGGGGCTGTAGTCACACTTGCTGTTGTTGGGCTTGCGGGGTTGGCGTTTTGGTTGGTGAGGAGGAGGAAGACACCTGCGTCGAGGTCGGGGCAAAATGTGGAAGGTACGGTGCCGATGGAGAAGAAGACTAGTTTGTCGAGCTAGAGCATGGATATGTGAAGCAGCTTTATGGGTGTCTCCGTTGAATCTCTCTCTGACGTTTCGTAAGCCCCATGAGTTTTGTTGGAATCGAGCAGTCTGTGCATATTCATACACAACTGGCTGGGAATCAAACTACTTGTGCAGCGCCCGAATGAACGTAATATCGACCATTTTTCAAGCTGCTAGCGCATGTGTTTGAAGTCCTGTAACGGTATTGAAGGTCATCGCAAGCAGGTTCCCCCCCAACCCTGGTTCTCACCACCTCTGCCCCGTGCTCCTCAAGCGAGGGAAAACAACAACAAATTCCACACAATCAAAACTCCGTGAAGGGAATGGTCTTTAGCTCGGGGGTGGGCCACTCTTCATCGCAGTCTCTTTGCTCTTTAGGACTTGTCTTTCACGCTACCCGAGTTTTGTAAATCGATAGTTTAGCCTGAATGCCCTTCTCGCGGGGACTTTTCGATATTCACTGCGGGGGTGGTGTACCTGCCAAGACAGGTGGTCGAATATCCCACACCTACGCATGGGAACCCCTCAAGATTTCACCCCGCACCATGATATTGACGTCTTCGCAGATATGCGCTGATAGAGACTACGCTGATACTCGTTCTGTATCCGCTCTGGACCTCTGTTTTGTGTCTCTGTACAGTCATGATCGTCATCCAGCTCGCTATATTGGGGCATGCAAGGCCGCTTCTGATGGATTGCCGGCCGGGCCCACGGAAAAACAGAAGAACTTCCCTGTCTTTGATGGTGTGCTATGGATGGTAAGGTGATTGTGCCTAAGTCTGGTCAGAGTCGAGTATATGATTGCATTGTTTCCTTCATGTTCGGATCTTTGATGTGAATTCTGGTATCTTGGGTGTTTACACGATTGTCTTTATCGCCATGCTGTTCAAATATCTCCTAGCAGTGCTGCCACTGGCAGCTGTGGGATTGGCTAAGAACTCAACTTATTTGAATCCCATACTACCTGGATTCCATCCAGATCCAAGCTGTATATTTGTCCCTGAGCTAGACAACACATATTTCTGTGCTTCGTCGAGTTTCCTTGTATTCCCTGGGATCCGTAAGTCTCCTACCCCGCTCCTTGCCCTTTTCTCCCACCATAATCCAAGACCAGAGAATTACAGCTGATGTACCATTTCAGCAATCCACGCAAGCAAAGATCTCCGCACCTGGAAACTAATCTCCAACGCCCTCTCCCGCCCCTCCCAACTCCCCCTCCTCAACACCACCAAACGCGCCACCTCCGGCATCTGGGCCTCCACGCTACGCTACCACTCGGGCAGATTCTACATCTTCAGCACCCACGTCTTCGACGACTACCCCAAGAACGCCACCAACCGGTTCGACAACCTCGTCTTCAGCACCACAAACCCCTACTCCTCGTCCGCATGGTCGGATCCACTACATTTCAACTTCCCTGGGTACGACGTCTCGCCTTTTTGGCACGATGATGGGATGTTGTATATCACAGGTACATTCGCATGGGAGGTTTCCCCGGGAATCCAAATGTTTACTCTGGACTTGATTACCGGCTCTACTGGTCCCATCCTCAACATCTGGAACGGAACGGGTGCCTCTGCCCCAGAAGGTCCACACATCTACCATCGCGATGGGTACTATTACCTGCTGATCGCAGAAGGCGGTACAGGAGCTGGACATATGGTGAGTATAGCTAGGGCAAAACGTATTACGGGACCATATGAGAGTAATCCGAGTAATCCAGTCCTGACGAACAACGATTCTCCGGAGAGATATTTCCAGAATCTGGGACATGCAGATTTATTCCGGGATAGGAGAGGGCAGTGGTGGGCTGTGGCGTTGAGTGTTAGGCAGGCGAAGGAGGATGGAAGTTATCCTATGGGCCGGGAGACGGTCATGACGCCTGTTACTTGGAAGGAGGGGAAATGGCCTATTTTTGAACCTGTTACTGGGAAGATGGAAGGGTGGGAGCTGGATGAGGAGGATGTGAGTGAGGAGGGAGAGGGTTCTCTGGTGACGGAGGGGGATGGGGTGGATTTCATGCCTGGTGAGAACTTGAAGCCGGAGTTTGTGCATTGGAGATTTCCGGTGCAGGGGAGTTATGAGATTAGTCCAGAGGAGCATGAGGAGAGTTTGCAGCTGGTTTCTAGTGAGGCAAATTTGACGGGGCGTGATGGGAGGAGTGCGGAGGGGAAGGGACAGACGTTTATTGGGAGGAGACAGGTTGATTCGCTTTTCAAGTTTTCGGTTGAGTTTGATGTTTCTGAGTTGAAGGTTCCAGAGCAGGAGGTTGGTGTCACGGTGTTTTTGGATCAGGTATGCATATGACTGTTCTTCTTTTCTTTCTGCTCCTTCCTCCAATCCTATCATTTCTTATCACACATTATAAGGACATAGCTGACCAAATTTTCTCCACAGCTCCACCACTATGATCTCGGCCTCGTCATTTCCTCCTCCAACAATAACAACAGCAACAACAGCACCCCGCATCCTTACCCCCTCCTCCGCCTCCGCGGCATAACCACAGTACCCACATTCACATCCCCCACCATAGTGACACTCCCCATTCCCACTTCTTGGTTCCTCCCCAAACCCAATCCCAATCCTAGTCCTCCAATCACACACCTCACCTTCCAAATCCGCATGTCAAACCTAACACACTATACATTCTCCGCCGGACCAGTAGGCAAGCCGAGTCTGATGCAAGATATCGGCTTTGCGCCGGCATTGGGACTGACTTGGGGATTTACGGGGGCGTTGGTAGGTGTTTATGCGAGTAGTAATGGTGGGAGTGAGGGGTTTAGGACGTGGGTTCGGGGGTGGAGGTATGTGGGGGAGGGGCAGGTTATTGAATAGGGGAGCTTGGAAGAGGGTGTTCTGTATCTCGCATCCACCAAGGGGAAATGGGGCTATTGTTTTAAATGGAAACATTTTATTTGTGAACGGCATTCTAAGACCGCTGCTCTGCTGTAAAAAGGGTAAGTACATTCTCTATTGAAGTTGTGACGGCTATCCAAACACCTGTATGGTAGCAGGCTGAAAACGGAGCTGTTTCGACCCTACTCTTTCCACGTTCACCTCACCCAGAACACCACAAGGTACATAAGATCAGAGAAATTGCAACTATTCATCAAATCTGCTTCGACTTGACGACCGTCTCGATTTCCCGTTCTTCCCCACTTCCATTCCGCCTCACAGCCCTAGTCCTAAAACGACCCGAACCCAAGAGCTTGACTATCCGATCCAATATCTCTGTCCTGAACCTCTTATTTTTCCAAACGGACACTTGCTTACCTGTTGCGAATTTGTGACGGCTAGCTGAAGAATAGCTGTCTCGGCTCGATCATCAGGTAAGTTGTTCCCTCTGCTTGTTTGTGTGTGGATGTGAATGTGAAGAACCCCCAAGGAGAAGAAAAGAACAGAAATGACAAAGGAAACGATATCTCAACACGAGTTCTCTCCTCCACCGATCTAGCACCTCATGACTCTAACAGTAGTCTCCAACTCCACTGGAACAATTTCTGAACTCGAATTTTCCTCTTCTCTGACTTTGACCCGAAACATCGCAACTGCACAAGATATCTCTCCTCCTGCGTTGACTCGCCAAATGGCTCCTCTTCTGATCGTTGTCATCAACAAACGAAGACAAGGTCTTCATCACAACTCGAAAACAAATACCCGTAAAGGTTACTGCGCCTCCAAGCAGGTTGCGTCCACTGATATCCAACCCACATCGCTTTCTGCACAGGGTATAGCGGGTCATGCTTATACACAATCTCATATTGTTCTTCTTTTTCTTCTTTTTCTTCTTCCTCCTCTTCTATTTCCGGCACAAAAGGAGGTTCAGGAACAGGTTCATCGCATGCGAAACAAGTGATCATGTCGTTTAGTTCGGAAGATCCGTTACTCCATGTCAAGCAAGTAGGTTCGTTGTAGACTGCTTCAGTTATGTTAATGAAGTTGGCGATGGAGGTTGTAAGGTCGTAAGGATTCAGGCTGGTGGCTGTGGTAGTGAAGAAGGGTGCTCGTAAATCAAAATCAAACGAATATCCCTCAAACGGAAACCAAAAAGATCTAAACACCAACAAAGAAAAAATCAACCCAAGAATCTTAGTATAGTTGAAAATAGACGTGCTGTATTTACAGATAGGTTCATACGGCGTTGGCTTTGGCTTCAAGCCATTCTGTGCTCGCCAAGCCGTTCTGGTAAGAGGAGGTGAAGGTTCAGCTTGTGGTTGAGGTTGAGATTCGACATTTTCCGCTGCGTCGAATTCCTCTGCAAGGCTTTGGAGGATGTCGGCCATGAACTCGGCGTCTCTTTCTTTGGGGAGATCTTCTGCTTTGAAGAGTTGGGAGTTGAAGAGTTTTTTTCTTACGCAAGTCGGGAGGTAGGTTGGCTGTTCTGGAGAAGACAGAAGAGAAGGATTCTGCACTATTTAACTCCTCGAGTGGAGTACTCAAGGTTAGTGGAGAGACAGATTGAGACTCGCTGATCTTGTCGGAGTTCTTCTCAGCAGTATCTGGTTGCGAAAGACTAACTTCCTCAGCACAATCCAAACGAGCTTTTCTTGCTGCAGCAAGCTGTTCTTCAGGTCTCCTCAACTCCTCAGCCAGATCTGACTTCTCTTCTTCAAGGGTACGAATCGTCTTCATGAGCTCTTCAACCTCTGCAGATAGACCAGTCACCTTCCCCAGATCGTTGGGTACTGGTGGCAAATCAAGAAACATCAGGCTCGGGTTCTCGTCTTTCTTCACTTCCATCTCAGCAAAAGCTTCCAGGTCATCCTGCTTTTCGTTATCTGGCTCACTGGTCTTATCAATCTTGACCGAATCAATGTTTTGAGCAGCTTTTTGCTCAGTTGTTGCCGCAGCTTTGTCTTTCGAGTCCATCCTAGGAAGGTATTTCTGGATCTCGAGTACCGTCATAGTCTTGGGAACAGCGGGGACAGGGAGGCGAGAAAACGAAGGGGCTGAGGGAGGTGTTGGGAATGCGAATCTCATTGTGTTGAGGTTCTGATCGCTGGCGAATTGTATGGGTGGGGAGGAAGAGGGAGGTGGTTGTATGTCTTTGCGCCTTGGTAGGGGACGGATTGATCGGGTTGGGCTTCCTAGGAGAGTGTAAGTTGCGATTCATAACATTCAGTACAGGAGGCCAAACATACCAGCTTGAAGACGTGCCATAAGATTCTTTGCATCTACGGAGGTTGACCCACCATAAGCAGCCTTCGCTTCTCCTGTTATAGATGTGCTGGCCATCGTCAAGGGTAATGACTTTTTGGTTCGAAGGGCTCTGGTGCGATTACAGGTGTGTGGAAAACGGTCGACCTGATTGCCGTTGCTCAAGGTGTTCGTGAAAGTGGATCTGGGTTAGAAATTGGAGGCCTAAGTAGTTTTGACAAGGTCGTATGGAAAAGACCCCCGTTTCTTGAAGGTAAGAACTAACCTTTTGTGGGCCAGGACCGGTGTTTGCCGAGCGTTCCTGAAGAAGTGAATGCTCGTTCAATGTCAGAAGTGCATTCACCATTTTTGCACGTATTCTTACTCATTGACAGATCTCCAGTATCAGACACTGGATTTTCAAAAAATTTCAGGTAGCTCCCGACAGAATACTTGCGAATGCCAGCCACAAACAATATTTCTGTCATTTCATAGCTAGCAAGGCCCATAATTAAGAATCCTACCATCTAGCCAGGCATGAAAGACATGAAGCTTATAGATACAGTATCCTATCACCACTAGAACAGCTGATGAATACATTTCATGTAGTTCCTTTCTGGCAAGGACTCATGTGCTGTTCCCCCTTCAAGAAACTTCATTGTCGTTTGGAAGTTTGTTGACAATTAAGCGACCAATGCCGGTCACGTGGCTTGTCTTTGCGAAATACCTAACTGGTAGCGTAGATGCTCCACAGGAACACCAGCACATTATCAGAGAGAACATCTCGAAGAGAACATCTCGGAGTTAAGCGTGAATTAAAACAATAAAATTCAAGTTTGCTCACGTCGATTTCTTTCCGTACAAATGTTATGGTGATCTGATCGAGGCATTCATTGTATCTGGGAGAACACTTCCCGAGGCGATGTACAGGCGTAGATATAGAAAGACTTTGCTCTAAGTCACGCCTAAATGGCTCAAGGTGGGATACGTACGCCTCAAAAAGTGGAAGTTCTGTTCATATATGTTACATCAACCTAGCTCAAGTTGCAAATTTGCCAAAGTTACGATCACGCGGACAACTGTAGCACTCAAGGTCTTTGCCTTTATCTAGATCTGATGATCTAGAGTTAGGAACTCGAGTATCTCGTCCGCTTTAAGCCGTCTATTTGGGAATCGTTAGGGTTGCGAGGTATCTGGGACTGAGACAGCTTCGCCATCGAGGTAGTTTACTGTATCATCCTCTTCATACACAGGATTCTGGGTTCTGGGTTCTCTTACCCTACGGGGTTTTTCATGCAGACAACGTCTGTACATTGTCTGCATTTTGTCTGCATTCCTAGTAGTAGTAAAATGTAGTAAAATACAGACAAAATTCAGACAATGTCTGCTACAATTTTATCAAAAAAGTGCAGACAATATCTGTAATAGACGCATTGAAAAGCACAGACAATTTAACGTATATCAAAGGTATAAGTTTAGGTAACTCGGACTTTTCATGTTTCAATACAAAGTTAAACACAGACCTTTTACTACCTACCTCCGGAACACTCGGAAGGGAGACCTACCTTGGGAGGGAGGGAGGGAGGGAAAGAGACCTACCTTGGAAGGAGACTTACCTTGGAGGGAGACTTACCTTAGATTGGAGGGAGACTTACCTTGAAGGGAGACCTTAGAGGGGGAGAGAGAGAGTAGGAAAAGAGAAGGGAAAGAAAAGGGAAGGGAAAGAAAAAGGGGGGAGGAAATAAGAGGGGAGAAATTAACTTAATTAGTCAGAAAACTCTTAAAATACAGATAATAACTGTATTTCCCTCAAATTACAGGCAATGTCTGTATTCTTACTCTAAATCTCCAAAAATCAATCAGAATCAGAGAATCCAGCCGAGAAAAATGCAGACAGAAAATCCGTCCAAAAGGTCTGTTTACAGACAATATCTGTAGGAAGTGCAGACAGTGTCTGTAAAACAACCCCCGTAGGGTTAAGCGTTTCATTGATCGGGGAACCATAATGAACAACCGTCTCGCTCGGAGTGTCATGCATGAACTCTTCAGGTTCAGAGAAAGTCATAGGCACCATAGTTTCAACTGCCGTCATAAGGTCAGCACTCGAGGTTTCGTTTGAGGTATATCTGAAAATGTTGAAAATATATTATACTGACCTCCAGTTCTACCACTTCAAATTCCAAACGACATGAGAACCTTCTTCTCGAGAACTATTCTACGGCTACGGTGACAGATGACAGCACCGTGACGTAGCTAGAATAGAATAGTTCGGAGTTTTTGATTAGATTCAGAAAACTTACAGCGGATGCTTGTATCGACTTGTTATGGGATCAGGAGGAGTTTGCGTGTAAAGGAAGCTCTGCTATGGAGCTAAGTGAGAAAATCGGACACTAGTAGGTGTGTGCGCGCTCCGATGCACCTCCTACATTGATTGCCCAAGTAAAAAAAATGGATTCATCTCGGACAGACCAGTAGCAGGTAGATGTTTCTTTTGGAATCGTGGAGAGTGTCCGTTTCACAAAAGGTTGGAAAGAAATGGAAGCATCGCCTGGTGTGTCAATCTGCTTCTGTTTGCATCCAAAGAAACCAATGCGGCAGACCAAGACCAACATAGTTTTGTCCTTAGAAGCAAATATACCAACAACACCTAGTCATAACAAATTCTCATTGCAAGATCTACTGGCTTCACTTCGCGAATTCTTATATCTAGTATCCAAGTGGTACAGACTTTGAGCTAAGTCGGCTCTGTTTAATCAGTCCAGTACCTTGTGTCAGCATACTTTCAGAATGAGCTCTCATCTCTAGTACGCACCATCCTGTGAATAAAGAATGTTTCAGAAGCTGCGATGCATCAGCAGAACTGAAGGAAGCTTCCGCGTGTGTACATGATGGTGTCCACCTGGACACAACGCCAAGGCAAAAAGGAGCAGAAGCAGAAGCCAGCGCAAGAGTGTCGACTCGAGACCAAGATGTAGGATATGATTCTAAAAATATTACAGTTTTTGTGTCCTAATTAAATACAACTTGCCTCAGAGACGAAGCCGTGCTCTGGCAATTCAACACACATCGTGAACTTAGCACTAGCGTACTGTGAAGACTTGTAGGTTCGTTTATTTCCCATCGCCAGCATCAAAAGTATCTTATAGGTAACTCTTGGACGGCTGACAACATCTTGATACTGTTTGTGAGAACTCTGGATTGTTGAATGTAGTGTTCAAGCTAAGACTGCCTCCAACGATGCAGACCCATTTAAAACCAAATTTGTATCTCATACAAAAAGCAATTGGTAGCTTACTTGGTTTAGTAGAGCGAATCTATTGGTCAAAAGCAAAAGTCTCCAACACGTAGGAGGAAGTAATTCGCCAGGCCTTGGATGTTCGCCAAGAGCTCTAAGCGCCCATGGTAAGTTGTGTAACTCTCAGAGTCTTGCGATGGGACTGTATCCAAAAAGATAAAAATGAGAAGGAAAAGGGTCGGTATCATCAAAAGAAAAATTGACTAGATTTACAAAGGAGGTTATTTCCCCAATCCAACTCTAGGATGCGTCGTGTCAGAGCGACAATGATGTCGCGGAATGTCAGGAGCAAATAAGTTCCAATGAAATGCTGCCAATTTATCTAGACTTGCAGGTTATCTATCGTCTTCATCATTCTGGCTAAATATAAGATTAACGGAATCCGCCACCTATCATCGAAGGACTTCTGGTAGGACAACAGATGAAAAATAAGCGAATCCATCCACTGCCTCCCAAAGCCCTGCAACTGAGCTGCGGCTGCACCTCCAGCACTTTCATCACCTCAACCCTCCCCAGCCTCGCGCAAACAGAAATTCGTCGCAAAACATGAATCTTGAACATTGCGCTTCACCACTGACGCGAGAATGACTGAACCGAAACTGGCTTCCACAGGTCTCGAACCAAGATCCAGCAGTCCTCTTCTAGATGATGCGGATATTGGCGATGGCCACGATACTCAGACTTCCATTGACGATCCGATAATTGTTGATTACGAGGTTCGAAGAACCGGGCAGCTGTTGGAGCAAGTACGAGAGAGACTGGAACAACCAATCCGTACCTCGACTAGCACTGAACTGGAATCCTACACTTCACTGCTTCAAGATGCGGATGTTGATGAGAACCACGAAGATGCAGACTCATCTGCGTCTCCTCTGATGCCAATCATGGAGGAAAATGCTCCAGTTCCTGCTCGAGTACCTGCTCAGGAAAGAAGACAGGTGCAGGATGAGATGTCCATCTTGGGCGTCCCACGAGAAACCATCGAGGAGATGATGAGAGAGTGGAGTAAGATCTTGATTCAAGGCCTTAGGAAAGAAAATACACGTGAGCAAGGGGGCAGTGAAGACGTGGAGCTTGGAGAAATGTTGAGAGCGATCGATAGTGAGCTTCTTCAGGAGGAGCTAGCTCAGCCCGTAGAATTGGGGGAGGGATCTTGGGATGGAGGGTTAGTGGAGGTTATGAGTGAAGAGCAGATTGAAGCAGAGGATACGCGGCGGGCACTGGAACTCAAGACCGACATAGAGAGAATGATTCGCGGCTTAGGACCATTGACAACGACATATGCACCGTTCGAGCCACCTGCGGATTGCTGGTCTATCTATTGGGTCGGAAATGATGAAGCTATAGCGAATGAGCCGAGGGAGTGTACTCCACAGACGTGGCAGGGTACAGCAGCAGAGATGCAGGCTGCTCGACTGGAACTTTGGACGTTACGTGAAACACCAATTCAAGGAGTACTCATACCGTACAAGTCATGCGCTTGTCGCCTAAGACTTATTGGAAAACGATTGCACGAGGTCACCATTGATCTTCTAAGAGGGTTACCCTTTAGTTCATGGCACACTGCTGAGGATAAGATCGCTCTCGCCAGCTACAATGGTGCAATGTTGCTGAAGATTATAGTAGAATATCTCTGGCTGGTAAGAAGGAAGAGGGAGAAAGCAACTATCAACGAAACGCTGAGGATATGCTGGCAACGTGGGATCATCCATGCGGAAAAGGACATCGGTAATGACGGAAAACCATCATGGAATAATGTGAGACTAAGCGTCTACTTGGTGCTGCTGTCTCTACACTGCGTTGATGTCTGGGATTATCTCGGAGAAATTGGTCCTGCGTCTTGGAGACCCTCAATTAACCGTGATTTGAGACAAAATGTTGAACATCTCGTGGGCAGTGGAAACTCGCTGGATGGCCAAGAACTATTGATGGGAACAGCGAAGTACTTGTCGAGATCACTATACAAGTTCAATTTTTGTTCTGACGTTTGCCTTCAGTGGCTTTGGAGTGATGGTGATCAAGGAATTCCAATGTGTAGTGAGGAAAAATCGGGCAAAGTTTTCCAGCGAGAAGACTTTCGAGTCGATATACTTCAAGTGGTTGGAAGGCTCCAAGTCTTGTGGACAACTCAGGTGGATGAACACCTTGTGATTTTCGAAGGCAGAACTGGTCATCCGGTGTTGAAGTTGTTCTGGTTTCATTTCAACACAAGCTGGTCCCGGTAGGTTCCCCCTCGTTCAACTGTCGAAACAATGAGAAATTCACTGATCCATGCAATTATCAGTGCTTTGGGCTGGGAAGAACCTGAAGATAAATGGAACGAGGCTTACATGACTCTGAAGCTCATTTTCTGTGACGTTAGAAGCAGAAAAGCTTATCGTGATGTTGAACTGCCACGTTGGTACTGCTGCTCCAAAACACAGTGGGATCCATCAGGATTTGACAGCGACCGGATCATTTGCGCGGAAGTGCAGTCACATCTCAAAAATGGTGGAGAGGAATTACCTATTCAAATCCCCTACTCGGACTATCCACATTACGAGAAGCAACTCCGGCAATTGAAATACTAGTAATATCAAGAATCGCCGAACTCAAGTTCAAGAGCTGACAGTTGACAGCATTGATTCCCAAGCACCAACTGGGCTGCGAGGACTTTGGAGAGACAAGCGGAATTCTTACTGTAAGCTTCCCTTTTGAAACAGAGCCTGCGGTAGCTGACAGTGGTTTATAGCGTTCTACACCCTCTGGCTGGTTGTGATATTTGGTGGTATCAGCATTCTCTTGGCATTCGCCTCATTGCTCGTCTCCTCCTTGCAGACCTGGGCAGCTTTCCACCCCCCGGGTGACAAATAAGGAACTTCTCTTGAGTTATTGCGTCGAGTCTAGTGGTTAAGAACGTCCAAGATACACTGTTGCTATGATGCTCTGTGGCGCGGAGGAATTAGCAAATTTCTTTGATGTTATGTCCTGTGTGATTGCTGTGTGATACGAGTGAAAACATTTCTGCGAGACAAAGGGATGGCTTATGATGAAAATTTCAAATTGATATTGGAGAACTCTCATTATAAGTTGTCATACTGAAAGCGAAATCTTCGAATGCAGACGGCGGCGAGGAAACAGTCGCCTAGCAGAAATGCGACGATCTGAAACTCAAATTGTCCTGTCAAAGTGATATGTGTAGCTCAAACACTCGCAACCAACGCCACAAGAAAGAAGAACCCAAAAGATGAGATAGAAGCAGACTAATTTTAACCCATTTTGCGACGACTGCTGAATTTCTCGAATCTATGACGGAAGTCACCAACGCGTAAGAACTGCCAAGGGTTTTCAGATGAGCTTATGGGGAAGCCGTTCAATTGCCAACTAAATTTTGCAGTGAGGCTCTAAGACTGAATCTCTCAGAGCCTGGGTGGTGAGAGATGTTGAAAAAGCGTTCCCAGGTGTTAAATTTGCCTTGCTGCTCGTCCTGTTGTCCTCGAAGATTACATGACACGTGACCCGCTTGGATCACCGACGTAGTCTGTTACTACGTCTCGAGGGCTTGTATATCATCTCTAATATATGTACTGCGCGTAGGACTTAAAAGCTAAACTATATTTAGGATAGTACATACCGTTACGGTGCTTTACACATTCAACAGTCTTGCTTACGTAGGTACCTTTCGTGCCCAGCAGGAGAGGGAGATGTAAACAGTCGCGTCGACAAGTATACTGCAGGTGGTATGTCTGACTCATACTTAGACCACCCAGAACTGCTAATTTTTCTGCGTGTGGAGCGATTAGGGTTGATCAGAGTCATGACTGCTCCTTGCTATGATCATGAATCGTTCGATATTATCGGGTGTTTTCTCGTACCATGTATTTGGTAAGTGAACTGGCTAACGTGGACAGAATATACATCGGACCGATTCGATCAAAATATGGCTCCAGAAATATGGCTCCAGAAATATGGCTCCAGAAATATGGCTCCAGAAATATGGTTACTGACACTGGATTCTAGCGAATCTCTTTGTTTACTTCGACCAGGAGAAGGCAAAGTCGTCCTTGCCGTCCTCATGACCCCTGACTAAGACCCGCTCTTTCTCGATTTGATATGGGGTCTAGCGCGGCGCTAAACCCCTTGGCTCCACCCACTACCCCGCATTCTCAGGGCGGCCTCACGTGAGAGCAGGCCACACGACTTGCTCTTCTTCCAGTCGTTTCTTCCTTTTGCATCCCGCTGTTCTTCCTCCCACACCCATCCACACATCAAGACCAACAAAACCAGCATCTAAAGCTTCAATTTTCCCTGTCCCACACACTCGCCATCACTCTATACACCCACTGCATACATCTCCAGTCGCAACCATGGCAGCAACTGACTCAGTCCCTATCATCAAGGTGTTATTCACACTGCACGCTGGCATGGACGCCTTGGACTTCGTGGGCCCCCTCGAGGTCTTGACCCATGCCAGACACAACATCAATGATGAAAGTAAGTACCGCACTTTCATTGAAATGAAGAAGAAAGATGGGAATAGCTTCAAGTCTGCCGTTTCGAGCTTTGGTTTACCCCGCATTCGACTTCCCCGCATTTTTCGCATCCATGGCAGCTCCACAACCACGACCCGAGCCTCAATAGAGGTCAATGCGGTCCAGTTCGTGCATATACTTCCTGTCTCGATCTGCGAATGTTTCAATTTTACTTTCCTAGCATCTGCGACTCTTGTTTCCTCTGCGGGCATCTGCAACGCTTCTTACTTGTTCCCCTTGTCTGCCAGCCACTGTTTACAGCTCATTATCTGTGCAATTACCTCTTACTTCTCACCCAAGCTTCTGCAAGCCGCCCCCTCACGATCATTTGCCGTTGAATAGAACTTCAAACTAATATCTTCTCAACAGCCACCAAAGCCTTCTCCGCCTCCTTCGTCGCCGCCGAGGAACACACCGTCTCCGCCCAAGGAGCGAGCTTCCGCGCTCACATGGACTACAAGGAAGCCTACACCCGTCTCTCCGAATTCGACATTCTGATCGTCCCCGGCGGCGGCAGCGACGCAATCCTCAAATCCAAATCCGAGCCCCTCGGCCTCATCAAAGCCTTCTCCGACCTCCAAAAGAAACACCCCGACAAAGAACGTACCGTCTTCTCCGTCTGCACCGGCAGTCTCTTCCTCGCACAAGCTGGAATCCTGTCAGGTCTCTCGGCAACCACACACCCCGACTTCTACGCGAAGTTCGAGAAGGTCTGCAGCGAGGTGTCGCAGCGTGATTTGGCGGAGCGGTGTGATGTTGTGGAGGAGAGATACGTCGTGAATAACTTGCGATTCGACCTTGGTGATCCAAATGAGAACCCTTATGTTCGCCGCAAGTCGGATGCGAGACGTCCGTCGATGGGTCGCAAGGGCAGCAATGCGTGGAAGGAGAGTAATGCCCGTCGCGAGAGCAATGCTCGTCGTGCGGCGCTCCGTCTTGGTGGCTTGAGAGTCATCACTTCGGGTGGGATCACTTGTGGTCTTGATGCCAGTCTGTACCTGGTTAGTATTATGGTGAGCGAGGACTCGGCCAAGGAGATCGAGCGTGTGATGCAGTATGAATGGAAGAAGGGCATTGTGGTTGATGGTATTGACATCTAAGGCGTACGGAGTTGCGTTACGTTGCGTTGCAACAAAAAAGATATCTGGTATCGTTGTGCATTGGGCATAGAAATACTACTGCTAGACCGAATGGAAGCGATTGCGTGGATTTGATACGATCATGAATGGAACGGATTAAATGGTATTTGGCTGGGGAAGTCAAGATATAGGCTAGATAGCTTTTCTTCTCTTCCAAATCTCATCTCTTTGAACAAGCATGACTTCACTCTCTTTCGTCTTTCCCGTCCACCCGAGTCGCGACTAGTCGCCCACGCATTACGGGTGGAGAAGAGGTATAGAACCCCTCTCCAAGCTACCACTTCCATCATCCTTCTCGCAATAAGGACGGCCTCAAGAACAGTACCTCTTACACCATCTCGTGCACCAAGCACACACCTCCAAGATCACCTGTACCGACAGTGAATTTTCTCCATCCACCATTTTCGCGATCTCTCCAACCACGCGGTGGGTATTCCTCCAGTCCAGTTCAATCTACCTTTACATTACTTTCACCGGATAATCTCTCTAGGAGTAGCCACTGTCATTTCCTCTTCCATTATCGATTCTCTTGCTGCTGTCTACCGAACTTAGTTTTCCCTCCATCTTCCATAACCTAAACTTCCTGTCGAGAAACTGATGACAGAGAAGAACATAATTGAACCAAGTCTGAAAGAATAGAAATGAATAGAAGAACATTCGTTGAATTGAATACGGGGACGTGACGCCTGGACAAATCCCCCATGTATTTGTTAACCTGATACCTTTACGCCGCCCATGGAGAAGAGGCTGGGTGGGGGGTGGGAGGACAGGGTTTATTTATATACTGGTTTGGAGATGTTTTTGGTGCGAGGGGAGAGGTGTCGGGAAGGGAAAGGGTGAAGTCAGGGAGTATCTTTAAGTGGGGGTTTGATTGATGTACAGATGCAATTCTTTGATGGTGTGGAGGCAAGGAATATTTGTCCGCCCAGGTGGGTCTTGTGTAGTAGGATATTCGCACCTTCTATCATCTGCCTACGTACTCCCAGATAGGTGTTTCCTCTGGTAACTCAGCACACTTGAGCGTATGTGCTTCGAAGTATATAGGTAGGCAGCACACACCTCAGATGTTCCAGATCAAGCATACCACGTTTTCAACAACGGAGAGTACACGTCTGGTGGTGTGTTGGAGACTTTGGTTTTGGGTAGTTCATTCGCTATGACAAGAGCAACTGTGCGTGGCATGGATAAGAACCGAAGATCTATAACAGAGATCTAGTTTGTACAAGTCTTCTCTCCCATTCATTTCCCAACTTTGGCATACGTCAATGTTGTTGCCATATAGTTTCCCACTGTCAATCCTTCCATTTCAATCCGGTCTCGAATTTCATAACACTTAGTCGTCACACTAAGACAGGTTATTGTGGTGTATTCCGTGTCACAATCTCAGACTTTATTGCGCCCAAAAACATGAATGTATAATACAGTAGATTCAAACTTTTTCGCATCAAGGCCTTCATCTGCTCTTCCCACTCCCCGTCGTAAGCTTTGCTACTTACTCGGTCGTACTATGAGGTGCGTACTCTGGGAGTGGTGAAATTTATTTATACAATAGCTTACGCTGCCCGAATTGCCTCTGATCTCCATTTTGTCTCTGAGCAGGTGACATTCATGCTTCAAGTTGGAAGATCGTAGTGAATCTGTTTTCTCTCTACCATATTCCATAAGGTTACAAGATTGCTGGAATGAATATCCCTCTCATTCTAATCAGAGACGGGCTGTACAAAGTGCAAGGACCTGGTCTAGAACGAAATCGTCACGTTGAATAGGATGCAGATGAAGATGTATGGGGAAGATCTCGATGAGATATCTTGGCTATTTGGTACCCTTGTTGTGAGCTGCAAGAATAGTGCCAGTTAGTGCTGATAAGGCTTGGGGGACTTCACAGCGCATTTGCAGCCTCAGTCTCAATAACTACTGAGACTCACTGTAAGGTTGTCATCTGGTTCCTCACTGTCATCCAGAATTTTCGTGAGGAACAATCTAGGGCACATTTCCACAGAAACTACAGTCCAAGTCTTTCAGCAGCAATTCTCATGATAGGAGACAGTTAATAAAGAGACGAGGTCATCAGATTTCGCAAAGAAGTAAGAAAGCCATAACCCCACTGTACTTCTTCCAGTGCTTCTCATCCACAAAGTCCCCCCTCCAGACTCCAATGGTTGTCGATTCTCCTTCCAGGCTTCCAGGAGGGCTTGAAGCAGCATATTTATATCCCATGCTAGAGGCTCATCAGAGTATACGCCAATGCTTGGAGTGAATTAATATTTTACGCCTGGTCAATCTGAGAGACTCATTGACTCCCTTCTGCCTATTTTTTGAAATTCATTACGACACACCTGCTTGTTTGGATTTTGAATCAATGGAAGAAGAACTATTGTTCAAGGGTAATTGTGATGAGGAGAAATAGATATAAAAGACCTGGCGGTCAAGAAAGAAAAGAGGGGTACCCGCTGGGACACTGGAGTATCTATCCCCATGTCCTCCTGTGGCCTCTTGCTCACGTCAGGCTGGCTCAACTATTTCTCAACTTTGTATTTCCAGTTGTAAACAAAAGTGATTTGTGGTAGTAGGACTGATTTTGTATTCCTGTAATGGCAAGAATGAAGGGTAGTTGTGTCTAATCTAAAGGTAAATGTGTTGTGATTGTCACTTATCATGTTGCTGTCATGTTCCCAGGGCCAGTGTTCTTAATTGAATTGGTATTTCTGGTGGCTGAAGACCTCTCGTACTCGTTTTGCAAAGACAGTCACTACCTGTCATTCCGAGAAATATCAGTCTCCCGAAAAAGGCAGAATGGAAGCCATGTACCGTGTTATCAAGGCCCACACCACGCGACGCCCTCCTTGCTGTTGTGCTGAGGTATAGGATTGAGTCTGCTTCCATTGACTATCATGAGGCTGGTCCTTATATACCCTCCGATCTAGTGGAGAGTTTGAATGCCTCCCAAACGCATATGAAATGAATCATTGCTAATCAATTCTTCTGTTCATAATACAGAGATATAGCCGCGATCTCCTTTGCAGCCATATTATAATTCCAGCGACCCCTAAGTATCAAAGCACGGTTTCTTTCACGGCTCGATGCATCAAGAATACTCCCGGAATATGCGGAGACCCATTCAAGGAAGAAACTGGGTAAACTCTAGGTTAGTCAGCGCAACTTCCACAAAAAGATTTTACTGTGTTCCCTCTCAAGCATCTAGCATCACCTCTAGCCCTGTTTTTACCTTTCAAGTTCGTTGTCTGTAACATGAAGCGATTGCTGTCATTTATTTACTGCCGTCATCTGCCGCTATTGTTATCACTCACCACTTACATTCCTCAACTTTTCGAAACATACAAATTCTAGCCTTGGACTAATCATTAATAAATTGCGTCAAGTTCCGCTGACACAGCCAACATAGTCTGATCGATCAGTACACACGTCTCCAAACCCAGACTTCCTGTATTTTCACTTGTATTCGGTTTATTTGGATGCTGAGTGTGCTTGGGGTTCGAGTCAGGAATCGATCTCCAAGTTTTATATATTGTCCCGGAGCGCGATCTTCGAGTGTCAAAGGCATTCACTTTTTCACCTCGTCCTTCATTGACAGGAAATCTCGTTGCTTCTTGTCTTTAATCCAACTCTTCACTCCAGAAACATCGAAAAAACACTTGCCGAGAATATCCGTCCCCGCTTGGCATCCCATTGGAGGGAATATAAAGCCAGAGCATGGGGCTTGAGATGTAACTCGAGCAGAAGCAATGACTACCGCTGCCTTCCCCACATGGACGTCATGTTCTTGAGTTGAATCAGTCTATGATACATCATTCATGCTAGATTCTCTGTCTCTTTCCTCCGACTTAGCGCCGTGGTATTCAGTTTCTGAGAGAACATATCCTCAGTCACGCTCCTCTTGTACCTGGGTGATTAACCACAAAACTTTTGATCATCAATTGAGTGACTGTTGCCATTTTGATGTTATTCTTGCCTCATTTCGTCTTTGTATCTCTCCAGAGTGCTCCGTGCGTGTATGTAGAGGCGTTAGTTCCATTCGTCAAAAGTCCATGGTTGCGTAGTATGACTCTTCGTCAAATTCAGATACGCCTTCCAGCAGTGTCCATGTATCTTGCACAATCTGGGACGTGTGAACGTATCTGACGCTCAATCATCTCTCCACGGGAGCTTTTATTATCCCGAAAATTCTCCTCGCGCTAAAGAAACATCACGCTCTTTCCCAGCGAATTTGCGCTGATTCCCTAAAAACTGTTTGTCATAAAAGAAGTATGTGGTAAGTGAATACCTCGCATGCTTCCACATTCTCTCCTACGCTGAGTGGGATCGCTGCAAAATTACCAAGGTTAAATATCCTACATCTTGTCGGATAGACCAACTACACTACCATGGTACACATCTACTATGAACAGAACAAAATAGTTTTCCCACGCTTCGTCATTTGGTGAAGAACTCATGCGAGGTTGAAAAAAAAAATTGCACGCGAGAATCGCTGGGCTTAGCTAGATGTCTCCTGGAGGGGGTTGGGAGATTTCGGCAGGATAGTGTCCGTACAGGAAGGATGGGCTGTCAATTTTGTTGTCATACGCGTCTTCATTGTCAACTTCTTCCTTTCGAACTCTCGCTTGCCCGCGGTCACACTCAAGATTAAATCAGACGAGCAAAACTCGGGGTATCTTAATGTAGCAGACTAGTTTCCGTGGCAATTACGAACATGGGTTTGAGGCACTGCGTTAGCTGTTCCATTTGCCACTCGTCCGTGGTGAGGAGAACTTTAACCTTTGTCCGTGCAGGGAAAGCTTGTTCGCAATGTTCTGTGTTAATATAGCCTATGTATCCCGAACGCGCCAACTGGACTTCATAAGTGAACGAGACAAGAATATATCAAGTGTAGGGAGACACTTTCAAAATCTCTTTGAATATTATTGCTAGGTTCAAGAATTCCCCACTCCATCTCAAAATTATCACTTCGGAAAAATGTCTACAACTACAGATACAGCTCCTCATAACCCAAATTCATCGCCACATTGTCTACAAAACCATGGCAGCACCCAATAACAACAGTCCCATAACTCCAAATGGCTTCAATGCACCAGCAGCACCATCAACAGTGGTTGGTACAGGAGAGGGAACGGCAGTGACATTGCCAGCACCTGAACCAGTTGAGTGGGTTGCGGCTGGGTGAGAAGATGTAATGACTGGATTGATGAGAGTAGTGGTAGCTGTGGACGCTGGGTAAGACGCCGTGGTCGATGCAACGGGGTATGAAGAACCTCCTATAATCCTCATTAGCAAACGTTTCCAAAATCATTCCTCAAGAGAAGTTGAACATACCGGTAGAAGAAGTAGCAGTAGCACCACCCGCTTGAGCAGCACTGAAAGAGCTGATAATTGGAGCAACAGCCTCACCAGTTCCCTGCTTCGAAGCAGCGAAACACTCAGCTCTCAAAGACGCAGCGAAAGACTTGTTGGACCCTGGAGAGGTAACATAAGCCTCATAAGCAGCCTCACAGGCATCACAAGAGTTCTTCTGAACAGCACACAGTGACTGGTTAGCACCAGGAGCAGATCCACACTCCAGTCTCTGCTGATCACAAGTTCCCGCCGCAGTGGTAGTAGTAGCAGGCGCCGAAGCAGCCGTAGAAACCACCACAGAAGCTGTCGAAGTCGGCGTAGTTCCCGCAACAGTCAAGCTGGAGATTATAGCACTAACACCCGTTCCATCTCCGACGGTTGAGGCGGCGAAACATTCGTTGCGGAGGGATGCGGCGAGTGATTTGTTGGAGTTGGGGGAAGTGATGTAGGCTTCGTAGGCGGCTTCACAGGCGTCGCAGGCGGACTTTTGGGAGGCGCAGAGGGATTGATTTGCGCCTGGGGCGGCGCCGCAGGTTAGACGTTGTTGGTCGCAGGTGCTGGATTGGCGGGAGGTGAGGAGGGGGTTGGCGAGGGTGGTGGATGCCAGGGTGGCGAGGAGGAGGGTTTGGTAGTGCATTTTGATGGGTTTGTTTGGGTGTGAGAGAATATGAAGCGAGTGTTGTTGGTTTATTAGTGTATGAGTTCGGGGAATTGGATGTTGATAGTTGAGTTGACTGCCGATGATGTGAGAAGCGGAAGCAGGAACGAGGTGAGCTTGAATATATACCTATCTCCAGAGCTCCACTACCATGCAGCGGCAAAACAGAAATGTAACGTCGGACCGCAACGAACAATCCAATCCCCAAAATAAATCACCTGTTCCTGTTTTCCTCGTATTCTCCATTCTCTGATGTCATGTTTACTTACTTCCGGGAGAGGCTTGGCCGCGACCGTTAGTAATCCACTTTGTGCCTGAGCTTTACCGCATCAGGAAAATGAACAGGCGAAACTCCGGAGAGCCGCTCAGGGGGGACAGAATGCTTGTACGAGAAATGTGGCGTTGCGCTCTATGCGGGTTCGACGGGTAAGACAATACGAGGGGACTTATTAAGCATAAATAAGCATGTATTGGCCAATTGAATCCACTCCTCATTCCAGATGGGAATCATGGAAATGCAAATTTGTTTCACCCATGACTTTTCTCGTGTTATCGTAGTATTTGGGGGGGACGACGAGATCGGTATTTGATACGGTACATTTTCAACATCCCTTCTGCTCGTGTTCGCCGCAAGTCATGGTGGAACCGCAACCGGAAACCACTTTTTCTTACTCGTTAACATCCACCAGTTGCACTCCCTCCAACACATGCCTGTCCATTACATTTCCATCCAATCTCCTCCTTAACGTTACCACACAAATACCTCCACGGTTCAGTCCCATTCGCGAGAACCAAATCAACTCCCGTGATCTCAATCCTCTCGCACGGTGCCACAGCACTGCATTGAAAACTTGCCACAGCCGTATTCTTTGTCGTTCCAGTGATATTTTGAAAAGATATATCGCTGATCTTGAAGGGCGAGGAAGTGCAGTTTCCTGTGCCTCCCGATCCCATGAAGCGCGTACATTGTGAGATGGTGATGGGAATACCTCGTATATTGGTTGTGTGGAGGTTCGTGAAGGTTAGATCTTTGGCAACTGTTGGAGGTCAGTACTCTGGATTGAAGGTAGCTAGCTGGCTTGCGAATTGGAGTAAAGAGGAAGGGGGTAATCAATGGGATTGACTAACAACCAAGTCCTCCTCCTCCCCCATTTGGAGGATATCCAACAGATTCGCCAGTCCACGTCTTGAAATATACCTAGATACTCAGTCACTCTCTCCAAATACCTCTCCAAATCGACCCAGGCTCAACTTACATCATGTAGAGTGTTTTCAAAAGTACAATTACTAACCCTCAACCTCTCAACCGTCTCAAATCGTCCCCTATATTGGCCAATACTTCCAATCGCAATTCCGAGCCCATTGAAGAATCTGGAGTTCGTGATGGAAATGTCAGTGCTGTTGGCTTTGAGAGAGATACTATCATCGCCATTTTCTACTGTCCAGTTGTTGAATGCGATGTGGTGTGAGAAAAAGGTATCGGCTCCATCGGTGTTGGCTTGAGGAAAATTAGCCGAAGATCGAGATTTGAAGGAGAATACGAGTATGAAAGTGGCCAAAAGGGAAGTATCAGACTTACAGCTTGTGCCGCCTGGGACGGTACTGTTCGTGGTTATGCTATCAAAAAGAACATGATGAGAACGAATAATGGACATAGACCTGCGGGACGTCAGTTACCAGCCTTAACATATGCACCACCTAACACAAAGCCCCCTCCCCCCACCAAATGCCGCAAGCACTCTCCGCAAACTCAGAGCTACAATCCGCAGAAAACTCACCACATCTGACTCCTCAGCAAGCTCACCCCTCTCACCACCGAATTCGTCAACCCATCAAAAGTTATCGCATGCGGCCTCCCCGGATAATTCGACGTATTCGGCTGCTTCCGTATCCACGCATACCACTCTGCACCGTTCCCATCGAGAACACCTGTTCCGAACCCGTTGAAGCGGATTCTGTCACCGCCGAATTTCCATGCCGTATATTGGTTTTGGTAGCCGACGGGGAGGGAGTGGTTGAGCCAGTAGGGGATGTTGGTTGACCACTGGTAGGAGTTAGCTATTGTAGAGCGACAAGGGTCTCAAGGTATTTGAAGGAAGGCAATGGAGAGATATACCAGAAGTGTACCCGGGAGATTGATTTCGCAGTCGTGTAGGCCGGTGGTGGTCATTACGGTTTTGACGTGATAGATCTCTGGCAGAAAATTTATAGTGCCACCTTGTCCGCAGTCTTTGAATGCTTGGAGGATGGCGGGGGCGTCATCGATGGATGTATCTCCTCCGGGTTTGACTGTACATGTTTTTCTAAGGTGTTGATTGAGTATTTCCGTTGCGAATGTGAGGGCTGTGAAGATGTTAAGGAGAAGGAGGGAGGAAAAAAGGGAATTGTACAATGGCATTATGAGTAATAGGGCTGAAGTGTATACATTTATGAGAAGCGATCAAAAGCGTTAGAATAATATCGAGATGTGCTCTCTTGAAAAGTAGGGTTATATAGTTTATATGCCCTGCATTTCACCCATCATTTCAACTATATCTCATTTTAACTCTGCATGCAGACATAAAAAGCTACCTACATTCAACCTTCCTCACTCCATCTAGCTTCGCTACATCATATCCCGACCCTAAACAACCATACATTTTAAAGTTCATGAAAGTCTCTTCGTATCTTTTATTAGTTCTATTGTCATATAGGTAATCCGGGGAGCTAGAGGCGGGGTAGAGGGGTAGCAAATGTCGATCGGTTTGGATCGGACTTGGCGCCGCTTTTGAGATTTTCCGGGCAGATTTACCGGCCTGGAATGATACACCGAGACACTAACAGTAATAAGCGACGCGTTGCTATTAAATTGCTTCGGCCGCTTACCGGAAAGGAGGAGAGGTTTCTGGTCCTGGGGTGCCGCTTACGTACTGATGATAGCTCCTGATCTTCGTTTATATTGCATTATTTCTATGCTGGCCTGCTCTGTATACCCGACAGCTTTACTGGATCCAGTTAAATCAGTGCATGGGATGGCTGCACTCAGGTGCGACTTAATTTTGATTGGACCGGACTGCGCGCTGGCTCGCTTTTGCATCAACATGATAGAAGCGACAATGCCACGTGATCTTGTCACCAGCACCTGCCAAAAATGTGATGGATGAAGGTTTTTGTCCATCCAAGGCGGTACTTCAGCAAAAGTTTATAGGAATGATGCACTAGGACTATTCGTAAAATTTGAAAAAAAAAAAAAAAAAAGGTGGTGATATTGCTGGACATTTTCATACGCAGAGACAACAAGAAGGCTTGAACAAGGTGCAAGTCTGGTGTTGTCTCTTGGAAGATGCAACGCCGAAGTCGAGGTTAATACAAAATGAGAGAGAAAAGCAAACTGCGAACCCGTGATCATAGTTACAAGGCTGAAGGCAGAGATAGCTGTGAGCAGTGAAACTGTAATCCAAGACAATCGCGTGATTGTAGATTCAAAATTTGACATCTCTACTGACCCATCAGGGGAACACAGCATTTGGTCTCTAACTCTTGTCATGTGAGCAAACAGTAGATAAGGACCCTTCTTGAAGTTAGATTGTCAATCCGCAGTCCTTTGAAACCGTGCTTCATCAGCGGCCAATTGACTTCCTCAGGTAGACAGGTTTATCCTCGCGCTAAAATCACTGGTTAGTATAGAGATCTATTTTCGCTGCAAGTGATTGTAAAGGCTCCTTTGTAATGAAAGACGCAACATGGGATTCGTGGCTTGTTAAAGTTGCCTATTGCAATCAGTGATACGTTTGTGAAAATTTGGCAAGCAATCCAACAGGTGATATGTTTTCCAGCTGTTCTTTTAGTCGCAAGCTTCCTCATGAGGAGTACTAAAGTGGGATGATGCTTCTCCCTGTGGAAAATAAGTGACTTCCCAGGAGTGAAAGTAGGCATTATTGTCCTATTGTGTTCGCGACAAGACAAACCTGTCAATACCTGTATATCAATATAGACTGCGAATCAACAAGCTAATTAAACAATGACATGAAGGAGTCATTGAGAGGTGGCATCTCAGGCATCAATTCGAGTAAAGTTGCCCTATGTACCGGGAATTTGAATGTTGATTGGCTAACCGAGTGGATCAGTCGCCGGTTCCGCGGGTTTCGAGAAAATATTCCCATGACCGACAACAAAGGAAAGAAATTGATTAGCGAGACTCGGAGACAATGTTATCTGAGAATTCACTAGTCGCTTTCTGTATAAGAGGCGTCAGCGTGGTGTCTATGAAATGGGGTCGATCTTTCAAGTATCTGCTTCGTCGTTCAACATCAAACTTCGATATTCGGTATCTTGGATTTGTTTCTCCAGCTACTGTTGGAATTACTTCTCTTCACCTTGATCATAACACTCGTTTACACACTCCTTTCAGAACTTCTCCTGTTGAAATTCGCTACAGGGCTAGTTATCTGCAGCAAGAACCTTTATCAAGCCTGTCCTTTTAGTCCTGTCCACAGATTCCCTTCATCCCAAGCCTCACAACAACTCTACATTTCCAATAACAAGCAAACACAATGGATGCCACTCGCATTCTCGGCAAAGATGCCACTGAGTTTGTCATGCGTGGCATTCACGACGGCAATGAGCTCGTTAAACACTTTCCCATCACCACCCTATTCGCCATTGGTCTTGAAGCAGCTCTCAAGGCCATCGACTACATGAAGCCACCAGCATGCTCTGACCTAGAACTCAGCAAGGTCTACAAGGAGTATACAGGTAATGACATTGACTTCTTCATATTCTGGGGAGTCCAGATAAATCTTGCCTTGACTCGGTTGGTTCGTGTTGTTGCCAATGAACATGGCTGGCTTGAAGGATGGAAGGCACTGGCAATGGCTTGTCCAGACTGTGGTATGCATGATCAACTCATGCAAGATGGTAAGTAGTCTCATCAACTTCGTGTGTCAAGACCTAACAGCTTGGAAGTTGCCACTGGCGTTCACGTCTTTCAGTCCGTCAAAGTCTCTACCCTCCCTCGCGAGAAGCTGGACATCAAATTTCGAATTACTGCGACTCCAGACCCTACCAATATCCACGAGATCGGCCCAAAGACACTCGGAGGCCATAACTGGGAGACTGATGAACAGTACAAGGCCGCAGTCAAGAGCTGGAACGCACCAATCGATCTACCCATGGGACCTTGCCCTTTCTACGCCTGGATCGGAGTTGCTAAGAAAGTTGATTCATTCAAGGATTCTCCCAAGGAAGCAGCAGCTTTCTGGACATCTCAACTTCTAGGAATCGTTGACTATGATTTTGACAAAGACGAGAAGAATATGAAGGGAGGAATCGGCCACGCCATCAAGCTAACCGCTAAGATGGCAGTTGAGACCGATGGAAAGATGCGCGGTGCTGCGTGGATTGGATTGTTGACCATGGATCAGCAATGCTTCAATCGTTCCATCCAGATGAAATGGGTGAGCGAAGCCCAAGGCAGCTTTGTTCTAGGACCTGATGACATTGACCCTGAGGAGTTTGGCATTGCGGGTTATATTGACTGTGCTGCCCTCGCTCCCTTCGCTTATCAATCCGCCGAACAACTTCTCCCCTCCAGACTCTCGATGTTCGTTGCAGTCATCTTCGCTAACCAACATGACTTACTTTTTGATATGGGCTGCTCCAGCAGGATCTCATGTGCTGCTTTCGCCAATGCGACTGGGGTTTTCAAGTACGATCTTCCTCAGGCCTGGACCATTGGGATGATCGACGCGATTGCCACCCGTGCTTTGAACGGCGCAGACGATCAGAAGGCTCTGTATGGAGACAATGCACTTCTCGTTGTTTGTGTATGGAACATCTTCAATGTTCGATACCGTGCCTGGGAACGCTTCATAAAGTACACTCGAATGTTGCGCAAGTCCAGCTCCAAGGTCTCTGCTGGCATCCTCAAGCGTGCTCAGCAAGGCTTGGTGTTGGTTCTCAAGAACTTGGATGAGTCAATTGGTGAGTCTTTCGAGAGATTGCTGGATTCTTCGAATGCTTCGAAGATGGTGAATCGGAAGACATCCACCACCGACTACCAACTCTCGAACCCCAGCGAGCATTTGAAGGAATACGGCGTCAACGCCCCAGAGCTCTGCCCAAACTGCACCCCACTTTCAATCGAGGCCGTCCATAAATCCTCAGACACCATCCAAGCCATCCCAGGAGTCCCCTCCACAGTCACTCGTTCCGCACCTGTCTCCATCGCCGCCGCGATTCGCCGCGCTTCACTCTTCGCCATGACAAGTGAATGTTGCGACGCCTGCGCTTGTCGAATCGGTCTTTGGGCCAACCTAATGTCGGATAAAGCTGTTATTTCGCTCATGACAGTCGAAACTACCATGTCGTCGAGGGAGTGGTTGCTTTGCAACTACTTCATGGGTTGCGTGGCTTTCTCGCCACTTCGCATGATCTCTGTTCTGGCGAACTTTGATTTGAATGCGGATATCAGTTTTGAGGATGGGGCCATGGGTGTGAGAGACGTGGCTGATTGCTAGGTGGTGGTTTTTGAACTTTCATCTTGGGTAAGACGCTGAGATGTTGCTTTCGGGTTGGCGTTTATTGTCGATGATGGGTTAGCGTGGAGCTTCAGGGGTTTTAGATGCTGTGAAAGAACTTGGTCTCTTGGGGGAGTTAAGACACATTTGAATTTTAGAAAGGTTTACCGTTATCATCACAATTCAGTCCGTTTTTCGTGGGAAAATCTCATTCTTCGCCATGTTGTGAGGTGTATGTTGAAGGTAAAGATTGACACTTCTCTTTCCGTTTCGGAAATTTGGAATAAGCTTTTTTCATTGTTTGTCTAGCTGTCAAACCCAACTATAGCAGCCATATGTCTTCAACCATTTGTCTTCACTCTGTGGTGATATTTGTGCAAATGAAGACACTCTGTCCGGATCCCTACATTTGACCAAAGACAATACTTCCTTCCCTGATCTGGCAACAGTATTCCGTCAACATCTCGAGTTGGAGCTGGAATTAGAGTTGGAGGGTTAAAGCTGAATGAAGAATTGCAATACGCTTATATTTATAGACACTTTTTGAAAGAGGTCTCTTTGAAAACCTCAGACTCAAACAACATTGCGGTACCAATGGCCTTTGTTTTACTCCTCCATCCAATATCTGGGAGTGAATCACCGGGAAGTTCTCAAGTTGGGTTGGGCTCAAGAGGCGAAGGTATAAATTAGTACTCCAAGGCTTGCGAGATCGGTCAAGGGTTGATTCCATAGGCATAGACACTCTTTCTAAGTTAGCTATAGGTTTCCTTTGCTTTCCTTCCAGATGGTCAACGACTATTCATGATGCCGTGAGCCAAGTGTTCTGAAAAGAGGTAACACAAATCGTGGGGATTGCTCTAGCTCGGGCACTTGCTGTTTCCTGACGAACTCGAAATACTTGCTACCTTGTTGTCATCTGTGATAGTTTTGTCACGGCTACGAAAGCTCCTACCTTTCCGTATCAAACATCCCATTGCAGTCTTGTGTCCAAGTGTAGAGCTACGCTACAAAACCCACGGTTTCATTTGAAATAGTTGAGGCTACAGAAATTGAGGCACCCATTCCACAATGGTTTCCGAATACTACCCATGATAACTTTTTTTGAAGAATTCCGTTCCTTGATCCAACATCTTCACACACCTTCTAGGAGGTTATATACCCCACACTCAGAGTCCATTAAATTCCCTCATCTTCCCAAAATTCACCGAACTCCATCACATGTCCTAGAAAGAAGTCCAAAAATTCACTACATGTAAGGCTCGCGGATCACTTGGCATACACTCACACCCAGTACTGTGACACGAATTATAAAAAGGTCATCTTGAATGGTTTGACAGAGGACAAAGACCATAGATCGTCGACATAGGTTATAATGAAGCCATGGAAGCAGTGTGGTAGCAGAAATAGTGCTACTATGATTGTTATTTTCTCTTTCGTGACGGTCTTGTGTTATGAATGAATGAAAGTAAGTTTAAGAACGCGCTTCAAGCTGCGGTTGTTTGGAATCGAAAGTCTGTTTTCCTGTTGCTGCTGGAATACTTTTAGCTGTCGAATAGGACGTCGTTGTCATCTCATCTCTCCCTTCCATTTCCTTTCGTCATTCGGGACACTTTTTCTTCATTTACATACCAGACACGGAACGCAGAGGCTAACCTTACCTTTCTCTTTCTCATCTTTCCACAAGACCGCTCTATCCATTTGCGCGGCCAAAGTACCTTTAATGTCCAAAACACAGCGAACATGATTCCTTTTACAGTTGGTTTGCTCTTTCTTCTAATGTTCAGTCAAGATTGATAGATAGTCAGCTCATTATATACCCTTACCTCAACCCCCGGACGCCATCCTTTCAAAATCGCTCGACAAGGCACATCTTTGTGACTCAACCCTTTCTCAACGACTTCATTATAACAACCCAAAGAAATTTTCGATTCTCTCGAACAACTACTACCTTCTGAAGGACCAGGGGAATACGACATGGATTTGTGAGTGTTTTGGTGGGTGCGGAGCAGGGGTGGTTTCTGAGGTTTTGTTTTTGTGGTGAATGGTTGGTGGCCTAATGGATGCTTTGCTTTGTGGGACATAAGCATTATTCTGGTTGTGTGAGACAGAGGAGGCGCTTTCGTTGTCGTTTGCCAGATCGCTATCAATTGCTACATTGCCAACCCTGGTCTCTGTCCTACATGCAAGATTTAAGATTTATCCGTTACACAATCTGGGTTATTTCCTACTCTCGAGATCTGATCACTAGACACGATTTTCACATACTAGTCCCAAAAAGAAATCGAATTCTCACGAGGTACCGTAACAAAATAGCCAGTGATGTCCCTGTCTTCCTTGTCTGGAAGATAGCCAAACACGCAGACAGATCCACAGGTCATCAGTGGCCTTTCTCTTCCCTGGTTAGATATTGTTCTAGAAAGGAGAAAATTCGTGGATGGAGAGCAGAAGTGTGTATTTATATACCCCTTGCACGACGTAGTCTGGGGTGGGAAGGGAAGTGTGATGAAGAGATGGTATGATTTATGAATTAAGATGCACTTAGACATTTCACTACAATAGTATGTATTTTGCTTCACCTCCTCGTAAATCTACAATGCATCTCACACTTCTGATGCATACCTGCAGTTTATGACTCGCGATATACCCAGAGCCAGAATCAGCATCCACTACCTCCCCAGCCTCATCCCCATACCCAACCCAACCCCCTCCATCTTCATCCTCCTACCCTCCCCAGCCCCTTCTCACTCCAAACCAATTCCCCCAATCCCCCTAGATAATCCCCACCTCCCACCTCCCGCCTCTCTCCCCTCAACTCCCCCTTCCCCTCTCTCACACAACCCAACAACCACCAAGAAGTTTCAACCAAATACCCCATCTAGAAACTCCACTCCCACTCCCACTCCCACCCCCCAACTTTCACTATACGATTTTACCCCCTTCTCATATCTCATATCTCATATCTCGCATCTCATCTCATCTCATCTCTTCCTCAACTCAAATCCCCTTCCCCCTCCCCCTCCATTCTATCTCCAATTTCCATCCCAAACAACACAAAACCCAACCCTAATCACAAATCCCAGATTTCCACCCGGTATTATCATTATCGATTATTAGTTATCAACCTCTCGATGACTGTCATTCGCTTTTTCATCCATCGATGTGTATACACCGGGAAGATATCGCTTAAAGTGGAAAGTAAAAGTACACAGAGGGAGAAGGGAAGAATATGCTCTATGAGAACCTCAGAAAAGAGATGTGTGTGATAAGTTTTTGATTTGCGCGAGGATAGTTCCAGCGCTATAGCTGTGCCATTCTCTTCACGACAGGTAGCAAACTCATCATGGATTTTTGTGACTGTGGTTGAAGAAGCTTGTGGTTCCAGCTGGTTGGTTTTATACTTGGGTGGAGGATGAGTGGAGTGAGTGCTACTTTCGGGGCGGGCAACTGTGGTGGCGAGATGGTGAGTGAATGGAAGAGAGTGAGTGAATGGGTTAGAAGGCAGGAAATCCGGGTGAAGTTTAACAGTGTATTTTCTACCTGTATCGCGGAATCATTATCTACAAAAGCACCAAACTCCCCCATCCCCATCCCCATTCCAATTCCCCCACCCTACCGTATTACACCCCCACACCCCCCTCAAACCAGGCCCAACCTCAATGACCCCCCGTAGTAGGCAACCCCAACCCAACCTTAAAACTATCATAAATCAACCACTGAAACGCCGTCAACGTCCCAATCATCAAAATCCTAACCGGCAAGCCATTCCACAACCCCTTAAACCCAATATTCCCATAAATCCTCGTCATCGCCTTCCCCGCGCCCTCACCTTTCTTCCTATCCGAGTTGAGTTTCGAGACCATGACATCTGCGGGGTGAGACACGACGGCACAGCCTATGCCGGCGATGTAGCCGCCGAGGAAGGAGACGCCGGTTTGCTGGAGCCCGTTGTAGGAGGATTTGGGCTTGCCGAGGTAGCTGTAGATGGCGTTGACGGTGGTTTCGAAGGTGGCGAATTTGACCATTGTGTAGGGGATTTGGCGACCCCAGAGGGGGTAGAGACCTTTGTAGAGGCTGGAGGGGACAGTCAGTAACGTTGTTCTTCTCTTATAATTTGGAACATGTTTCTGCTTCCTTTCTCTATCGATTCATGTGCAAATGAGTAGAAGGGAGGAAGAAAACAAACTCACCCTCCATACCCCTCCTCCTTAATAACCTTCCCCATACCCTCCCTCAAGCTATGTGCGAAAGGCGGCAGCGTAGTCTGCATCCTAACCTTTATACTCTCAAACGGACACAGCGCAATATCGGCCAAGAACTCGGCACTCGCGCTCGCAGCCAGGAACACGGCCGTGGGATTCATCCCCGGGAACATCTTCTCGCCATACGTGTACTTGAAGACCTCGTAGAAACCGTATTTTCCACCGCCCTGGAAACAGTAGCCGACGAAGGTGGGTGACCAGCCGAAGAATACGCCGCGGAGACCTTCGGATCGGTAGATGGTGCGCCAGGCTTGGGTGTTGGATTTGTAGAGGGCGGAGTCGACTTGTCGGCGGCATTTGACGAGGTCGAGGGGGGTGACGGCTGTGTGGGTTGGGCCGCAGGCTGGTGGTGGTGGGTGAGAGGTTAGTTGGTGCGTATTTTTTTTGTTGTTTGAGGAGGGGTCGAGTATTGTAGCTCTGTGAAGTGGAGGGAGGGCATTGGGGGAGAAAGTACCTATTATCCCACCCAGACCGCACGCAAGGAAATACTGTCCACTATACAGCTCAATCTTCGGCTTCGGAAGCGCCTTCTCAAGTGCCGCCATCTTTCCAGCTTTTCAATCCCTCTCAATTGACAAAGTCAAGACAAAATTGAAGCTTATCGTGATCAACAAACAATCCGATATCGAGAAATAAAACAAGCTTTCTGTCACTCGTCTTGGCTTGATATCAAATCAAGGGAGGGAGGGTTGGCACAAATCAATTGGCACACGGGGAAATGGTAGAGAGGAGTGGAGAGGAGAGGAGAGTATATCTCCATGAATTGAGAGAAAGACAAGGAGAAAATAAGAAGAAGAAAATTCTTGGAAGGAAGAGGTTTTGTATGTTGATGTTAGTCGGTTCTTCCTTGATAACGCGGCGGCGGCTCGGTTGCTTCGGACGGCAGGGGTAGGGGTAGGTACGTCATTGGCGTGGAGGGGATCCGAGGCTTGGCTTGCTGACTGTACAGGTGCAGATCATATGACTGAGAGTGGTACATTACATGCTTTATTCGAGGATGCAGAGGAATTATTGCAGATAATATTCTACTGTAGATGCGATATGTTTTAATTGGATTGGATATTAACCTAGTAGCTAGCATTTAATACATAGTCTCGTGATCAAGCATCATGGGAGCGTCGTATCCCTTCCGGCTCAACCTCGGCCCACTCGTTTGATAAAGTTCACTTGTGTATGGTATCATCTCTCATGCATCACCAAAGCTAACGTACGAGTATTTACAAGTTACATCTTGATAATCGTCAATCAGCTAGGAATTTATTCCGATTCTACAGATATATGCACGCAATGACAAAGGAAAACAAAATAAAACAAAACAACAAAACAAAACAACAGCACCACAATCGCCCTCCCAGCCAGCCAGCCATCTAGAAAATACGCCTTTCCAAAATTTGTAGTGTCCGTCCATTACCCATCCAGTAAATGCCGCTTGCCTCTGCTTGTCCGTTGAAGAAGGATTCCTAGCCATGCACAGGTATGCCCAAGAGATAAACAAACCCCCAAATGTACCGGCATCGTCGCGAACTAGGCGGAATTTATAGTTCTGAGCGATGAGGTCGGTCTCGAAATGAAAAGCACAACAAAGGAAATGTACTCTCCTCTCTCCGTGCTGTCCCATCACATCCTCCCACCACTCTCAAACGCCCCCAACCTATACCCACTATCCTTACTCCTCGTCGAACTAGCATTACTCCCACCCCTCAACCTCCCCGTCATACCCACTCCCAAGATCTCACTTCCACCCAACCCCCCTCCTCCCCCAGCACCAGGACCCTTCCCCACCCCCGCAACCATAGCATCAAACCTCTTCGTCGTCCCAATAACCTTCCCCCCAATAACCTCCACCGCATCCCTCTGCCTCTTCAACAGTACCTCCAACCTCGGAATCTCAAACTCCGCAATGCCCCTCACGCGACGGCCCGTTTCGGAGAGCTCCTCGTCGAGTTGCGTGCTGAGGGTGTGGGTGGAGGAGTGGATCTCGGATTTGACTTGCGAGGAGGACTCGAGGACAGCTTTGTCGACGCGGGCGATGGCCGCGGAGTTGACGCGGACGGCGGCGTCGATGGCTTTGAGGCCTGGGGTGAGGGCGTCGATTTTGAGGTCGGTGTTTTCGAGGCTGGATTTGAGGGTTGTGAGGGAGGTGCGGAGGGCGATGTCGGTTTTTTGGAGTTCCGAGAGGATGCGGGTGTGGAGGGTTTCGAGTCGGGCTTGGGTTGTTTCGGCTTCGTCTTTGATTGCTGTTGAGAGGGTGGAGATGTGGGTATCCAGTGCTGTCGATGTAGATTTATTCTGCGTCGCAAGATCTGCCAAGCCGTTCTTGACTTGTTCGGCGAGAATTGCAGTATTGCCCTCAACAGCCGCACTGGATTTCCTCGTCAAAACACCCTCCTCCTTCACCATCTCCTTCAACCCCTCAATCTTCTCATCAACCGCCTTCCTCACTTCCACACTCTCACTCTTGACACCCTCCAAGCCAGATTTGACGACATCCACAACATCCCCGCTAGATTTAGTAACAGCACGCTCAATAAATCCCTCCAGTGACGAATTCAAATTCTGTACTCCAGTTAGAACAACCTTCTGCACGGCATCGACAGAAGAAGACGTAGTCTTCCCTTGCTGACGAATCGCTTCCAGGATTGTATCCGTGTTGGCCTCGATCTTCTTCTCGGCTTTCCTTCGCGCCGACGCAGCGGATGAAAAGTGCGCTGCTGTTTCAGTGGAGAGTGTGGTGGTGTTGGTTTGGAGTGTGTCGAGGGTGGATTGGGTTGTGGAGAGGGAGGCGAGGAGGGATTCTGTGGCGGTTTGGGAGGTAGTGTTGGAGAGGGAGATTTCGGAGCTGATGTGGTTGGTGAGAGTGGTGCTGGTGAGGGTCAAAGCATCGAGAATCGTGCTGTGGTTGAGGTTTGCTCTCTGAGATGCGGCCTCGACGTCAGTTGACAGTTCCTTGATGGTATCTTTGAGATGTAGTTCTTTCCTGTCCAGTCCAGTTAGGCAAGCTTGGGATCCTACGTTTATGGCTTCCAGAAGAGTTTCCTGAAGTTTTGAGGTGCCACTCGTGAGTTCGTCAATGGCACTCTTGACATACAATTCTGTGCTAGCGACTGCACTTGAGCATGTCTCAGAGGTTAGTTTAATGGCTTCCACGGTAGTATCATGAATCTTGTCTGCTTTCGAGACAACATGGCCGATTTCCTGTGTGATGATTCCATTGGTCTCGCTGAACTTGGCGGAGACAGCCTTTTCTACTGAATTGAGCTTCTCGTCAACTGAAGTATTCGATTGCTGTATTTCAGAAATAGTTAGATCCTTTGTCTTGGTGATAGCCGCACTCGTGGTCTTTGATTCGCTAAGTATGAGGTCAGATAGGGTCTTGCTTTCGTCCTTCATGGCCTTAAGAGTCGCTTCGTGTGTCGTATCTGCAGTCGAAAATCCGGTATCGATATCCTTCGCCAATTTCTCCACAATATCAAGCACACCCTTCCCAGACCTGCTGAACTCTTCGGAGAGATCCCTCTTCGCACCATCAAGACCACCCAGGAGTTTCACTTCGACCGCACCAAACTTCTCATTAAGTGCAGTCTTAGACTTGTGCACCTCAGCGACAGTCACCTCCCTCGCCGCCTCAATCGCCACGCTCACATCCTTGAGTTCCGTCTTCATCAAATCAGACAGTATTCTACTCTGCTCCTCAACGGACGCAATGACATCCTTGGAAATATTTCGCGCATCAGCACTGTCTTCTAATTTCTGATTTCCTTCCTTCACCAGCGTGGTAATAGCATCTCTCGCCTGCTGGTTATCTGTCTTAATAATCGCCAGGTCTTCCAAAAGTGCCGTCTTGGAAGTTTGAGTTTCGGTGATGAGAACGTCTTGCAGGGCTTTGAGTTCTGCTTGAAGGGCTGAGACGGTTTTGGAATGAGCGGTGGTGTTATCTGCTGTTATTTTGGATAGTGCAGCGCTAACATCTTGGTTGCTGGCAACAACCTTGTCGTTCTTTGCCAATAACGTATCCTTCGTGGCTATGATCTCGGAGACAATCAACTTTCCAGTCACATCGAGCCCATTCGCAAGAGCTGCATTTGTCTTTTCAGCCTCGGCCTTGAGCGCATCCTGAAGAATTTTCGACTCCGCCTGGATTGCAGCACGAGCCTCCTCCTGTGTCTTTTCATTTTCCGTCGCGATAGCATCGAGTTTGCCTTGACTCAACTTCACAAGCTCAGCCAACTCATCATTCGATTCCCTAATCGCCGTCTCGACCCCATCAATCTCGCTCAGCAAGCTCTCCTTTGTGCTAGTGAGATCTGTAAGTACGGATGCTTTAACGACGTCCGAGCTCGAAGCTACAAGATCATTTGTCTTCTTAGACTCAGATGCAAGTGCACCGCGAATAGCCTGAGATTCAGTTGTAAGAGCAGAAAGAGTCTTGTCGTGCGCTTCTCCACTCGCGGATGACAATTTCGCCAAGACGTCACTGACGCCGCCAATTCTGGCTACGACGGAGTCCTCGACATTCTTGAGACTCTCCTTCACAGACTCGGATTCTTTGAGCTGGCTTTGCACAGCGGCCAGGATCTCCCCTTGTCCATCCTTAGTTTTGCCATCATGCTCTTCCACCCTTGATAGACAAGTCGCTACATCGCTGATATCTGATTTTACAGAGAGGACCTCAGCAGCGATGCCCGCAGCGCTGGCCAGGATCGCCACTTCGGTCTCTTTCGAGGTACTGGTGACCTTTGACAGTGCGGTATCCAGGTTCGAGATGTCTGAATGAGTTTTGGCGAATCCTTCCGTGTTCGACTTTTGGATGTCGGTGAGGAGGCTGTGCGAAGCCTGTACGGCATGTAAAGTCTTCTCCCCTGAGCTTCCCACTGTCGTCTTCAGCTCCGTCAGGTGAGTGACTGTATCTCTGGCCGATGCCGCTAGCGACTCTTGCATCGTGTCCAATCTCTCCCTGTTCTCCTTCGTCGCTGCATCAATACCCCTAGCCAGTCCAGCAATCGATGAAACTCCATCCACAAGCTCGGAAACCGGGTTGACGGTCTCCTGTATCTTGGCTACATCCGTAGCTAATGCCGCACTCTGGGCTATTGACAGCTCCTTCAACCCCTCCAGCGCCGCGCCGTTAAGCCGCAGCTCTTTACTATGCGTATCGCTGGATTCCCTGACATCTCTGCTTAGATCCATGATCTTGTCTTCAATGCTGGATTTAAGCTCTTCAGAAGCAGCCTCGTTCTTCTTCGTGGAAGTTTCAACTTCCGTCTTCAGAGCTTCGAGAGCGGCTGAGGTGGCTGTTAGGTCAACTGCTTTGATTTCCGCGCGTAATACATTGGTCGAAGTCGATACTCTTGAGCTGAGATCTGCCTTCAGGTCCGACACATCATCGTGCATGGATGTAGTGAGGGTGTTTGTGGCATCGAGGATGTCTTTTCCCAGCGTGGTTTCCAGTTCTTGGATGGAGGTGTGGATGGTGTCTGAACTGCTTGCGAGTCTGGTGTCAATAGATATGATTCCTTCGTATGCCGTTGCGAGGGATGAGGCGTTTTGCTGGGCGAGGAGTTTAACAGCACTGAGAGTTTGTGACGTTTGGTTGCTGATGTCGGTGAGAGACTCTAATTTTGAGTCGTCCGAGAGGAGGGTTTTGAGAGTCTTGAGCTCTTCACTTATGTGTGAAGATTTCACGTCGCCGGATCTGAGCAGCGTAGATATTTCAGCGCTCTTCTCATTCAGCCCATCTACAGACTGCTGTATTGCCTCGTCGCGATCACGTGAGACGTTTAACAGCTCTTTCACCACAGCGACCTCAGCAGCCTGTTTGGTAATACAGTTCTGGCCCCACGATTTAACCTGCATAAGAATCTCCTCATCTCTGCCTGCCTCCTGAATTTCCTGGATCATGCGCTTGATGGACAAAGAATCGACGCCAAGTTCCGCTCGGCTCGCTTCGATGGCTGTTCTCGTAGTATTGAACTCTTCACGAATCTCGGCTTTTTCGGTCTCGAATAGTGCTTTGCTTGAGCGGACTTCTTCGAGGATTTCCGAGATTGGCGTGTGCAGTTTTTCGCCCCGGAATTCGGTGTCGTCTCTGATTGACCGTAAACCGTTTTGTAATTTTCCGTCGAGGCTGCCGATGTGCGTTGCAATCGCTTCTACAGTTGATTGAGAAGCTAGTTCGTGAGATTGTGATATTTTCTTTTCGATACTAGATTGCAAGGTGGAGATGGCTGTTGATAAACCGTCGTTAGAGGTTGTGTTTGACACAGTTTGATGGATCGTGCTGAGAGAATCAGTATGAGACGACAGGGCACTATCGACATTCGATCGCATTTCCGAGAGTGTCTTGGTCAAATCATCCAAAGCCGCTCGTTGAGGCTTCGAGTCCTTAACCAATGCGGTAAGAGACGATTCCAATCCATCCAACTTCGTCGAATGTGAAGAAAGCGGTCTCAGGCGCTCTTCGATGTTCTCTGCACTTGAAGCCAGGTCTCCTAGTCTTCCAATAACAGCCGCGTCAAATGAAACCACTGCGCCTTCTGTCCTTGTCAGGATCGAAGTAGCATCACTCAGCTTTCTCGTGTGAGATACAGCGAGATTATCCAACGACCTAACGTGCATCCTCACGGCTTCTACGTCCTCTTTGATAGATCCAGCATTCGACTCTTGAGATTCTGAAACCTCCTGACAAATCTCTTTCGTCGACTCAACCAGCAAATGCATCTTTCCAACTGCTGAAGCCATACTATCCAGTTTTGTCGTGTTCGCCGACAAAAATTTCGAGTTCACTGATCCCAGATTTCTCGCCGCCTCGGCTTCCTTCTTGAAATCCGAAATTTCTCTCTCAATTGTCTCAAGTTTTGCAATCTGCACCGGAATAGCCGAAGTGTCCAACCCAGACACTTTATCCTGAATCGCAGTGATACTCCTCCTCAAGGCCTTCTCAGAAAATTCAGCTCTTGAACTAACCTTGTTGACCGCAGCGAGGACATCATCTTCCTCCAGCTTAGTGCGCATCGTCTCAATGGTCTCCGCACTAGCACGAATCGACTTCCCCATCTCCTCACAAGCACCCACCACTCTCCTCTGAAGCGCATCTGTTTTCTTTCCCAGATCTCTCTGGACTTCCCAGATGGAGTTGTTCAGCGTGGTGTTCCTGTCCTGGAGTTCGTTGGAGATCTCGCCGAACCGGATTGCCGAGCGGAGGTCTGCATTGACCACCGCCTCATCCACATCACCTGTTTTGCGATCCAGGTCTTCAATGCGACTTTCCAGCGTACTCAGACGGCTCTCAAACGTCTTGAGAAAGCGCGTCTGTCCTGACACGATCTCACTCAGCTCTTCCGAATAATCCGGAACGTGAATTTCATTCACTCTGGTTTCGAGACGTTCCTGTCCCAAGGATAGAGTGTCCAGAGAATGCCGGTAATCAGGAATCACCACTCGGGTCAGCTGATTTTCAATGCCCTTCAACACGACAGGTAAGTCCTCGACGTGCGCTTGGAGCGTGGATTCGAGGTTTAGATTTGTCGTTTTGATCTGGTTCAGTTTGTCCTGGTGGCGCGAGAAGGCCGGGTCGACCTGAGACGCGACGGCGATCTTGAAGGCATTGCTCTCAAATGCCGCGAGCACAGCCTGCTCAACTATTTTCGAGATGTCGCGGTCTTCGTTCCATGGAAAGGCCGTTTGTGGTCTATTTGCGTGTGGCACGCCGGTGTGTGAGGATTGGCGCTTTTCTTTCCACCAGTTGATTGGGGAGCCTTTCAGAGACATTCTGTTGTGGTGGTAGTTATTGTTGTTGTGGGCGTCTCATGTGAGTGCAAACAAAATGGAAAGACAAATAGGTGGGCGGATGCACCGTGAATCATGATACCCGCCAGATACTGAGGAATTGAACAATGAATCCAATCAATCAACTGATAAACTGATAAGCAAAAGATGACTCGACGCCGAGGATGTCGTGTCTATGCAGTTGCTTTGTTGTACGGATGTTGTGTCGTGTCGTATTGAGTTTGTTGTTATTGTTATGAGGAAGACTCGACGGAGGATAAAGAAGAAAAAAGACGTGACACCCACCACTCTCCACCCACGTACCACACCCCACCGCTATTATGAGCTGGCCTGCCTCGCCTGCCTCCGCGCGCCCATGTTTTCATGCCCTGCCCAGTGCCCTCCCTGTCCCCGGGCTTACTTTCTCTGGCGCGTTTTCTTTTTTCGCGCTGTTTGGTGGAGCCACTTGCGGCTGCCACGACTGATTGACCCGCTTCCAGGCTTGGGCCAGCGAACCCGACGGGCTGTTACAGGCGCACACCCGGCAAAACGGAGCAGAGCGGGGACTGGTTCATGCACGTCTCGTTATCCGTCACATTGCTGTATGCACGTTGTAACGGTGTGGAAAGGTGAGAGTGAAGCGGTGTCTGAATTTGTTGATCAGAGAAAGTATTTTTCTGGGTGTGAAAGTTGGGCGTTGAGAGAGGAATGGTTGATGGATTGGGTGCAGTCACGGGATTGGTTGTGTCGCTAATTTTAGCCTGTGGCGATCTCGCTTCGGGCTTGGGGTCAGTCAACAAGACAGGTTGGTAAACATGTTAAATGTTTCTGGATGTTTCAATAATGTCTTTCGGACAAAGAGATACAGCATTACTATGATTAGATGCGCAGGAATGTATCCGACAAGATGGTCAGGAAATTTTAAACAAGAGTATCCATTCATCTTACACAAATATAGTCCCAGCAAGGAGTGTATTTCTTAATGATGGAACCTGACTGGATGCACACGAGGTACTATTATGAGAACAGGAAGTTTCTTTCTCAACAACAGTCTCCAGGGCTGTCTTATGTTTGAAATAAAGACTTGATGACCTTCTCTGGGTATTCTTAGTATCAACAGGCTTTCACCACACCATTTTAGAATCATTCATTCAGCTAATGATGTATTTTCCGATACGAAAATACACATCCTTTGTCCTATGATTATCCTCCCTCTTCTCTTCTCAGTATAAACACTCCTCCACAACCACCCACATCTCACTCCCAAACTCCAAGCAACCAAGTTCGACTTTCCCATAACTCATATATATTCTCCTCGTGGCCCGTGCAAATCAAGCGAGCATTTCATCACTCAGAACCAAAAAGTACTAGTACCAAAACAACCAAAAGTAAAATGTGTATAGAACACTGGACCAAATACATCATCTGCTGCGGTGAATCAAAATACATAGATACCGCATGGTGTGTGGGTGAATGTCAGGGAGTCTGGGAGCAGTACCACGACTGCCCTACCATGTGTGATGAGTGCCGGAAAAATAGGGCGAAAAAGCTTAGGGAGGCGCATGCTAAGAAGAAGGATGATGAAAGGAAGGATCGGGAGGAGAAAAGGAGGAGAGAGAAGGGGAGTCGGAGCCACTAATTTTGCGCTGAGAGAGGTGACGTGGGGTAATAGGTGTGCGAGGGATGAAAACATGAAGGAATGATTGATGAGGTTAATGAAGATGGGAGGTGATGTGGCAAGCGTAATATTGGGAACACACAGATGTTTTGTTTTTTCCTTTTTCTTTTCTCTTTCTTGGAAGCCTTGGACGGTAATGGAATAAACAATGACTCTTCATTTCTCCGAAATCACGAGGTTTGGTAGTGGAAGGAGGATGTTTATATTCGTATTCTTCATTCCATCGTTTGAGTCTGAGCTGTTGCCTCCCACTTGAGTTAAGCGAGCCAAGCTTGAAGCTTTCGTGGAACACCATTGATGGAGGTTAAAGAGAACAGGATAGTGAAACAGATATTACTCTCACCCTGATCATAGACAACTGCTACCATCGAAAGCAAGGTACCATGGAGACAACCATCACTCGTAGATGTACAGCAAGTCTCTCATTCTGACAATTTCACAAATATTATCTATTCATATACAAGGCTATCCAATTACATTCTCGACATGAATAACCAAGGTGAGACAATACGACAACTACCAACACGCATCCCAAGCCCTCTGCATCCTCGTCATCTCCGCCCTCTCCTTCTCCGGCTCCTCATCCCAATGTCTACACTCCTCATCAACCTCCGCCTTCCCAGTCACCAAATCCGCCTCCTCTGCCTTCACAAAACTCGTCTTCTTCATCACCTTCCAAAGCACAAACATGAAACTCGCAAACGCCACACCGAAATAACTCGTGATGAATCCCTGCGTATCGAACGGCTTGAATGTGTTCCATCCGGAGAATAATACTACGACGCAGCCGGTTCCGATCGCGAAGTAGGCTGTGTAGGGCTGGAAGGGCGCTTTCCATGAGAGCGTGTCGCGGGAAATGCCTTGGGCTTTGAGAGCGCGGTACCACCCGATGAAAGTCACGAGGTAGCCGGTGTAGGAGAGAACGAAGCCGATGGTGGCGAGGTTGACGAACCAGCCGAAGACGGTAACAGATGAGGATGATGCGACCATAAATGCAAGACAGCCGATTAGAGAGGGTACAGCAACGGTATAGAGCGGGACGCCAGCCTTTGAGCACTTCTTGAAGATCTGAGGGGCTTGTCCGTCGAGCGCGAGGGAATAGAGAGTTCGCGATGCGGCGTAGAGGTAGGCATTTCCGCAGGACCATGCGGAGAGGAGAATCAGGAAGTTGATGAGTGACGGTAGACCTTCAATCCCTAGGTTCTCGATTCCAATCACCCAAGGTGAGGCAGTTGCACCACTTGAGCCGTCCGCAAGCGCATCCAATAATCTCTGATCCCGACTCGAGCACAGAATTCCGACGGCAAAGACACCCATGATGTAGAAACCGGCGATACGGTAGAACGCGCGCTTTGCTACTCGAGGGATCTGTCGACGTGGGTTGGCGATCTCGCCAGCTGCTAAGGCGAGAAGATCGGGTCCTGCGACGGAAAAGGCGGCGTAGAGAACGACTTTCCACCAGCCGAGAAATTCGCCTAGGGAGCCGGTAGTCCAGTATGCGTGGATGAAATCGCCGTTTTTCCAGTGGCGGAAGCCGTAGGCGTCGTGTTTGGGATTACCGCCCACCATTGTGATGAAGGTTAAAAGGATGAGACCAATGATTAGGAGGATCTTGGTGGACTATTGGAGGTCAGTTTAGTTATGATTTTGAGGTGGGAAGGGAAAGTGGGGAATTTAACTTACAGCCATGATAAACTCGGACTCGCCATACCACTGGACTGCAAAGACGTTTGCGGCAATCATAACTACTAGGGCTAATGCGACCCAAGCAGCTGGATTGGTTTTATCATCCCAGAACGAAATAACAGTTGCAACAGCCGACAACTCGGCACACAGCAGCATAGCAGCGGTGTAGAAGTACGTCCATCCCAGAGCGAATCCAAATGCCTCATCAACATAGCGTTTCGCGAATTCGAAGATCGATCCACGGATAGGGAGATAGGTTGCCATTTCACCAACGCACAGATTGCAGGGCCATATAAAGGCGATACAGTACGCGACGTAGCCGAGTACCAGTGATAAAGGACCAGATGAGCGGAGAGAGCCACCAATTCCGACGAAGAGTCCTGTTCCGATACTTCCACCAAGAGCCATGAGTTGGACATGACGACCTATTGAGTGTTAGCCAAAACCGCGATACATCACGAGAAATGATGGAACTCACCTGACAAGCCACGTTTAGTCTGTCCGAAGACAGGATCGACGTGAACTTCACCACATACTGGGCCATTCTCATCTGACACGGATCGTGTCGAGGGCGCTTTGGTAGTCTTCTCGGGATCCATGATGAGAGGAGAGATGGGGTATGACTGAGGGAAGCAAACTTAAAAGAAACCATTTGCGGGGGAAGTCTGTATACTTATACAAGACTCCACAAGTACTTACAGATCCGGTGATTTGTTCCCCGCGGGTGACGGGCAATGAACGATAAGAGAGGAGAGAGTTCCAACCTGTGCAACTGACCCATGCATGCCACAAAGGCGATTGTTCAGTCCTCTTCGTAAGGAACTTCCAATCTTCCATGGCCTTACCTCATCGGGTAGATACGGCTGGCATCTGCGAAACTCTAACTATCGACGTATCTCTCCATATCTCTCTGACCCAACCCCATCTTTCATTCTTGACTCGTAGACCTGTTAAGATAGACATGGGAAACGCCTGAAAGGAGATTTCTCTGCCGATAAATTGATCTTGGCTCGGCTTGGCGCTCAGATTTGCTTGTCAGAGATAAGATTTACGGCGTCCGAATAGCTGCCGTGAGCCAATGGGCTTGTGTTGCGGTCGACTATCCCGCGAAGAGTGGGATGGCTTGGTTCGGGGAATCGGTTAGTGGCGTCAGTAAGGGTGTTCGCTGTTGTTAGTAAATATCTTCGGAGCGAAGATAAGTGCATTAGCTAAACTTCGTGTGGTGTGACATGCTGCGTTGTGATGTTTCGTTTGGGTTCGTCTGGTGAGGGGAGGTCGGGGAGGTTATGTACTGCATTTGAGTTGAAGGAGGGAAATTTTCTGGGATGAGTTTTCGACCCCTGAAGCTAGGCTCATTCGAGGGGCTGAAGCGAGCGATAGGTCACATGACTTGTCAAGATTCATGTCAACAAGGATCTTTGCTGCTATCAGTGGAGCTTGGATGAGGAGAAGAGATTAAGCTTGATTTGACCGATAAATTCGACATTTACGTAGGTCTGCGGCTCTAGCGAGTACGAAAGCTGAAGATCAGGAGAAAGTGTTTGACAAACATCGTGAAATGCGACCACCTTACAAGATCCTACACCACCAGCCAGAACTTGAAGAGAATAGTGCAATGGATCAAAAAACATTTGAGGCCAAATGTCTTGAGTAATAGGCGTTTGAGTAAGTTTTAGAGCTGTGGTGGAGATTTAACGATGGGAATGAGTTTACTAGTGCGATAATTCTCGTAAGCCCACATACACTGTCCAAACCAAATTACGTGCTCGTACAGCTTAGTTCGAATTTCCCCTAGCAGGCCTCCGGATTGACATTTGTTATGATTCGCTTCCTCTCTGGGTCGCGCACACCTGCTTGGTGATTGGTCAGACAGGTTATGTCATGTGAGCTGGCAGCAGCACCAGTTTCCTGGCTAGATATGCAAGACGTGTTGGGGATGGACAGTGACAGTCCTCTCCGTATAACTCATGGGCATATTCTTAATACCTTCGATGGATTGATGTTAGTTTCTCTGCGCGTGATCTAGGGTACACGGGGTTTCCCTTTGTGTTAAGGGTTGAATGTTGACATTTCTCGCTTAATTTTCAGGGCAAAGATTGCACTTCAGCCTATTGCCGTTTCTCGGATGCATGCCCCCGATGTGAGACACCAGCAGTTTCACGCACGTTCTGTTTTATGTGGTGGTAGTTCATTTAGAAATATGACCCTTCGAGGCTCGTGTTATTGGTGCCAAAGAAGTTGGCACCTTCACGCACAGATTGCCCACAGGTCTACCTTCAGAGTACTTTGTCTTTACAAGCCATGCTGATGATGAACCATTGAGATATCACTCAAAATTGTGTACTTTTAATCCTCACTAATATCCAGCGAAATTCATTTGTGACATCATTGGCCGCCGAGGAAGTGTATGCGGCGGGATGTGGGCTATGCATTCCCAAGTCTGGGATCAACATCGTGACTCTTTATTCTTCCGATCAATATAGATTCATACAACAAACAAGACGGAAACAGTACACCATACTGGAAGTTGAGTGTCACTCCAGAATGTGGGGCCCATGCTCGCTCTACCGCCCCAGAAATATATTACAGACTTCCATTGGTTATGCAATATGGGATATCAATACACACTATGCTCACCAGTGCGAAGACTCGGCAGTTGTAAAAGCACCCTGTGAAAACTGTTTCTTAACTTACATATCCTCAATCAATACCAAAACACCAATTTTCTTGTCTCTTCGAAACTTCTCGATCTCAGTTCAACTTGCCTCCAGTTATTCGTCACGATGCCTCGCCTCATTCTCCTCCCACTTCTATCCCTACTCACCCTCACCTCCGGTAAACCACAATTCCAAACCGGCAGCTCAACCATGCTCCGCTTCGGCTGTTCCCAAATAGTAATTGATCGCGTCGACCCACTCGTCAACCCCGCACAGATCCCATCACCACATATGCACCAAATAGTTGGTGGCAACGCATTCAACGCGTCTATCCCGAGTGCTGATGTAGGTACGCTGGCGAGTTGCACGACGTGTAGTTTTGCGGATGACTTTTCAAACTATTGGACGGCGAATTTGTATTTCAAAGCGAGGAATGGGAGCTATAAAAGAGTCCCGCAGATACCGAATAGGTGAGTAAAGGTTGTTGTAGTAAGGGGATAGTAAAAAGAGATGGTCTGAAAAGAGATTCAGGGAGTTGTTCAATGACAAGTTCACATCGCAAACGAGTGGTGGATTCGTGGTGTATTATGTTTCGGATGGGAAGAATAAAGTGACGGCATTCAAGCCTGTGAGTTTATCACATTCTTGTCCACCACTTCGAAAGCTTGCTGATACATTATGTGTAGGGGTTCCGCATGTTGGTCGGTGACGCCACCCAGAGAACTAAAATCGGAAGCGGAAGGAAATCTCAATCGTGTTTTCGCTGCTACACGGGGCCAAACTTCGGCGGTGACAATGCTGCACCTTGTCAAGATGCAAAGTACGTCTTTGATTATACGTGTTGAACACCATCGTTGACAGCTAGTCCAGACTGGATACCGAAACTCTCCCAAGTAGTGCATGCAAGGGTGGGATCCGCTCTAATATTTTATATCCAACGTAAGAATACCTGATCAAGTGGCAATCTTCTCAAAAGGAGTGCACATGCTGATAACACGCCGCAGGTGCTGGGACGGTATCAATCTAGACAGTCCAGACCACAAATCACACGTTGCGTATCCGAAAAATGGACCTCAGCAGTTCACAGGCACAAGCACTGGAGGTGCATGTCCATCAACTCATCCCGTGAAAATACCACAGATCATGCTCGAGGTAGTTACCACTCCCATTCCCCTGCTGCCTTCGTTCCCCTGGCTTGTATTCAATATTCTGATTCCGAATAGATCGTCTGGGATACTACAGCATTCAACAACAAAGCCGACTGGCCTGCCGACGGCTCTCAACCCTTCGTGCTCAGCACAGGCGATAACACCGGGTACAGCCAGCACGGTGACTACGTTTTTGGCTGGAAAGGGGATTCTTTGCAGCGTGCTATGGATGGTGGCCCTTGTACTGGCGCATCTTGTGCGGGCCTCAAGGAGACAGCGATGGGTGCCGAGAAGGCATGTAAGGTGCCGAGGTTGTATCCCGAAAATGCTGATGGTTGTAAGTGAACCTTGGTTTTTCTCAATTTGTGCCTCGGTGTTTGGAGTGGTGACTCTTGTGGTATAGGGAGAGAAACTGACTTTGCTTAGGGATCGACAAGTTGCCTGGGATGGATAACTAGGACCTGACTTGGTATTGTGTCGTGGGGTGTCTATGACACTGGAAGAGACTAGATGATATTTCCAGAAATTGGGGTTAGGGCTCCCTCTCAATTTTTGGATCTGGGGTAAGAGCTGCAAGATTTTTCTATTTACATTCCGTCTAAGATCGAGTTCATTGGAAATACATTCAATGGCTTATCTTCCCAAACCCGATTCGATCCAAGCTACCAATGATAGATGTCAGACTTCAAGTTACTCATGAATAATATCATTTGGCGAGCAAGGGACTAGTGATACAGATCACGGCCCGCGTTCTCAAATTCCCTTCCCATGGTATGTAACAAGCTTTTCAGGTGTTGAGAACAAGATCCTTGATACCGTTGAGCGAAGCTTTCACTCGTGATCTTTTGCTCCGGCGGTAGACGTTGCGAGCTTACTTTTCATCGGCAAATATCAAGCGATACGATAGATTTACTTCTGCTAGGAGTGCGGACGGGAGAAAAGTTGGGTGGCATGTTGTATTCTTCGTAATAGCCATCCAACAGCCTTCATAAGATTGTTAGCGTATACAGTAGCCTCGACTGCGGAATTTCTGTGTTACCTGGTGAATGTACTCCCAGTGAAGCCGGTGCTTCCTTGCCCTTCTGAGCCCTGGAGTGCGATGAAAGATGGGAGACAGAATAAGCTCAGTGTTTGCGAATCGGAGTCAAAGTCTAGATGAAAACTTATTGACATGGTCCAGGAGAATTCTATATCCCCTATCTCCTTGATTGTCACGGCATTGAGGTTTGATACCTGTAAATCGATGGAGGACGAACCCGCCATTTGGGTGCATTCAAACTTGCCTGGAAGTCTACTACCAAAGCCTTGGAGCAATTCCACAAAGAATCGATCAGCCTGTGACAGTGCCTGGGACGATGGTGACTTGTTCGGGAGGCAGCGGACTTGAAACATAGCGCTGTCCACCGCTGGGAACATGGTTTCGTAAGCCATTGTGATCCATCCGATCAGGATGAAGATTGCTTGCAACGCCTGCTTTCGGGTTCGGTGACCGTTGGCAATATATGTTTTGGACAACACATCGGCGGAAACCAAGTCAGTAACCATTCTGGCCAAAGTGGTGCGGCTCCCTGAGGTAAGGTGATTGGATATATGCGTCATCAAGTGCAAGAGCCGTTGTGTGATGGAAATACGAGATGCATCTGGAAACGGAGGAAATAGTCTATCGAGGAGGGATACTGGAAAGCACTAGATCCTTACTTACAGGGCACCAGCATAGACGGCTTCTGGGATATTATCACGACCAGGAACTTTTGGCCCTCACAACGCGACCAAAAATTCCGCGATAGCCACAGGGAAAGATTCTAAGAAGAAGCAAGCCGTCAGCTTTTTGCCCGGAATTTGTCTACGACAAGCAAGCTACCTGAAGAGAGGCAGTCCTCCACACCATTCGGCATCACTCTTTTCTGCCGAGCAGCCAGTGATTTGCCCATCGAGTGCTGTTTTCGCGATGTAGCCGAATACAACGTCTGCGATGTTCTGTGTATTCGGGCCACACTGGAGCGCTTTGTCACTGGCCGTTTGCTGTCTCGATGTTTCGAACTCGAGCTAGGTACGAAAGGTAGCTTCGCAGCCTGCCTATATGGATGGGCCGGCCATAGGTACTGCGCGACCTACTCTTGCTCGTGGTCGCACCCGCGCTCACTGGTCTATGCGTCCGTCCGTCCGTGTTCTCTGTCTCTCGGTCTGTCTTTCATACCCGCCCAGTTTAGTTCCAGGTAAGATTGCTACCTGGCTACCTTACCTACCTCCATATTCACGAGGCTTCCGGCACCACCATCAATCACATGAGTGAGTGAGTAAGTGAGTGAGTGAGTGAGTGGTAATGTACCGCTGACTGGTGTCTCGCATCGCCGCCGCACGCTGGCAGGCAGGCAGCGGCGTCAACACCTCACCTCACCTCACCACACCTCAACTCACCTCACTCTTCACCTCACCTGCATCGCTTCCATCCCATCCCGCCAGTGATATTATTCTGGTCCATCGCGGTGCCAAACTGTTTTCGCTGTCAACCTCTATTTCTACATTTCCTTCGGCACCCAGTCCCACGCAATTCTCCCCCCAATCCGTCTCTCTGTTTTGCTCATCCTCGCCACCCTCCCACACAATGGGCCCTTCTGATCTTTTCGATCCTTTCATCGCCTCCGTTTCAGAATTGCAAAGCCTGTTAAGTGCGGGCGAGCTCAACAGCTCTACTATCGTCGATAGCTATCTCAAGAGAATCGCAGCAGACGATGACTACCTGCGCTCCGTCGTAGAAACGACACCAAGAGAGATACTGAACAAAGAAATAAAGCGACTGGATGATGAGCGAGCTGCTGGCAAAGTTCGCAGTCCGCTGCATGGCATTCCCTTTCTTGTCAAGGTAGGCCAGCGCTTGACATTGTGTATATCTGAGGATGGGCGGGCGTGCTGAAACAAACACTCAGGACAACATGGCAACGGATCCAAGTCTTGGGATGGGGACGACCGCCGGCAGCCTTGCCCTCGTGGGCTCACGGCCGCATGGGAATACTCCAGTGGTGCAAAAGGTGAGGCTCAAAGGCCAGTCACTAGTGAATGGATCTAACCTGTACATAATCAAAGCTTCTGGATGCTGGGGCCATAATGCTTGGTAAAACCAGCCTTTCGATACGTGCGCCGAGACCAGTGATTGTGTCTGGTGGGTGTAAGCTGACTCCGTGAAGGAACTCAACTACTACAGGTAGGCGACTTTGCTTTGCTATCGACGAGGCAATTCACTCACTGCTACAGGTCGGAAGGTATACCTTGCGCATGGTCTGCAGTCTCTGGACAGAGCCAATCAGCATATGTGAGAGGAGGATTCCGGGATGATGATACCTTTGGGGGTCACAGTGTAAGTTGCCCCTGTCAACACCCATCGGAGTCATTCTGATTGATCAACGCAGAATCCTGGAGGTTCTTCGTCAGGCTCTGCCATTGCTGTCTCGGCTGGGTTCGCTCCATTTGCCTTGGGCACGGAGACAATCGGATCTCTTATGTTGCCGGCCGATAGGGCAGCATTGTACTCATTGAAGCCAACTGTTGGCACAGTCTCACAAGATGGAATATTCCCTATATCCTCTTTGTGCGATGCTGCTGGACCAATGACGAAGACTACGAAAGATCTTGCTGACATCCTCGACATCATCTTGGATTCTGACAAAGCTCGTATTCCAGAGGGCGGATTCTCTACGATGCTTACCAAAACTTGGCAGGGAATCAAGATTGGCTTTTTAGAACCCGAGAAATGGATGTATTCGGAGACCGTTGTGAAATACGAGGAAAGTGCAACGGATCAGATGGTATGTTTGCCGATCAACACTCGCTTGTATCACAGCTGATCATGCCACCAACAGCTGGCTGAAATTGGCGATGTGTACCAAAGGCTGGCAGAGCTCGCAGAAACAAAATCAGTCTCATTGATCTCCTGGGGCGAAGCAACTGACAACGGAAATAGAGTCATTGATAAGTGTTTTGGTGAGTAGCAGCTACAAAAGCATGGTTCACAATCTAATGACATTTCCAGACCGGGACTACAGTGCTGCACTCGAGAAATATCTTTCATCTCTTGACAACTCCAAGATCCACTCTTTGTCAGATCTAATCGAATTCAACGAGACCCACGCGAATCTGGAGCTCCCTCCCCGTACGTTAACTCAGCACGCGCTCATATATATTCCAACAAGACGCTGATTCTTCTAGGATACGACAACCAAAACGGGCTCATCCGCGCTCTGAATTCAAACATAACCGACGAAGAGTACGACGAGATCCTTCAACATGCACGCCATTCTTGTCGCGACCTAGGTATCGACAAAACTCTAAAGGAAAACAACGTCGACATCTTGCTTGGCCCTGCTGGCCCACTATACTATATCGCCGGAGCAGCAGGTCAGTCATTTTCTCAGTCCCCTCGTTGAATACCTTTGTTGAGTCGATTTAGCATATCCCATCGCGTCCTTACCCCTCAGCTATTTGAGCTTTAATGGTCGTCCGTTTGGATTGGTGGCATTGGCTTCTGCGAATCAAGAGGCGCTGTTGATTAGGGTTATGAGTGCCTGGGAGGCTACATTTCCAGCGAGAAAGCCTCCACCTCTGCTTGTTGAGAAGGCGGTGTTGTGATTAAAGGTATTGGCAAATCATTCTTGTTGTCATTGAGCATGGGCTTGGTATTGTTTATCGTGCGCCCATTTTCTAAATTAAAAACTCTCAACTCATGGATTCGCGGAACTGCAAAGAATTACATGATGCGAGTTGAATACATTGTTAAAATTGATCAACAGTCTTGCACACACTCTTGAGAACGCAGCACGCTTTCCGTTTGTGTCATCATTTCTTGAGTGAAAGATGCTGGGTCCGAAATATGTGTAACATTTATCTACACTCGTGCCATTGCGAACCCAGTAACTACACACTGGTAAAGATAATAGTAGAGAATTGGAATCTAAGTATCGATTCTGGCTTAACATGAGGAATACCTGACTATGGTAATGCTCTCGCGAGCCTTTTTCCCGGAAAGTGCGGCATGATCGGATCGAATGGAAGCGCTTCAGGTCGTGTTCAAGGCAGAAAAACGCAGGGAGACAAAAGTGTTGAATTTAGAGTTGTTACCGCCAAAACGCACCGGAAGCGCACGTGCTCACTGGAAACCGGCATCTCTGGAGAGCGAAGCATGTGCAGCAGAAGAGAATTTAATTTTCGAGGAACGCAGAACTGCAAGTAAAAGGGAAGGGGCAGAATTAATTGATTCGCATAAGATGAATAAGAGAGAATTCGAGACCGCCTGAAGTAATTCGAGAGAAATTGGAGGTACGGGCAGAAAAACGAAACGCAGATCGCTGCCTCAATCAAGCAGCGCCTCCTACCTGCATGTAGGTGCTCATGCAGTGAGAACTCTATTCTCAGTGCCGGAACGGCATTCTCGACATCGACTAGCGACATAACATTCCCAAAAACGAACAACAAATGACTCAAAAATGGTAAAATTGTTTGCCTGGCCAGCGCCTTTAAGATGCAACATTTACCTAGAATCATTTAACCGAGGAGAGTAAATAGAACAAGGTTGGCAGTGAGCTGAAGAAGAGCGGCCGATATCCGACGTTCGCGGAACTTTCGCAGTAGTCCGCCTTCCGATGTTTAAGGTTTTGATTATTGAGCATCTCTTCCAAATCTTCTCATCGCATCCTCGCATCTTACAAATCTCGCACCGAGATGCGAATCCGAGTCTACAAAATGCAAATTCCTTTCAAACACAAGAGTTGCGTCAACCATACCTCATGTGAACCTGCCGAGGCTTTGTGGCTGGCCTCTCTTTACAAACCCCACACAGCGGCCCCACCCACCTAAGTTCCAAAGCTTTTCTGAGCAGCAATAAATTCTGCTTACAACATATTTGATAAGCCAGTGCTCCTTGTATTTGGAAGCGGTGAGATGAAACAACTCCCGCTCCGAGACTAGTTTGGTCCTCGAATTTGTAATTCTGCCATTTTGCATGGCATGATGTCAAGGGCGATGAATGCCGTGATTGGGCAATGCATGAGATACCCCCACAGGATGATGCGTAAAAAGTTTAAAAGACGTTGCTAGTCAGTTCGAGAGAGAGAAGCTACAGGTCGAAAGCCAGAGAAGTGCGGGAAAGCTATTGTAGAGAAAGGGCCCTCGAAAAGGATATGCAGATTCCGTTGTGGGTGTTCCTGGGAAGTATACTGCTTGCGCTTTCCTGGCATGAGATGGCGTCGTTGGTTTTGAGAAGGACTACTGGTGGAGGGGTTGTACCCACTTTGTTTGGGAGCTGGAACTTGGATGGGGCTGCGATGAGGGGTATAAGAGGTTTCTCTTTCCTCTCTTCTGGCTCCAGATATTCTTCAAGTACACTTACAAGATCATCAACATCGGCCTCACTATACCAGACACCACTCTCAACAACTACCAACCATCACAAACACTTCTCCACAACAGCTGCAACCATGTCTTCCAAGTCCTTCCTCGAGACCGTCAAGAACCGCCGCACATACTACGCTCTCAAGAAGGAGAGTACCATCTCCGACGCTCAGATCCAGGAGATTATCAAAGAGGCTGTTCTACATGTCCCTTCTTCGTTTAATAGCCAGAGCACGAGGGTAGTGCTGCTCGTTAAGGAGGAGCATGATAAGTTGTGGGAGATTGTGAAGGAGGCGCTGAGGGCTATTGTGCCTCCTGAGCAATTCCCGGCTTCTGAGCAGAGAATCAATGGATTTAAGGCTGGTTATGGAACTGTTCGTCTATATCCCCTTCCATTTTACTTCATGTCTTTCTAGCTGAGATAAATGCTAATAATCGTCTCCAATAGGTCCTCTTCTTCGAGTCCCGCTCCGTCGTCTCAGGCATGCAAGACAAGTTCGCCATCTACGCCGACAAGTTCCCCGGCTGGGCCACCCAGTCCGACGCCATGCACCAGTTCGTCATCTGGGCTGCTCTCGAGGCGGAAGGGCTTGGTGCCAATCTTCAGCATTATAACCCGTTGATTGATCAGAAGGTTGCGGATACGTGGGGCATTGATAAAGATTGGGTTTTAAATGCGCAGTTGGTGTTTGGGACGCCGGCTGGTGGACCGGGAGAGAAGACCTTTGTGCCGGTGGAGGAGAGGTTTAAGAGTTTTGGGGTTTAGTGAGGGGTTGGCTTGGGATGAGATGGGGGTGCATTGCTAGTGTTTTGGGAGGGGAGTTGAGTTTCTGTAGATAGATTTTATGAATGCTTGGTACTTGATCAAAGTCTCCTTTCTTCATTCCTACCTCTACCCTCTCATATTTCCATCGATTTCCAAACTCCCCGAATTTCTTGCTCAAATGTTGAGTTGTGGTAATGTCGCAATGCGGCCGCATGGAGGGGCACAATTTTACCCCTCCATGCAGACATCGACACACGCCCCTCGGCGCAGTCCCTTACTCGGCTTCAATTAACTCCTCTATAGAATCCTATCTTTGTAACTCGAATCTTCTACAGGAACTTTTCTGTACAAATTGTCCTGAAGCCAGAACAGAGAGGGGCAGGCAGTGGAGTGGCTGCAATGACGACGCGGGAATTGCGGGAATTGGGGATATCGCGGGTCTTTTCCGCTCGACTATTCTAGAAACGCAAGGGAGCGAGTGGAGAGTAAAGCGTAGTGGAGTAGGTTGCGGGTAGAGGGGATGTCGTGCATAAGTAGTTCTGGGACGTGCGAACGATCAGCTACCGAAGAGGTAGTGTTCGTGAGAGAGTGTTTGTTTTGGTTCCGTTGTTTGGGTGTCCTAGTGAGGGGTGAACAAGCGAGAAGTACTGACGGTAGGAAGACCGAAATAATTTCGTTTGCTCTTCTGATCTCGTGGAGACGCTTGCATCTCCACTCTGTATCACTATCTTATATTTTAATATATCAATATGTTCTATCTGAATCTTGTCCCGAGTTCTACGAGCACACTCAAGACTCAACCACACATCAAGCTGGAGCATCTCTGCCAGCAATACGATCCCCTGTTCCGGGAAACTGGACGAGATGTGCAATATATGTTCCCAGAAAGACCTCCCTCTCTTCCTCGTTGTATTTATGATAACATTCCTGTTCTCATTTCTCCTCCAGTTTCTCAAGAACAACACTATATTCTCATCAACGACTTTCTCATTGGGTCCAAGCCCCCTCACAATCTCCCTTTCTAACTCATTCCCTCCCTTGAACCTCGAATTCCACTCTTTCCCCAACATAAACTCAATATAGCTATAAAATGGGAATGTCATGACCCGCATTTGCCACCACTGGTGTGGTAATATTGAGATCGAAACATTCAAGTTCGGAGGAAATATCAAGTTTATGAGAGCAACTAAGATAGGCAGACCGACACGTAAACTTTCCACACGAGCTGTTTGGGGAGGTTGTAGAGATTTCGATCTGGAAAGGATTAATGATGCACATTTGAGAGATTATGACTGTAGAAACGAACCCATATCTTGGAGCACCCATCTCCTTGACAAAATCGGTATTGAGAGTCGGCTGGCTGAACCTACACCTCATTCTTAGAACAAGATGTATGGTTGCGGGTACCCGTGGACGTGGTGTTGAGCCCAGAGGGTGGGATAGTCGGCGCTGGCGATTGAGATGTATTCCTTGATTCTGGTCCAGATGTGATGTCTTCGACGCGAGCTTTGTCGTCTTCGGAGGGGCAGATATGAGAGGGACATAGTAGGAAGAGAAGTATGAGGAGATCTATGTCGTTGACTTTGAAGTATATCATTTGTGATGATGGCGGAGTGGAAGGGGTGGGGGGGGGGGGACGTTTGGCGGGTAATTACTGCTTGGTGGATTTGTGATATGGGATGTTATTCTAGGTGTGTTGTTTGTCATTATATATCTTTGTGTACAATTTTTTAGATGCCGTACTGACGTGAGAGACCAAATGCCAAGTCGTGAGCGATATGGCTGATGGCACCATGATACCCTAACAGGACGATTATTGCTGAGAACGGCATGTTGAGATGCTGGGCTCAAACGGATACGCCTAACAGAATCACATAAGCTCTGCCAGCAGCCAAAACTTACGAAGTTAAACATTGCGCCCGGTTTGGATGTGATGTTAGCGCTGATGTGATGCCCCATCTGGATTGTCTTATTGTCAAGGTTTCACTGGAGCTCACTCGAAGTGCGGCCGCAAGGAACAGATTTTGGGATTCTGACGGGGAGAAATACTTTGGAACATATGCAAGTTCATGTCTTCTGGACGTTGAATAGGTTGTGGTGTGAATGTCTTCACACGAAATGAGCATGAAATGCAGAAAGGAAGGCATCTCGCTTTGGACATATGTTTGTGATGTTTTTAATCGATGATTCAGATGAGATTTCTACTGACAGATTTGACCAATCCCACAATCATTGAAGCTGTGGACCAATAGCCTTGCTTACCTCCTCCAGCTTCTTGGGATCTTCAGCATCCCGGGTATTTGATAGCCTTGCTGACATGCATGCCCAGGGATGAGTCTGTCTTCTGTTAGGCTAGCACTCAAAAGGTGATTTTGAGACCTCGAGAGACATAATTAGAGGTCTTCCACATGGTCATGAAAATCTACGTTATTGTCTTCAGGTAATTCTTCCTTGTACAGCATCTTTGCCGTTTTTGCTGATTCATACGGGATCAATCGGACATGTATAACTAGTGGTGGACTGAAATAGTACTATGGAGAACACTGTGAGTATTGGAATCATATACTAAATAACGAGAAACAGAACGCCGCGTAATTGGGAGCGTGAAAAAAAGTACGCAATATAATGAAGTTGAATACTGGACGGAAATCGATGTGGTTGACGAAGATATTCAGCCCTGGAATCAGCCTCACAAGGCGGATTTGGTCACCAAATGATCGCCCCCACGACGAGGCTCTGCCATATGAGCTGTCAAACCTGCGGCCACAATGACGAAGACATTCCCATCGATGCTACTTCAGTCCATTTCATCTATTTGATGCTTGTCAGATAAAGCTCTGAACATAACGGAAGCAAGCAAAACAATGTCAAGCACCGCTGGCTCAGCTTCGGCCTCGGCTGCACCGAACGGCAGCGACGACCCCTGGACATTGGCCAAAGACCGCTTCCTCTCTGGCCTTGACCCCACTGAACGCGACATCTTCAACAACGCAACACTCGAGAACCTCTTCTATACTACCAGCAATGAGAACCGAACAGACGCAGAGAAGAGCCGTGTGCGAGCTGTGGCGAAAAAATTGGGGCCGCTGGTATCTGCCATAGAGAGTTATGGCAAGGCTTTGGATACCTTTGCCCAGATTGCCCCTCTGTACCTGTCGCCGATATGGGGGAGTATCAGGGTGCTGTTGATACTAGCGAGGAGCTATGGGAAGTTCTTTGAACGAGTTGTGGATACTTTGGGGAGGATTGGAGATGTAATGCCTAGATTCCGTGAGTTGGGCCGTGTTTGCCATTCGAAGAAGCGCCTGACGAACGCAACTAATACCTGCAGGCGACTACGAACGGATCTATTGTCGAGAGAAACATCAGCGTCTCACCCAAGCTCTGTCGAATGCATACCTCGATATCATTGAGCTTTGCACACAATTCCGAAAGACAATACTGGAGCAAAAGACATCATCCCTCCGCAGACTTCTCAAGCCAGTGTCTCTCGATAGGCAGTTCGATGAAGCAATCGAACGCTTTCGGCAACATAAAAAGAGCGTCGATGAGGAGGCTAGGGTCTGCTATATGATTGAAGCAGCTGAGAAACGGAACGAGGAGCTGACCCTCTTTGCTGCCGAACGAAAACGGAGGCTCTTATCAAGACTTTCAACAGTCGCATTCGAGCACAAGCATCGAAAACTGAAGGCACTGAGGTATGAAGGAACAGGAACTTGGCTCATCGGAGATACGAAGTATAAGGAATGGAAATCATCGACAGAATCGGCTGTGTTATGTTGTCATGGTATTCGTACGTTCCTATGCACCACTCAAGACTTAGACTATGCACTAACAAGCTCAGCTGGCTGTGGAAAATCAGTCCTGGCATCCAGCATCGTTGACTCTCTTCTCACTAACAATACTACCGTGTACTACTACTGTGATTACTCTGATAAGAGAACGCTTGATCCAGCAAACCTGTTTGGAGCCCTTGCGCGCCAGGTGCTTGGAAAATTGAAATCCATACCCGAAACTCTCGCCGCTACAATCGAAAATGCAGCTCACGACGGAGATAGGCTCACAGATAGTTCATGTGCGCTTGAATCCCTTCGAAAGGGCATCGAGCTCTGCTCAGATCCCATATACATCTCTGTTGATGGAATCGACGAACTGACCGAGGAGTCTCAAAAGACCATTTGCCACGGACTGAAGGACTTGATTGATGGTAACTCGGTACCAATAAGGCTTTTCCTAACAGGACGGCAAGATCTCTCATCCTTACTACATATTCCTTCAATAGTTCCATTCACCAGTATCTCAGTTGCGCCTTCGGTGATCGCCTCGGACATTCGCAACTTTGTCCAAGCCTCAACTCGACGTAGAGTTGCAGAGGGTATGTTAGTTTTACAAGATTCGAGTTTGGAGGAGTTGATCGTAGAGAAACTTGTCAATGGAGCTCGGGGAATGTAAGTCACAAAGTCAGCTGTATATGTCCACTGCTAAGAGCAGTACAGGTTTCTGTGGGTAGAATTTCAGCTTCGTGACCTTTGCGAAGCCGAGTCCGACTACGGGATCAGACTTGTCCTCGAAAACCTGCCTCGGAGTCTAAGCGAGACATATGATCGACTGCTGGGGCGAATCGAGGGTACCGAAAGACGAAATATGATCTTAAGGATGTTCAAATGGATAGTCTGTACCCGTCAGCCTCTTCACGTCAACGAAATCAGAGAAGGGATTGCTTTCACCCTGGAGGACGAAGACTGGACACAGGAGAAAATCCCAACCGACCTTAACCGCCTTATCCGAGCCTGTGGAAATCTCGTCATCGTCGATACAGAAACCGACATCGTACAGTTGGCACATTACACTGTCCAGCAATACTTCTTGAAAGACGACGGAAAATATTTTCAGTTTGGACTTGGAGATGCCAATGAAATGGCTGGCGAGTTTTGTCTTGCATACCTCACCTTTTCTTGCTTCGAAACCCAGGTCACACGATATAGAAGTAACACGAACACCGATATTGTTGCTCTGCAAAAGATGACATCCAGTGCCGCTTTGGTTCCTTCGGGTCATCCGGGGCGAAAAGTCATTTGGGCTTGGAATATCTTGCGGGGTCCCAGGACAGCACCCCGCAATGTCAACCTAGTGAACCCTAACCCGAGATCCAAGGTAGAGGCAAGTTTTATGTCTGCTTTTCATTTCCTACCATACGTCGTGAAACATTGGTTATGGCATACTATCGACTTTGAATCCTCTGCCTATACCGAACGAAGAGATCAGATGTTCAAGAATCTAGTCTGCTGGAAAGAATTACTTTTCGACTTCCGCCCTTGGGCATCATTCAGCAAATCAACACAACAGTCAAGCTCGACAGCTCTCCTTGGGTGGGCCTTGATGGCAAATCACAGGTACTTACTTCGCATGGCTTCTTCGGTGATGGAACACTGTATTCCAGCCCAGCTTGTATTGGATGCCTGGAGCAACTTTCTCCTCGGTCGCAAGGGGCCCGTTGGCATACACGAGTCTGATGTTGATTCTCTAATTGCGCTCCAGAAAGAGCCTTTTCGGTCCGAGTCTGCATTGGACTGTTCTTTGTGGTTGCTGTCACAGCTTCTGTTTGCTTGCCAGAAAGGTCATCATCTTGCCTTAAAAGAGATTCCATTCAACGATACCCGTTCAACGGCACGGGACTTTGCTGACCACTTACCATCGTTCTTACTTCTTCTAACCGCTGGTACTGGCGAGCTAGAAACCATCAAGTACCTCAAATCATATGTGGGGGTCGAAGAGCAAGAGCACCTTCGCATGTGGTTTAGTCCTGATTGGTGGGAAAGTTCTCTTAAGCGGGCTTTTGCCTCACGGCAATTTGAGACTGTTCGGTACCTCGTGAGAGCAGGACACAACTTCGCTTCATTGTGTTCAGACAGGGGGACGTATGAAAGTATGCTCAAGAATGCCGTCACTGCAGGAGACAGTGAAGCTGCTGAGTGCCTCCTCCATCTAAGTCCAAGATGGCCAGTTCAAACCACTCCTGATGACCTTGCAGACCTATTCATTCTTGCCATACAAAAGAATTTACTCGCTGTTGTTGCCCAACTGCTCCATCTGGGCGCCGAGCCAAATCTCACCAGTTCCCTAAACCAGGTACCTCTTGTCGAGGCTATTCGATCTCGAAACCGGCAGATGGTGGCACTGCTACTTCAATACCGAAGCAGCTTTGAGCTGACAGCACATGGGCTGCCCTTGACCATTGCAGCTGCGATGGGAGCCCTGGCAATTTGTGAAATGCTCATCGCTGCTGGTGCAGAAGTTTTCCACGGCTCTTATCAAGATTCGCATGGTGTAGCCTTGATTGACGTTTCAGGTGGCCCCGAGTTCGACGACTGGGAAATATCTGTAAGCCCGACTCCGCTGTACATGGCGTCTTACTACGGGCATTCGGATATTGTAAAGCTACTCTTAGAATCTGGAGCAGCCCCAAGCTTTCCCAGTCCCACCCAACATGTTGCCGCAGTTCTGGACCCAGATAATGTGGCTGCCGGATTTACCTATCACTCTTATCTTTTGAGGCCAGATGGAAAACTCTATATGTCGAAGGAAGATATACCAGCCAAATCCTACACCCTAATCTCGCAGTGGAAGTATTCGATTGAAGTTGCTATCGAACAAGGACATGACGATATTATCTCGATGCTATCTGGGTCATGTAGCATGACCGCTACTATACACAGCAACAGTTGCTTTCACCAGTACGCCATTCAGAAGGCCATGCTCCATCACTTTGCACGTACATTATCACCTTCAGAGCCCGCGTATAAGAAATTCATTAAAAAGGTACTTGAATATACAGATACCTGCCTGTCCAGGGCATCCGAGCCGACTAAATGGGAAGACATGACAGCAAAGATCTTGTCAGAATCATAATCACGGGATGATAACAGACAATACTAGGTGCACTGTTATGAAGAAAAATGATATTTGCTCATCATGGCGTCTGTTCCGTACATCGCACTGGAAGAGACAAACTAGCCACGCATCGCGCTATTATCGTTTCAAGCTATATTCTGCTCCAAGGACATACACCTCACAGCTTACAAGGTTTTCCACCACAAACAGTCATCGTATGCACATATGTCAACTTTCCCTCTTCCAGCCTGAATTCATGGCTATCAGCGGCCATCATCATATGCTCCCAAATACAAAGGATGCTTACCGACCCCATCGACTCATCAATTACATACCTCCTATGTGTGTTTCCAGGCTGGCTATGATTCGATGGGATACCAGGCTTGCATGAATCATCCGGCTTTCCAGTCCCTGTGTAGGCACTTCCCTCCAGCCTTACACACGGTGTACCCCACGGAACTTTCCCAGGCGCACTGGCATCATTCCACATATCCATATATGCATCTCCAGCAGCCTGGATCACCGCCCGGCTATCCCTTTTGCCCTCGGGGATAACATCCCATTTCTCTTGCCATACATACTGTAATGTCTTCTTCGCATCGAAGAGCCACGAATTTGTGGTCGAAGCAATCGAGTCGATCAGGGTGATCTTGCCCTCTGCATCATCATGTCTGAGTTGTGTGCCAATCACATATGGATTTGAGGAATCGGTGATGATTATCTCATTATAGGTCGCACAGGCTACTAGGTCGGTGTTGGTGCGGCGGTGATCGATTTTCAGGGCTTTGCTGAGGACGCTTTTGTTCGGGTCGGTGGCTTTGTTGTTTTCGATGTAGCTCCAGTTGGTGGAGAGGTATGGTTGGAGGGATGTGAGGGATCCGGATGTTTGAGAAGCGATGTAGGCGTCTGAGGCGGCGAGGAGGAGGGTTTTGTTACAAGCCAGGACGGGGACGGAGAGGGTGAGGTGGGCGATGGACGTCAAGATGACGATGAAGGTGGATGTGGGAAGCATCGTGGATGGAGCAGATTTGAGTAGTTCAAGCGGTAACTTGGTCGTCGGTATTTATTAATTCAGCACATTTCCTTCATATGCTCAAAACAACGCCTTGAATTGCAGACATTGAGAGCTCAAGTAGGACCTCTACCTTTCTATCTTACAATCATATCTGCCGTGGCCGAGACGGATGTAAGTAAACATTCAGTGGCTCGAAATTAGCCAATGCTTTGGTACATAGGCGCAAGCTACCCAATTGACCCGGATCGACCCGGAAGTGAGCGGCAGTTGAACATATATCCACCCCGCACTTTCAATTCGGACCTTGCATGGCCTAATAGCGAGAGATATACCATATACCACTTGCAGTACGGTACATGCAGTCCCACAAAGACAAGAGAGCCTTCGATGAGGCTGACACCAAGACAAACGGACTGTTGGCGACTCTCTGACTGTCATATCGGAACATTTCTTGTCATTGACACACTGATCTATTTTCATGAAATCATTCTCCGATCCCGCAAAAAGCAAAACACCCTTCCACCGACCCAAATATAATACATTAAATATCCCATCACCATTTTCTACCTCCCTCTCACACTCGTCTTGATATCATTCCTCTTCCACCCATTCCTCGCCTGCTCCTCATCGCCCGTCGCAATAGTCTCCGTCTTCATCTCAAACGTCACATCCCTCTGGATCTCAATCCTCCCCTCCTGATTCTCCCCGGAATCCGAATCCCCATTAATCCTCTCCTGACTCTCCGCCCTCATCCCCCCCTTCTGCATACTCGACATATGAAAATCCCTACTCCCAATCCTGACCTTACTGCTCCCGCCACCCGCAGCACCCCAAGCCTTGGACCCGGACATCATATTACTGGTGACCTTCGTCTTGGACGAGCCCCAGGTCTGCATGGCGGGGAATATCTCCCTCAGGAGCGGCCAGATGGTGGGCAGGTTGGTGACGTAGACGGCGACGGAGGCTTCGCGGAAGTACCAGTTCATGTAGACGTAGGAGATGAGGCCCGGGACGAGGCAGTAGATCTTGGTGAGGATGGCGGCCACGATGATGAAGAAGCCCATGCCGAAGATTATGAGGAGGATGGCTTTTTGTTGGGTGGGGAGGCGGATGCTGGCCAGGATGGGGATGCCGATTGTGAGCATGGCGATGTCGCCGGGGATGTTGAGGCAGCCTTGGATGATTTCGAAGAATTGGTAGGAGGCGCATTGGACTGGGAGGGAGGGGTTTGTGTTAGTTGTGAGGCTTGAAGGGGATGAGGAGGAAGATAGGTACGTACCGTTCTGGGGTGGGACGGCCCAGTATTGAGATGTTGGTGTACATGCTGTGAAGAGAGCAATTTCGCAGCCAACAAAACTGGCCACTGTGTATACAGCAACATAGTTGACGTATTTCCTTTGCGGTAGACCCTCACTGAATGTTTATTAGCTTTGCTCTCAAGGTTTCGCGGAACCTAAACTCAAGAGTTTACTTACGTGATACTAGCATAGAGATGCAGCATACAAGCTTTCATACTCCAAATGGCCAACAACATCGAATGCTCCGTCACAAACACCCACTTGCTGCCGACAATCCTATCTTTGATACTTTCTGGCGTCAAGGCCAGAGTCTCTTCTTCGGTCATAAAGTTCGAGCCGCCGCCGGACATGACTCGGTTGAATGCTACGCACATGATGGTGTACCATATGATGCCGTTGAACATCATGTAGTCATCGAATTGGAGGTTCTTGATACCGAATCGACGGATACGTGCGATGCTGTAGGGGTGTTAATAGAGTTTCTTTTGAGCAGTTCGGGCGTTTTGGAGGGGAGAAAGTGAACTTACTATCGCAGTACCACGAGGAACAATCCCACGCCGTATAACGACCATGTTTCCCGCGCGAAATCTGTAGGTGAGTCCACCATCTTGGAATTATGTATGTATGTATGTATGTATGTATGAAGCCGAAGATTAAGCTTAAGAAGAAGTTTGTGGAAAGGTCGGAACACACAACAGACGATCTTTCCTCTTCGCAGTCTGCCGGATTCGCCAGACTGAGATCAGACAGACAGACAGATCTCACACTCTCAATCGATCGAAAGAGAGAGAGAGACAGATTGATTGACAGACAAGACAAGACAAGACAAGACAAGACAAGACAAGACAAGACAAGACAAGACAAGACAAGACAAGACAAGACAGGACAGGACAGGACAGGACAGGACAGGAGCAGATCAGAGTCATGAGGGGGAAAGGGGACGTCTAGAAGATGCTTGTACAAGTATTATCTATCCATCTCTTGCCGGCGGCCAGGTACGAATAACGAGTGATAGATACGGATGTCAGGGGCGCCACACGATCGCGTGGTTGTGGGGTCTGGGCTGGGCGTACTACTCCGTACTGCCATGGTGCCCCGCCCCTGGTTGTAGATGAAGGTACCCAGGTCCCCTCTAAAAAAGAAAAGGCGAACAGGTTTCTGTGCGCTCTGATTGCTGCGCTGATGGCTCCGCAGGCTGCAAATTGATACGTTCATGGCATAAGGTAGTGAGGTGGGGGCCCACTTGGTGTACGAAGGGTAGGTAGTGCGACTTGACTTGGGTGGTGTTGGGGTGGGTGGTTCAGGTTGTTGACGGATGGACCCCAGGAGCTCGGCGAGGCGAAGCGAAGCGAATGAGGGCTGGGCAGGTACGAGTAAGCTAGGTAGGCAGTGGGGGTAGTTCAGGGCGATAGAGTACTTTCGTACCCTCCGTAGATAAATTTCATGGATACGATCCAATGATGATGTGAGACCAGGGGTAGGGTAGGGTTCCCAGAAGAAAATGAGGTCCCTGGATGTTGTTTTTTCTTATTATTTGATTTAGCCTTTCCTTGGAAGTTGTGTGCCATGTTGAAAGGAAAAGAGGGGTGGGGGGAGAGAGAGATGGCTGCTGGATACGACGTTGTCTGTTTCGGATTTCTCTGGAATGTGAACTTACCAAAGTACCATCAATGTCTTTTCTTTGACAAGCTCTTTCAAGTTTCCATTGTGGAGTGTGGTTATTGTAAATGGTGGGAGAAATGGCGCATGTGCTTTGGGTTTGTCGGTTTTTACCTGGCTTTGCCTGTCGGATCATAGTTACACTGCAGTGACTGGATTGACATCGTGAGAGCCGTTGAAACGGTACTCACTGCACCGTCAAGGTACCAACACTGCTTAGCTGGTTACGCCGTTACGAAGTCACGCAACTATGAGGCAATTAAGGTGTCGTCAAGAGAAAGCTGTCTGCTTGGAAACACTAGGCAGTGCAAAGTTAGCCAATGAAATTTGCTGCGCATATCGTTTTGAGTTTGTACCCAAGATCAGTGTAGGGAATCACCGACCGAGAAAGGACGGCAGAGTATCAGATGGCGTGGAAGGGAAAAGCCACAAACGGTACTCGTAGAGGCTTCGGCTGAAGTTTTGGACGTTCCGTTCTCACAACAGCCGAATCAATAATTTCGTCCCAGGTACCAAACTTCCAATTCCCGAGACAGCCACACATAACCAACACGAGGATACACACCATGATCATCCCGTGTTGGTTCTCTCAACACTGTGTAATTATCTGGTTATTGGCCCGGCATATTACTCGTATGCACGATCAGGAAACCAAGGCATTTCTCCTAACATTGGGAAACAGCTGCGATAGGAGGGATTTTCTCTCTTTTTCTTGTCTGGTACCTTTCTTTACCTCCGTATGGTCTTGGTGTTTTCTGCGCCGATGTGGCCAAGAGACGTCTAGTCCTAAAGAACTCGCTTACTCCCGACAGGGGCCCCGGGTAGGTAGGTAGTGGGCAGGTGGGCTCGGTGGGGTGGATGGATGGTGGGCCGGCGGCCGAAAGAGAAAAATCATCCTGGGGGATCACTTTCATACTTTCATATCACTCCACTTCCTCCACGGCAAAAACTTTATTCCTATTTCTTTTACGTTTTTAACTTTATGCAGGAATGTTGGATGTCTCGTCTCATTATCACCGTACCATTGAAACTTACTGTACCATTTAAGTATGTCTAGCTTTGTAGACGAGTGGAACGAACGTCGTTGAAGCGAGACAAGACAAAGGACACGAAAGACTTCTTTGAAAATCCGTATTTTGACTGATACGCGGCACGAAACGAGCCTACAACAACGGATTACGGGACCACCATCCCATGGCCATACGTTCTTAGCTCAATATCTACCTTATTTCCTCGGCAATACCCAGCCCATTATTCGGCGAGCTTCCCTTTCACGGAAGCCTCAGCCCGGGCCTGTCATTCTTCAAGGCTCTTGGCTGCATAGCTTCAGTCGCATTATTATTCGTGTGCCAGTGAGGAAGCTTCGTCCACCCGCCAGGGGGTACTCGTAGAGTACTGTAGCTCCCATGGCGGGTCTAACCTTAAAAGGAGCAACAAGAAACCTTCCAGAGTAGTTCCCACTAATAATGTGCACAGATGGTGTCACCAAAAAAAAAAACGACGCTGGGAAAACAGCACTCTCTCGCACTGACTCGGGCGGCGTGGCGTGTTTACTGTGGAATTCCGGTGGGTGTTCGAGAAGCGGCGTGGGTTCAAGCGAGCCATGCGAGAGGGGCAGTAGTGAAAAGGGGGTACTTGGTATTACTGTATTATTGGAGCAATGGAGGGGCGCGCGGAGGATCGGCCAGGACCCAAATAAGCGAGCCTCTACCTACGGAGGTATGCTACTCTACTGTATTGATGCATGCCCTGGGATTTTCAGTTTTAGTTCCATCTTTTCTTCCCCACTGTATTCGTGTTCTTTTGACAGGCGAGACAACAGGAACTGGAAGCAGCTCATCTTAGCTGCGGCATGAAGGACTTCGTCCAATAATCATCTCATGTTTACCATGCGAGCAAGAGCCGCCAAGAGGCCATGTCCAGAACGAGATTTTTTTTTAAATGATTTGAGCGCAGCGCAGCGCAGCGTATGTCTTTCCGTTCGGATCATCCATCTGTGGCAATCTTTTCCTGATTTCGTTCGTTCCCATAACCCCCTTCTCGAACTCTAGTCTCTCTTTTTGTTCCCTTTTCCTTATCTATCAACGGATAAACCTACACAATCTTCTTGTTCTTGTCTTGTACTGTACTCGTTGTTCTTATCGTCGCTCTTTTATTACTTCAAGAATAATGGAACACGAGAAGCAGGACGGTAGCACGGTGCTCAGCGCCAAAGTGTCGGATGGACCGTCTGCCCCTCGCTCGCCTGAACATTCCGTGGAGACTTTGATCAATCCTTCTGGGCACAAGCAGGAGCTTGAGCGTAACTTTTCGCTGCTCAGTCTGTGCGCTGTTGCTATCACCACTGGTAATACTTGGGTTGCTATTGGAGGCAGTGTGGTATGTTATATGTGTTGATATGAGGGGAGAAACTTCGGACTAACGGAATCAGGTTGTTGCCATCTATAATGGAGGACCTCCTGGTGTTTTGTATGAGTTGTGAGGATTTCTGATCCCTAGCTTCCTCGGAAACTACTAACAGACAATAGTATCACGGTTTCAGTATGTTACTGGTTGATTGCAGCATCTATTGCCGAGCTGGCTTCGGCTATGCCGTCGTCAAGTGGAGGTATGGAATACCCGAACACTCTCTTGAGTACTCAGGACTAACAAAACAAAGTGTACCATTGGGCTACAGTTACAGCAGGACGATATGGTCGTCCCTGCGGATACTTCGCAGGATGGTGGAACTTCCTCGCCTGGGTCTTCGGCGCTGCCTCCATCTCTGGTATTCTGGCCAATCAGACGATCTCGATGTATTCCATCTTCCACCCAACATTCGTCGCAAAGCCATGGCACACGTTCGTCAGCTACGTGATTTGCACATGGCTTTCTTGCTTCATTGTACTGTTCGGTAACAGATCGCTTCCAATGGTCGGCAATGTTGGTGGATTCTTGATCATTGCTGGTGTTTTCGTCTGCATTGTTGTATGCGCTGTAATGCCTACTGTTAATGGTGTGGGCCATGCTTCAACCGACTTTGTGTGGAAGGAGTGGCAGAATCTGGCTGGATACAGTGATGGATTCGTTTTCGTTGCTGGTATGCTTAATGGTGCTTTCGCTGTTGGAACACCGGATTGTGTATCTCATCTTGCAGAGGAGATCCCAAAGTAAGTTTCCAATTCTACTAGACACAAAACATCTGTACTAACAGCTCTACAGTCCTTCTCGCAACATCCCTAAAGCCATGCTCTTCCAATTCATCATCGGCTTCACCACCGCCTTCTTCTACCTCATCTCCCTCTTCTACTCCATCCAAGACCTCGACGCCATCTTCGAAGCCGCATCCGTCTTCCCCCTCGCCGCCATCTACCGCCAAGCCACAGGCACCAACGCCGGAGCCGTCGGCCTCCTCGTCGTCACCTTCCTCCCAACTTTCGTCACTTGCGTAGGATGCTACATCACCGCCGGCCGCACATTCTGGACGCTCTCGCGCGACAACGCCACGCCCTTCGCCCCCTTCTTCGCAACCATCAGCCCGGTCTTCCACAACCCGTTCAACGCGACTGTTCTCTGCGGCGTGATTTGCACGATCATGGGATGCATCTATGTCGGTTCAACAGCGGCATTCAACGCTTTCGTCGGATCCTTCATCATCCTCTCCACGCTCTCCTACCTCTGCGCAATCCTACCCCATCTCCTCAGCGGCAGGAAGAACATGCAGCCCGGCTGGTTCTGGATGCACGGCCCGATCGGATATATCGTCAATGGGTTCAGCTGTCTGTACATCGTGGCGTTTATTGTGATTTTCTGCTTCCCGTACTACGCGCCATTTGACCTTGCGGCTATGAACTGGTCGAGTCTGATTACGGGTGGAATGACGATTTTCGTGGCGGGCTTCTGGTTCTGGAGACAGAGTGAGTATCAGGGCCCGAGACTGGTGGATCTGAATGAGGCGGCGTTGGCGAAGGATGCGGCGTAGCTGCTGGAGGAGGAGGGGATCCCGCTTTTGGAGAGGTGGGTGAGCTTGTAAATAGAGGGTGCTTGTGTAGATAGGACTCAATATACGATGAGATGGATGTACACTTTTTTTGTTCACTGACGGGCATCTAATAGGTGATTAGAGACATATTTAGATTTCCCCGTTGACGGATTTCCTTGCTCGGCGAAGCATCTTAACAAATCGCAGTGATGTCGGAACTCATCTTCTAGTATGGTATCCGTTTTTAAGTGTTATGAGGTATGTTGACATTACATTCTATTAGTCTATATATTTACAAAGCTGACCAGAGTGGTGTTCGCAGCTTCAGCTGGATAAAATCCACCGTCTATCACTCCCGCTATGCATTATCCTTTTTCTCCTTGACCTGTCGCAAACTCTCTTCGCCCGAGCTGCGCAACCTCTCGTTCGTCTCCTCGCCCTCCTCCAACCGCTTCTCCTGCTGTGCAGCATCGCCTAACATGTGATAGTCACCAGCCTTGGCACTCCCATTCGGAACCCAAAACATACGATCAAATCTGATCAAAAGCAAGCCGAAGATCACCACAATCTCCAATCCAAACTCGATGATATAGAACGCTGGTTTGGAATCCCACCACGCCGGGCTTGAAGCAGGTGGCGCATCCGCCCAAGTCGTGCCGAAACGGAAGCCAATGATGAACAGAACGAAGAACATCATTATGCTCAGGATAACCGTCTTCCGCTTGATCGATCCCGTTCCAAAGTTCTCCGGAGCTGACTTCCTCGGCAGGAAGATCGACAGACAAAGAACAACCAGCGCCGCAACATTAAACAACAACATAACCAAACTACTCGCCCTCTGCACCCAAAGCGCCACATTTTTAATCCCCGCATCGAGCGTATAAAAGCTCTCAATCGTAAACGAAATGGTCAACACAAACGCCACAAACAGCGCCACATACAACACCCTACAAACCACCCTCAACTTCCCGCTCCACCCCAACTCCGGATGCGTCGCCCTAAACAGCCTCAGCGCAAGGAGCAGCATCACTATATAAGCGATCAGGACGCCTGCAGCGGAGAAGATCATGGATGCGATCACGACGCTGGCGTTGGTGGGGCGGGTGGCCCATACGATGCGCAGGACGAAGGTGGCGTTTCGCGCCATGCAGAAGCCGAAGAGGGCCCAGGACATGAGGAATTTGTGGGAGCGTCTTTTGCGGTTGAGTTGGAAGGTGGTCATGTGGAGGATGGCGCCGAGGATGTAGATTGCGAGGAGGACGGAGGAGATGGGGATGTCGAGGGACGGGGTGGGGTGTCCGCCGATGAGGGCGTTCTTTTTGGGGATGTAGGGTGGCTGGGGGGGAGAGGGAGATTAGGATGAGTTTGATGATGGGTTGGAATGGAGAAGGACGGGGAGAGACTTACTCCATGTTGTTGTTGGTCTTGTGATTCAGACATGGTTGATATTTCTTGTAAGTGCCAATGTCTATGATTCGATATACACCTATTGGGTTGAGCAGAGGCGTGAAGAAAGTAACACGGAAGCAGCCGAATGCTTAAATATAAGCTTCTTTAAGGCGTCTGGGCAGGTAAGAAGACTACTTGATGACATTCAACTGACTGTACCACACAGGCTTGGGACACAGTCAATTATATAAAAGATCCACGACCAAGTCTCGGCCTTCGGAATGAACATATCAAAAACCCTCGCTTGACTCCAAAACCCGGCGAGACGTCTCCCCGTATCATCTTTGGATTGGCCATACAGAATCATGATGCAACAGGACATAACAAAAGGTGTTGGAGATCTGGTCTCGGGCTCCGTTGCGGTCTAATATTTGGCGCGCTTCTGAGCCGCTATTTGGATCTAAGCGAGTATTCGGCTTCCGTGTCGGGCCAAGACTTGGGTCAATGACGCGGGCGTCGGGTCGGGATGATGAACCGCCGATTCGCGTGGAGAGTCCATGGCTTAGGTACAGACTGCTCAGTGCTCATGAGTGTCATCACGTAATTGTGAGGATAATATGGATGTTGTCCCACGCTTCGCAGATGTAACTTTGCGCTTGCTTCGTGGATGTCGAGAACGTTGTGGTCTGGAATTAAGCTTATTTGTTCCATGAACCTTGGCTGGGATCTTTATCAGCCACAGCGTTTCGGTCTCGATTAAACCGTCCTTAAGTCCGAAGTCATTAGAGTTCATGATATCAACAAAGAGCCGTCCGAATCTGTAACATCATGTCTTCCGGCCCGGAGCAGCACGATGTAGCCGCTTCTGGTGTATCGGAGACAGGCGGTAAAAGTGTCCGCAAAGGCACAAGAAGTTGTACAGAATGTATGCATCGATCTGGGTTGGAATGTAGGAAAAGCTTGACTAACAGACTCTAGGTAGACATCGCAAAGTGCGTTGTGTATGGCCGTCTGAAGGAGCCTCAACATGCCAAGGATGTCTTACTCGTCGAAAGACATGTGAGGTTCAAGTACGAATGAGACGGACCAACGAGACCGTCTCAAGCACATCGCGAGCTCGTTTGCAACACTTAGAAAAAGAAGTATCGAGCCTGTGGAACGTCGTTCACCAACTGGAAGGGAGACTCAATGCCGGCATACCGGGTGGGCATGTACAGACACCAGTGTCAGCAGTGTCGAGGGAGAATCAGCCTGTCGAGTCTCCAAATGAGATACCTAGTGACGAGGATGAACAGTTCGACTCGGATGATTCCGCGTTATCTACAACCAACACGCCGATCCATCTCTTACATCTTTTTGATAACGGTTTACTTGAGCCTGAATCTCATTCATCCAATAACTCTGTCAGGCACCATAGCAGCCTCAAACGTTCTCATGATCTAGCTGCATATCAAAAACTGTTTCCGACAAAGGAACTCATGATCAAGATTGCAGCATACGCTACGCCATGGCTTTCTGTGTACAACTTGCTATTTCCCCAAAGCAATATGCCGAGGACGAGTCAAGAACTGTTGGCCCAGTACGACCGGTGTGGCTCTCCAGCCGCCGATCTACTGGACATGGCATCACTGCTCATTTCGCTTGCATTGACCGTCCAGCAGTTTCCAGATGATTTCACTGGTGAAGCGCCAGATAGGATACCAAACCCAGCAGCTTTTGTCAAAGATGTCAGTGACTTGGTTGAGCGCACTGTCAGCAATGATGAGGTTTTGGGTGGGACTCTGGATGGTATTAGTACGACGTTGCTATTTCTTAGATTGTGAGTTGCAGACCTCTTCACCAGAAATACATACGCTGATCACAGGTTTCTTAGACAACTTGGCCATGCGCCAGTAACCAAGATGTGGCTGCTCCTCCGCCGAGTTGTCGCTCTGGCAGAGCTCAATGGCCTGCCCCGCGCCGCAACAGCTTGGAATAGGCACAAGGAAGCCAACCCTGGGGCCGAACCGATTCTAGATCCATCTGTTCTCGCTTCACTGAGAAGTAAAGCCGAAGTCTGGACTTCCATTTGTGCAATCGACAGAGTACAATCACTCATGTGGTCTTTGCCCCTCGCGACAACGAATTACCCCCTCCCGAAACAAGACATTGTGGACGAAAATGGCCAGGTCAATGCCCAGGCATTTCAATACACCATGATAGAATTCGCGAAACGATTCCTCGAGGTAGACTGTCTCAACCAAGCCGGCCGCCCACTCGCAGAAATCTTTCAAGTCGTCATCGAAACAGATCAGCAGATGCGCGCGTTGAACAACCTTGTACCAAGAGGATGGCACAAAATAGAGTGGTCCGAGTTCAACGTCTCTGCCATCCTTCAATACTGGCAACAATACATGATAATACGGATCCACCTCCAACTAGCCTTGAAGTACGACGGCCAAGAATTCGTCTTCAGCTTCATCACCTGTTTCGGCGCCGCGCAGGAACTCGTCAAACGGTACATCTCTCTCCGTCCTCTCCTCGCACCAGGATTCTTCGCAAACAGAATTCTAGATTTACAAGTCTTCACCGCTATAGTATTCCTCATCCTAGCCGTCGCTCGCGGTTCCCTGGCTTCCAATGCTTTCTTGCAAACTATCGATCCGAATTCTGTGCTGGAACTGGTTGATAAAGCAGTCGAGATAATGCGCTTCACTGCTGCGCGAGCGGCGGGGGCTTTTGCCAAGCAGGCCGCGGACTCGATCTGTTCGTTGCGAGAACTGTTGCTGCAGCCTCAAACTTCGGAGTCTCAGAAGATCACTTTGCATCTTGCTCTGGTGGGGAAGATACATGTCTCTCGGAAGTCGAGGGGTGCGAATAATGTTTTGCCCTATCCTCAAACGAATCAGCAAGAACAGCAACAACAACAACAACAATCATCAGATATGTCTTGGCAGGCGTCAAATCCAAATGTTGGGAATGTTGGGGGAGGGGAGGGGTTCTTTCCGCCTTCTGTTGAGGATTTGATGGATTCGTTGTCGTATTCGATGGAGATTCCGGATAATCATCCGTTCTTTGTGGATCAGGCTTCGGAATCAGAGCCGTGGCTTACGTGGTCGGGGTGGGATGGAGCACCTTGACGAAACTGAAATTGCTTGGAAATGGGATTCAATATCCCACTGTCATTTGCTGTAAGATATTAGAATCGTGGCTCACGGGACAAGGCGAAACCACTGGTTGTATGGTATTTGTATAATAACAGGCCCCTCTCAATCAGCTGACCAACACAAAGACATGTTGTTTGCAGTATCAGAAAGACAAATAGGATTACCTCCTTGGCCCTCTTGATTGATTCTTTGATTCTCTTGACGTTCCTGGTACATGGTATAAATACTGCACCCTGTTTACAGCCTGTGCCAAACAAGACGCTCCATTGCCTCACATCCAAAACCTTCCTCGGTTTCGAACCACTATGACAAGGAAAGACGCTTGCTCACGGTCTTCCCATCTCTATTACTCTGGACCTGAAGAGACAAAGAGCCAGCGATGTCCAAGCCGTCTAATTGTCGTCGTTTATCCGCAAGGGCGACATGCCCAGATTGAGTCCGAACACCGACCATCTGGGGCCCAAACCCATCTGCTCAACTTCGGTCTCCACTTCAAGTGAATGTGATACCTGTATTCACCTCTATAATCATGGCGCTGTCTAGACCCCGACCTGAAGAGTGCCTGACTTCTCAAGAAGAATTTTAGTAGCCTGATATTTGTAATTGTAAATATCAGGCAGTTTGAGGCTGAACAGCTACTCAAGGTAGAGCATCAGCAGCTACAAAAATGCCTGCTCTCTTCTCCGTCCGACATACTTCTTGTGCCACAGCACAACACAAATACCAACATCTTGTTTCAACACTGTCTCTGTCTCATCTTACAGTCACAAAACCCTCCTCTTCACATCAAAACAAATTCCTCGAATCCTCCATATCAAACCTCCACCTACCCTCGAAATCCACAACCAACCACAGCCAACTACACTTCTCCCCCTCCATCCACCTCGATCTCCACACCAAACTCAAATCTCTTCTCCCCAAACCACAACCTCACCACCAACCCACCAAGCGACTCGAAAAAAATAAAAAAAAACATGTGCTGGGAAAACCGCCTCCAATTCTCCTGCGGCTGCGAAGTAGTCCAACACGTCCGCTTCTGCGAGTGGGCCGCCATGCCGTGGCTCACCAACGTCGCTCACCCGAAAGGTCGACCCATGCAGCCTACTATTGATATCTTGCCTGTTGGGGGGGAGTGTGGGGTTTGTAGGGGGGGAAAGGGGGAGGGGAAGGAGAAGAGAGGGGTAAAGGGAAAAGGAAAGGGAAAGGAGATGGGTGGAAAGGGAGAGGGGAAGATGATGAAGAAGAAGAAAGTTAGGGTTGGATTGCTGGGTAGGGCTGGAAGGGCTGGGAGGGTTGGGTTTGGAATTGGGGTCGGAAAGGAGGGCGAGGAGAATGGTGAGGATGGGAATGGAGATGGAGAGGGGGGAGAAAAGGAGGGGGACGGGGATGAGGAGCTGGATGGTGAGGGAGAGGAAGTCGATGAGGATGAGTTGCGGGGTATTATTGGAGATAGGTATCCGTTGGGGGAGTATAGGGTTTTTTCTGGCATGTTTAGAAATTTGAGTACGCGTATTGATGCCAGTGGTGGTGTAGCTGCTGGAACTTCTTCTGTTGGTGGTTTTGGTGCTGCATCTCCGTCTGCGTCTGCTGTTGTTCGCAGTTCTCTTGTTCCTGTTCCTGAGGAGGATGCAGAGGATGCGGATGATGATGAGGGCGAGAATGAGCATGAACACGTGCATGGGAATCATGAGGAAGGTGGTGCTGAGATCTCTTAATGAGTCATGCCGTGCTTTGATTGGGATGAGTTTCGTCAACGTGGGATATATGTCCTTGAATTCAGTGGTGATTGTGGCACGGCTGAAGTTAATGAATGAACCTTTGGCATCCGGTGCCCTGTAAACCTGCTTTCTTACTCGTCTCCTGTTCTTAATACATTCAATTTGACAAGTGACATGTATGTTTGTGAAGGCGACACGACAATTTGATGTACGAATCCGGAAACATTTTTATTTTGCCGTTGACGTCGCACCCTCGCTTAATTCCCCTGATGTGGCAATGAAAATATATAAACGACGAATTCAATCTACAATTAATATTCTCGATTTTCCTGAGTCATTGATTCTCCACTCCTTCTATCGACAAAAGAAAATCTCAAAATCCGAAAAGTTGAAGCATCCAAGTACAGTGCCCTGACATCATCAAAACGCCAACTCACACCTCACGATGTGTACCGAAACAATTGCCCTCTTCACCTGCGGCTGCTTTGAAGTCCAAAACCTGGATTGCTGTAACCACACCATAGATGAAGCTTCAGACCCACTCAGTTACGCAATTTGTGACGAACCATGCCCATCGAAAATCTCAATGCGGAAGATCACTTGCGCAGAATGCAGTGAAGGTGAAAGACAGCAATACCACCAGGGACGGGACCAGATTAGTGAACAAGAAGACCTGTACGATGCCAGTGATGAGTCTGTGGAGAACCATGAGAAGAGCATGGACGAAGAACCCTACGACTCCTCTTCCGAATATGATGGTGACGACCTTTTCAGACGGTATGATGCCCGGTATGCTTCCGACATGGTAAACCTCGATACAGAGAGTGAAGGAGGGGTCAACACAAACGAATCCGAAGTGACGAAAGAGATGATGGACGCAGCTATTCGAGATTTCTTAGCTTTCAATATCAACGGAGAAGATCACGATCATCATCCAATTCGCCAACACTTTGCCCGAAGCTCTGCCATTGATAATGTGGTTGACAGCTTCGCCAGCATAGACCTTAATGGAGACAAGGACGAGAAGCTGGAAAAGTATAGCTCAAGCGACCTCAGCATCAACGACAAGAAACAACGAGACGGGGAGGAGGCCATTGAAGATGTTGCTGTTGGCGTTGTGACAGGCCCGGACGATGACGACAGTGTTGATGGTGAGGTGTGGTTTGATGCACGTGAGCAGTGGCAAGATTTATTGTCTCAAAAGGTTTCATTATGAGGATCGTTTATTGGGACTCCTCTAGGAGGCTGTTGTGAGCCAGGCTTGTTCATGTAGCGGGGAAAATGAATCTTATGTCACCAGGCGTTGGATCCTTTGTACCCATGGGACAAGGAAAATAAATTGTGTCATGATGGGGATCAAATCTTAGAGTTAACAATTTTCATGAGTGAAACAATGACAAGGCTTTGTTTCGTCGTTCATAATTATCAAAAGGTTATTGTGTAGATACAAAGGACAAAGAAACCCAAGGCATGAATGAATCATCTCATTTAAAAGACAACCTAAGCCGTGACTATTCGTCTATAAAAATAAATGAGCCCCATTTCCCATGTCACATAGCTCTATTTTCAGCAAGCCCTTCATACCATCGACTTGCACTGCCAGTAGCATCTCTTTGACTTTCATAAAGCAAGCCAACTGCGCGAAACGCAACTTGAGTAAAAAAGACACCTGCAAAATGTGCACATGGATTATACAGAAATATTCTTGTGGCCATGAAGTAGGAGTGGACTTCAGAAGGATATGTTCCAATGCTAGGTGCTTTGACATAAAGAACACCAAGAATGAAGAGATCAAGAAAATATGCTCGTCCTGCGAAAAGAAGGATAAGGGTGTCTGGAAAAGGTTCGGGCTTAGACAAAAGAACAAAGTTACCTCTTGCTTCGGAATGTAGGAGAAAGAAGAAGGTAGAGGACAGGTCAAATTCCAAGAAACTGGGCTATCGAAGGGAAACCAAGGTTGGGAAAGGATTGCATTTCGCTGAAGACTTTTTCCAAATAAATGAGAGCATTGCCAATGAATTTAACTTCAAATACTTTGGAAGGATTTATGTGATTAACACCTATCAATCTTTCAGTTTTCGTACCTAGTCTTTATGTCAGCCGTCTAGCCTTGCGTGGTTCTCCGACGTTATATGTTAGTGTACAACATTTTTTGTTTCTTTTTGTTCTAGCTCTGATTATGTATCTTCTGAACTTTGCATTCAATTCTACATTACCTTAACAGACCTGATGGCATAACCACTCCGACCCACCGACACCTCAAGAACCTCATCGCACTACTGTTCACCTACTCCACTTTTATCCAATTCAAGCTACAATGCTGCGACGCGCTCACTGTCTAAAATTTTAGCCCTCCTGCTCCAAGTACAACGGTCTCATAGCGGTGAAATGCCACCCAGGTGAGAAGGATTGGCAGCTGGACAACGATCCCTGCCTCTAGTCTTGAATATGACCCGGTCATCCTTTGTCTGAAAACAATTCTTTTGTACTATCATAGAAAGAGAAAATTCCCCAAAGACCCTGTGGCAAACAGAAACAAAAAAACGGTTTGACAAGAAGGACATAAAGCTACCCAGCCGGGTAAGCGTTCCTAAAATATAAGGACAACTGCAGAACCATTCTCAATCGTCATCATGTGCTACCGAAGAAATTTCCACTATTCCTGTGGACACCTGGGCAAGGCATTTGTGATGCTCTGTCGTGCCAGGTACTGCATAGGTTCGTGTCCCTTCAACAACCCCAGGATTGTGATTGAGCTGCCTGATATAGAGTGTCCGCGCTGTATGCAAACCCGAGCCAGAAAAGCGAATCCCGAAACTGAGAACGCGCGCGAGAAGAAGCGCAAGTTTGTCGTAATCGAGAGCGATGACGACGAGGATGATGATGAAGATGGTACTATTAATGGTTCCCGTACGTGGTAGGTTAGAGCTCGTCTAGTAAGTGAGTGTTGTGTGGTAGTGATGAGATCACGAAGATCTAGGTCCAACTGAGAAGTCATTAGCATGAAAAGACTGTAGAGTGGGGTTCCTTGGCGAATAAAAAGAATTTTATTTCTTAAAATATTTAATATACAAACTATTGATATCTGTTCGCTAATGATGTTTGGGCTACATAATCTTACGTTGCCTTGAATAATTGAACTGTTCTTGATTAACACCACCGAAGTCTTTGTTCACGAATTGCCCAAACTCTTATTTGAAAGCACAGTCAACAGGATATAAAAAGTCCAGGAAATCAAAATTACAAGAACGGTGTCACTACAACGAAACTCATCAACCGACAGGTAGGGCAGGGATTGAAGAGGAAGATACAATCCTCATGGCTACCTTGTAAAGGTACAATGTGAAATAGCCGAGTGGTGTGGAAAATCCGGTTTTGGATAGGCCATCATTATAATTCATGAAGGCAAGAACATGCTTTTCATTGTGCATTTATACCCTCAACAATTCGTAAGAACGTTCCAGTGAGCCAAGTCCCTAGTCGCAATCGCATCCTCGAGGCTATCATGCCCCTTTCTTCCAGTAGTTTGTATTTCCCTCCTCAGCCTCTCCCATGTCAATGTCTTCAACGAAAGTGTCCCCCGACCTTTCACTTTCTTCGTCGGGCTCTCTTTATGCTGCTGAGCCTCTTTCAATTTATCCAAATCCTGAGACGGTGAATTTTGAGTCTGAGATCCTTCTTGCTTTTTTCTGTCTCGCTCAGCCTTAGCCTTCGCTTCTACTTCTTTCGCCTTCTTATTCTCGGACTCGACCAACCACGTATCAACCACAACATCATGTATCCATCTCATCGCCGTCAAGTCATTATGAGCCGAATGACCCACAACAATCGTATGCGGGTCAACAAACTTCCAAACCGCCTCTCTTGCCCTCTTCTTTCCCAGCAGACATTGTCTTGACCTACGAGCATACTCCATATCTTTCCTCGTTACTCCAGAGAACCGTGTATTGTAATGCTCCATAGCGACATCGGGATACACCAGTTTGTCAACCAGGACCTCGGATGAGAAATAGTCAATAAGCGTTACGCGAATAAGTTCTGAGTCTCCCGACTTTGCAGTTCCCATTTCGCAATCAATGGCGACTGCGGCTCGGACTTGGTGAGAGACACCTGCACAAGGAGTCGGGTAGAATGCCCAAAGACTCTCGAGTTGGCCTGCTGGGTAGGCGCGTGCGAGGTGGAACTCGGCTGCTTGGCATGGGTCCGCGGACACATGCTTACCGCAGCATGACCATACCTATACAATTGCGATGTTAGCGGTCACGTTTTGTCTGGAGGATACGAGGTTGAACATAAGACAGAGGGCTGTAATTACCTTATATGTAACAATACCATCGTGGAATCTGCAACGAACTACAGGCTTGAGAATCTGAGGTGGATTTAATGCCAAGCGGTGACCGTCCTCTTTTGAAGTTCCGCATTCTTCCACCTTAGGTTGGAAATCTTCCATAAAAGGAATTTCATCTTTATTCTCCTCGATTTGTTGATCGTCCACTCCCTTATCTCCTTCCCCACCCAGTAGTGACTGTCTGTTTTCTTTCTCTGTGCCTTTGCCTTGACCATCCACTCTCCCTTTCAGCATCGCTATAAAACATATTTTATTAGCTATCCATGACTCTCAGTCCAGCAGACTCACTCTTTCCACACCTTCCGCATCTCTTCTTTCTCTGTATCGCATCTTCAGAAAGAGGCTGCAAGACGTATCCTGTCTCCTCGAGCGCCGTCTTTGGGGCAACAAGGCTTCGAAGTCTTTGCATATACTCCATGCTATAGTCCGAAGTTCCTACAGAATCCGAATTCACGGCATTGGTACCAACTATCATCTCTGATTGGATGCGAAAATCACTGCTAGTAATTCCAACAATGTGAGTATCATTGTTGCCATCCGATCGTTTTGGCATTAAAGGCAGAACAATACTCGACATATTTGCATCTGATTGTTGTGATGGACTAGGCAGCGGAGAGGACTGGGGATTGTCCTTTGTGAGTTTCCTCTTTTCTTTTGCCATGACTATGCAGAGGAGAAATCAGTCGATGTGACTTGAAACTTAGAATTATCGCTCTCTTGTCGAAGGAGTGTACTCTAAAGAAGATTTTGGATAAGGTTTTTGACAAATGGGCAGGTGGAAATGGAAGAGGGTGACTGATATAAGTTGGTCCAACCACGCGGCACCAATCAGTGATGATCCTCGGATACCAAGGAACATCATCCAGAGTGTTATTGTTCATTGGCTTGGGATGACTTGCATTGTTACACCGTTCGCCTCACTTATAGCTTGGCATCTTTCCTATTCGCTCACTGCTCTTATCACAAGATGCATAACGCTGAATCGGGGACACCGAGTGATGTAGGTACAGTAATGTGCCTCATCGCATTCATAGGCTCCTCAATGAGCCTCCTCAACAGAAACACCCTCTCACTCTCCAGCTCGAGCGTTCACTCTTCGTTACCAAAGTGGGTCTACTACTGCAATCCTTGGGACAGCTTCTTCGACGACCCTCAAGCTCTCCAACAACACCTTGGTACTAATAGCGTACGAATGTAACGAGTGCGATAAGAAAATCCGCGGCTAGCAAGCTCTCCAGGACACGAATCTGATGTCTATCTGCTACATGGTGTTTGATACGTTATTTTGCCAAATGGAACTGTTCCTAATTAATATTCTACAGAATTCAAAAACCGGTGTGCCAAAGAAGCAAATGATAGGTACTTTGACTTGAAGCATCTTGAAATCTAGACAGACCTTCATAATTCTCATAATATGTTATAATTCACCTTATATAGCCACTCCCAGAGATTCTAAAGCTTTTCTATTCCAAAAACATATTTCTACAGTCGCTCTCGCGTCTGATTTGTAAAGAGTCTCTTTTTATGACGAAAAAGAGTTCGTTTATTACAGTTCCACCACCAATCTCTCATTTCGCTACTATATATAAAAGGGTCATATCAGCACGTTAAGAAAGAGCTCGAGACTAAAGACAAGTAGTGATTCTGGTGGATTAGTTCTTGATTTTGCAAGGGACTAGATCCCTTGTAAGTTACTGTTCGACAAGACTTCCGCGAGCTAGTGTTTCGATATGCCCTCAGCTAGAGTACAAATCAGGAGGAGGAGTATATGGTCGCGCGCGAGATTTCCGAGCTATAGTAAGTCAATTAGAGGAATATTCAAGAAGCTTTTTACATGTAAACACTGGAATTTCGTGAAGTACGCAGATTCCTTTATCGCCCACTTCCAAAGCTAGTCGATAATAGCCTGTATTCATACTCGCCTTCAAGCCAGCATCAAATCCAACTCGTAATTCTCAAAATATCTAAGCTAAACACTCTTGATCACATTGACAGTGGCGGCTGGGCTGACTCGTACCAGAATTTCATACCAGAAAGACTTCTTCAAGTCGCTCGTCCCCCTCTTTCTCAGAGAGCTTCGAGAACGCTTCTCCCCTCATTAATTCTCGTCCCCACTCCGGCCCCACAAGCTCATGGCACGGTGCTGTAACCATATGACCATCTGCTAACTCCACATGCGCCACCTTCTCGCTGCCCCGGAGAACAAACAGAGTTCTAGCTCCAAACAGCAACACCACCATATCACCCTTCTTCGCTGTCCCGGGCACTAGCAACATGTTCCCTGCCTCACCTTCCCAGACCTCGCGCTCCATCTCGACTCCCTCCTCTCGCACCGCCTGCAGCTGCATCTTTTCATCCGAATGGACATGCTGGTACCCAAAAGTGGCGATACCCATGCCTTTGTCTAGCACATCGATTAGCATTGCGTGCACCTTGAGCGGACCTTCGCTTGTCAGGTCTTGTGCCACCGCACGTGTGCAACCCGATGCAAAGACTTGGGTCAGCAGTGCTTCCCGACAGGCTTTTAAGGCCTCCTCAGATGGCGAGACGCGCCAGTCTGGCGTCCAGGTCGGCAGGTCGGCAGAGATCTCGGGGTGGCGGTATGTCGGAAGGAGTACCAGCACGTCGAGATTCTGGTCGCGGTTGATGATGTACTTGGCCAGATGCTGGAAGACGGCGCTGACGGTCTTGCTATAGTCGATCTGGAACAGTGGACATGGAGCTGAGTCTCTGTCTGTTTTCGTTTCTTCGCTGACGTCCGCCATGGTAGGTCCACCCTCGATCGGTTCTTTGGCCAGCCCCAAGATGCCATGGATACGATCGCGCGGATTCGTGGCTTCGAAGATGGTTCCTGTCATCAGAAGGTCTAGCAAGCCGCCGCCGTGGAAGTAGTATATACTACCGGGCTCGCATACCGCACTCATGATGGCATCTCCGTATCGCCAGCTCTTCTTCAAGTACTGGAGATTATGTTCGGGGTAGTTGGTTGCAACAGTCTTGCCAGCTGTCTCCAGCAGCCGAACCAGACGATACAGACGATTTGTAGCGCGCTTTATGGATCGCCAGGATAGCGAATGTTCGCCTAGCTTAACAGAGACGCTCTTTGCTGCGGCAAGCTCTTGCCTAACCCAAGTACGACGAAACCAGCGCCGGGCGAGAAGGGCCAGGAGGCCATCAAACGCGATGTGTAAGAGAGCCAGGCATCTAGGACCATGAGAACGCTCAAAGAGAAGTTCACGATACAAAGACCTGTCAAGTGCCTGGAGAAGGGCCATGGTAGACGGTCCCACTTGGGGCGTGTCGTTGAGCTCGGCCAGCCAAATCACCACGGATGACGCAGACTGATAAATGGAAAGCATATTAGTTACCTGGATACCTTTCTCAATGTCTTTCTCTTGGTCAATACATAGAGCATCGACCCAAAGGTAACGGGGAGCAGTCGTGGAGCGAAGACGTCGAAGGGCAGAATGGAGGTTTGGAGTAATGGCATGGTCGAGACCGCTGAGAGCTATGAAAACTGTCGCAGGAGAGGTACCCCAGCAGTAAGAGAGAGCGTCGTACCCCCCGGCGTAGAAGTTTTGAGCAGCCGTCCCAGTCTCATTGGATCCGTCGTTGGGTCCAAGGCGCATCCTTAATAGATCAGCGCGGATGGACTCGTGGAGTTCGCCAGGTAGGATTCTCAACACTCGCGTATGGCCTCTCTCAAGTGGCCGATAGAGTAAACGTCTTGATTGAATGAGCATGCCTCCCTTAGGCAATGAGCCGTCCAGCGATGGGTCTTCAGGTCGGCCGCAGGACATCAGATCCATCAACCATTGATGTTGTACCAGGTGACCACCTGAGGCCTGCTCTTCCTCTTCGCTCTCCTTTTCCGTAGCTTCCTTCTCTTCCTCTGTCAACTCCTCTGTGGCTAGCGTCCTTACCCAACAACTTCTCCCAGCACAGACGGGTGTCTCTTGTTTTCCCTTCTCGTCCGCTAGGCTTGGTGCTCTCTGTGGCTGGTCCATATCTTCGTGCCCTATATATTTGACCTGATCTAGCTGAATGGACACCTCGCTGACACTACTGAGAGACTCGCTCCGCTGCTTCAGCCTTATCTCTGCAACCTCGTTCTCATCAACTAAGCCTATACGCCACCATTTGGCTACATGCTTTTGTCGGCGCTTGAGGTCAAGTTTATGTGCAGTTTCTGGAGATCTAAATCGCATGGACTGGTAGAGAGCGTCAGTCAGGTCGACTTTCTTTTCAGCGGAGAAATCGAGGCGCCCGGAAAGCGTGGCAGGTAGGCTGCGCTGCAAGGAAGTACCAAGATGAGCCAAGTCTGTGACCAGTATTGTTTTGTCGGCATCATCGTTCGCCTTTTCAGTCCCACCCACAGCAGTGCTATCGCTGGTCGCTAAGACATCTTGCTCTGATCGCAAAAGCGCTGAAGCTAAGGTAAGGGGTAGCAAATAATGCATGCTGGTGTCCTGCAAATTGCCAGCATTGTCGGAGTCGCCAGCGCCAAGGACTTCGACCATGGGGAAAGTACACAGATAAAAATGAAATACTTCACAGTTGTAGCAGCCTTGAAGACAGCGAAGGTTCGTTGAGAGGCTCTTCGAGAAGTTCGAGCAGGTCAGATGTGTCCGTAGCTCAAAGCTATTGGCTTGACTAAACACCCCGCGCCTCGTAGAGAGGTTCGAATTGCTTTTAATCGGAAAGCCGGCGGCGGCGCCAGTCCACAATAATGCCGCGGTCCTTGTGTTATCAACCTGTATAACTAAACCAATCGTATTGCGATACTTTGACCATGAACGGTGTGAATCTCGAACAAGCGAATAAAGAGGGGGGCCCTGGTTTTGCATGGATTTTACAGGAGCCATCCTACAAACAATTAACCATGTGCAAACTTGGTACATCGCTTCGTTTACGATACCATCTCCCTTTACATGAGCAGCCTCACCACAGCCAACTATGCTACGTTCTGAGTAAATGGTATTTTCTCATCATTTATCCTCGTCAGACAATCCATAGCGTAAACTACTTCGTCCTGCGAGACAAGATATGCATGGCTTGCGAAAACGACTGCCCTTCCTGTTTGCATGAACCACGGCGGGGTGTATTCCCATTGCTGTCCCGACATTTACGTCCTAATCAACAAGATTTCGTTCACGTAAGTCACCCCGTCGACGAATGCAACCAAGATAGCGCTAGAGACCTGCGACCGTTACAAGTGCAAGGAGCAGAAGCACTTAAGGTGGAAGCACAAATGGGTCAGCTCCTTCGGCGGTTCTGGTTCAAGGCCTCAAAGCATACCTTTTGCGAGATATGCCAGAATAACCAAGTGGAAGTACAGCCACTCGGTATCATTTCACTAGTCAAGGTCAGTATAGTATCAATGAGGTCGGGAAGCTGGAGCAGCAGTCCTAACGAAGATATCCTGGGGTAACAAGATTCTAGCAGCGATGCAATTACAACACCGACTGTACTCAACACAGGGATGGACGTTGGAGAAGGTCCAGGTTGTTAGAAGCATAAATACACGTATACGGGGACATAAACCCGACTTTCGAGGAATGAATGATCGCTGCTCAGAAAGTCCGAGTAGCATCCAGCAAATATGTGCCAGCACTTGACTTTCAACATGAAATGTGGTCATGCATCCGAAACATATGTTAAAGAATACAAAGCCACGCTTCTGCATGGAAAATGCGACCTGGACAAACCACTCTCTCTCTGAGATCCAAGATGCTCCAACAGAGTTCAAAAACTGTCATGCTATCGAGGAGAAAAGAAAAGCGGAGGCAAGACTCAATAGACGGAAGAGAACAAGCAGAAGTAAGAGAAAGAGGCCGACTGAGGAGGTGAGACAATCAGGATTCCCTGCAGCAAAGGTTCGGAAATAGAATCCTTCATCAGTAAGCGATTTTGGAAACTTGTCTCGGCAGACCCCCACTACAGCTATCAGTTCGATGGCACCCCGATGCTGCCCCGGAGCCCCTCCAAGCAATTATGCTAGATATTCTAGGATCGAAGTATGGACATGCCTGAAACTGGCCATATTGATAATGAAAGACTCTTGCTTCAAGGATCAGTGACTGAACATAAATGAATATAGTTTCTTCATTATACCAATCTGTGGCACCTACTATTCTGTTTTTCCAGATCTGAATGGTATCTGAGCCATTTCAATATCTCCAATGAATTATTACATACCACAACATGCGTGCGCAATGTTTTGACAAACAGAATTCACATAAAATACCTGCTTCTCCCTTGACAGCTTCATATCTGGAGGGGCGCAGTCCTGTCATGGCCAAGTTTTCGCTTAGAAATGATGCTCGTATTCCTCTGTCATAATTGCAGTTGCATAAGGAGCTACTACAGAGAGAGAGAATCTCCTATATAAAGGGGTAGTATACTTAGTAGTACGGCCTATAGTACTAAGTCTACGCCTACAATCCCTATATTTCTAACAGCCCCCCTATTCTCTATATCTGTAGTAAATAGAGCCTTCTAAAGTAGTATAGCGCTAAATATTCCCGAAGTAATGCTAGAGTATCGCTGAAGTATTACTAATAACTTGTATTATATAAGGAGCCTCGATTATGCCTTATTAACTCCTATAATATACTAGTATATATATAGTACTTATATCTCCTGTTTTCCTAAGAGTTCAGCAACTTTGCAGTATTAAAGTATATAAAACAGTATAAGAGTGCACCTAAATCGCTCCCTTATTAATAATCTCCTGCTCCTACTACTCTTATTCACCCTTCTTTATAGCTATCTTATACCTTCCTTTTATAGCTACTAAGATATTTCTTACTAGCTTTCTCTCTAGCTTTTAGGGTATATAAAAGTCGTCCTCTTCTAGTTCTATTTCCTTTCCTTTTTCTTTTAACCGCGGAATAAGATTTGTCTTAACTATTAGGTATAGTAGTTATATATCGTGTTTTACTTGATTCGTAGTTATATATTATTATTAAGAAAGATATTTATTAAAGGACTGATTGTTACGGACCCCTTGGCACTACGGTTCAGTTAGTACCTATATAATAATAAAACTATTAGTAATACTATAGGGGTATTAGTACTAATGAGGGAGTAGTACTATTAATAAGGTAGTACTAGCTAGGGAATAATATAGGATAATCGAGTAGTACTACTATATACTCACGCTTTAGTAGTAATAGTTACCTAGATCACGGTGAATAATAGGTCACGTGATAGATCCCTAGATCCCTAGATCCCTTTATAGGAAAACAGATCTAAGGATCTAAGGACCTAGTATCTTAAGGGATTTAAGGCGAACGAAGGTTCTATATAAGACTAGCACATCTGCTATTAGATAAGAGCTTAGTGCTTAACTTTAAATAGTATTCTAATACTTAGTAATTATCTTCCTATTTACGTGATATACTTACTTCTTAATTATTAGAGATTAACTATAGCTTTCTGTATTTATAGCGAGTAAATACCGGACTATTATACTTTAAGTACTTTCTTATTAGAAGTACTAACTTACGAAAATAATATATCCTCTATTAAAGGATCGTTAAATAACTACTTAGCTCCTACTAAGGTCTTCGACTTAAAGAATATACCTAAGATCACTGCCCCGGATCTCTATAATAGAGACTGATCTAAGCTTAGAGTATACTTTACGTAAGTTAAGCTCTATACGGGCTTTAATAGTTACTAGTTTACTACGGAGACTAATAAAGTCCTTTAAGCTTTATCTTTTCTCCGGAGATCTACTTTTAACTAGATTAAGACCTTTCTCTTAGACTATATTTAGAACTGAACTAAGGATAGGAGAGTCTCTATAGTAATAACTAAGGAATCCTAGAAGATCTTTATAACTTTCGAAGGTTTTAAGTATAAGATTAACCGTGTCTTTAGTGATATTAATTAGAACTATACTACTAAACGGAATATCTAGAACTTAAAGTAGGTCAGGTTAGCGACTACGTATACTACCGCCTTCTAGTAATTCGTGAATTAGACTAGCTAGAATAATAATACTTTTTAAGTATAGTATTATAAAGAGTTAAAAAACGGAGTAAAAGATAAGATAATAAAATTAGACGCGCCTACTAACTTATAAGAACTTATTAAGATAGCTATTAAGATTAATAACTGAAATTATAAGAGGGCACTTAAGAAAAAAAGCTAATACTACTCCGGAACGTATATATACTAAGGAAGAGGAAGTAATAATAAGAAACTATTCTACTCTTAGGAAATAGAACTTAATATAATATTCCGGAAGCTAAGTTATTAAGGAAAGTCGTGTAATAGCGGGCTATCTAAGAAAGTTATAGATAAATAACGCGAGAAGAAGCTATACTTCGAATATAGCCTCCCTAGTTATATAGCCGGCTCTTATTATTAAAAGAAGTCTTAGATAAGTAAGAAGTATACTAATGTAATAGGACGAGGCTCTTATAACGAACTAATATAATAACTTACCGCGATATATTAATATATAACTATAGATAAGCTTAAGGAGAATTATATCTATACTTAGTTAGGCGATTCTAATAATAGTAAGTAAGATTCCGTAAGTATCGTAGATTAGCTTAAGTAAACTATTATTAGTACGCCCCTTAAGGACTATATATATCGAGATAATAATAGCTCTAGGCTAGATAATAATATAGAGCTAATACTAAGTGATAGCGAGAAGGAGGCCTAGGAACCCGATTAGACTTTAGAACTAGGGCTACTTTAACTTAAACTCTTAGGACTAAGAGTAAGTGAAACTTAGGAAGTTACCTAAAAAGAAGAGAACTTATATTAGGTTAGCTATAATACTCGCTACTGGACTAATGTAGCTACCGGGGTTACTTATTAAGAACTAGGCCTTATTAGCTTAGGGAGTCTACTGTAGGGGGTAAGGTATAAAGTAGTCTACCGGGACTATAAGTGTATTAGATAGAGAATAGCCGGTAGCTAGGAAGGACTAACGACCTTTATATAGCACTTACTACTCTAGAATACTATTATTCTTAATACTAGCGCGCTACTAGAGGTAGGCGAGGAATAGGAAATCATAGCTAAGAACCGATATAATAAGATATAAGTTCATATTAATAATAATAGCTAGTACTATTACGAGATATATAATCTAGTAACTTACACTGAACTCGGAATAGGATTTATATATAAAGTCAGCTTAAGCTATAGTAATCGAAAGGTATAGGAGAATATCCTTAACTATAGTATATATTAGGAATATTTCTATATATAGTAACTTGCCGCTATTAGAGATAAGTATCTTACGTTAGAAGTAAAAATTAAGGGGGTTAAGCTTTAGGTAATAGTAAACTCTAGAGTATAAGGGAACTTTATATCTCCTACTATTATACTTAAGTACTACTTATTAACTAAAGTAAAAGATAAGGGATACTATCTAGTACTAGCGGATAGTAAAGTTATCTCTAATAGACTAATCGAGGTTTAGACTGCTCTAGTCTATATAAGTATCGCCGGATACTCCGAAATAATCTAATTCAATATTATTAGGATTAGAAAGTATAATATTATCCTAGGGTTACTATAGATAGAAAAGTATAATCCTATTATTAATTAGTAGATAGGAAAACTTAAGTTTAGTTATTACTAAGATTACTATTATCCCCCGGGAATAGAAGTAGTAAGTATTTAAGAGGTTAACGCTACCTCTAAGGAAGAGCTCGGATACTAAGATAAGGGTCTACTAATAAAGGATATACTATTAGTATATAAGAAGTTTATAGTACTATTTAAGGAGAAATAAGGTATTAAGGCCTTACTAAAACACTAGGACTACGA